TCCACTCTTACATCATTGTCACCACCATCACCACTATCCCTCCATCATTGTGACCACCACCACCACCACTATCCCTCCATCATTGTGACCACCACCACCACCACTATCCCTCCATCATTGTGACCACCACCACCACCACTATCCCTCCATCATTGTGACCACCACCACCACCACTATCCCTCCATCATTGTCACCACCACCACCACCACTATCCCTCCATCATTGTCACCACCACCACCACCACCACCTCTCCATTATCACCACCCCTACTATATACCCTCATCATCATCCCCCCCCCCCTCCCTCCATCACCCACCACCCATGTTTGGCGCCAAGTGTTTTACAATTTACATTTTGCGACCTTCATATGGACCAAAGGCAGGGCAGTGGCCCTTGTAGCGGTGGCCGGTAGTGATGTATAGCAGGGTTGGGGAGCAGTGGTAGAGTTTATCGGTGTTGGGGAGCAGTGGTAGAGTTTATCGGTGTTGGGGAGCAGTGGTAGAGTTTATCGGTGTTGTGGAGTAGTGATGACGTAGTGTAGTAGTGACAGGTGGTGCAGAATAATGCTAAAGTCTCTGTGGAATGAGTCACCAAAATATTTGTTTACGGTTCATTGGGTAAACACAAGAGGGACGTCACCCGATGCCTTGGTGACGATAGAACGGAGGTACACGCACAACACAGTCTTGGGTCCACACACACACACACCCCACAGTCTTGGGTCCACACACACACACACCCCACAGTCTTGGGTCCACACACACACGCACCCCACAGTCTTGGGTCCACACACACACGCACACCACAGTCTTGGGTCCACACACACACACACCCCACAGTCTTGGGTCCACACACACACACACCCCACAGTCTTGGGTCCACACACACACACACCCCACAGTCTTGGGTCCACACACACACACACACCCACAGTCTTGGGTCCACACACACACACACCCCACAGTCTTGGGTCACACACACACACACACACCCCACAGTCTTGGGTCCACACACACACACACCCCACAGTCTTGGGTCCACACACACACACACACCCCACAGTCTTGGGTCCACACACACACACACCCCACAGTCTTGTGTCCACACACACCCCACAGTCTTGGGTCCACACACACACACACCCCACAGTCTTGGGTCCACACACACACACCCCACAGTCTTGGGTCCACACACACACACACCCCACAGTCTTGGGTCCACACACACACGCACCCCACAGTCTTGGGTCCACACACACACGCACCCCACAGTCTTGGGTCCACACACACACACACTTGGGTCCACACACACCCACAGTCTTGGGTCCACACACACACTTGGGTCCACACCCCACAGTCTTGGGTCCACACACACCCCACAGTCTTGGGTCCACACACACCCACAGTCTTGGGTCCACACACACACGCACCCCACAGTCTTGGGTCCACACACACACACACCCCACAGTCTTGGGTCCACACACACACACACACCCCACAGTCTTGGGTCCACACACACACACACCCCACAGTCTTGGGTCCACACACACACACACCCCACAGTCTTGGGTCCACACACACACACACCCCACAGTCTTGGGTCCACACACACACACACCCCACAGTCTTGGGTCCACACACACACGCACCCCACAGTCTTGGGTCCACACACACACACACCCCACAGTCTTGGGTCCACACACACACACACCCCACAGTCTTGGGTCCACACACACACACACACCCCACAGTCTTGGGTCCACACACACACGCACCCCACAGTCTTGGGTCCACACACACACACACCACAGTCTTGGGTCCACACACACACCCACAGTCTTGGGTCCACACACACACACACACCCCACAGTCTTGGGTCCACACACACACACACCCCACAGTCTTGGGTCCACACACACACACACCCCACAGTCTTGGGTCCACACACACACACACCCCACAGTCTTGGGTCCACACACACACGCACCCCACAGTCTTGGGTCCACACACACGCACCCCACAGTCTTGGGTCCACACACACACACCCCACAGTCTTGGGTCCACACACACACACCCCACAGTCTTGGGTCCACACACACACACACCCCACAGTCTTGGGTCCACACACACACGCACCCCACAGTCTTGGGTCCCACACACACACACCCCACAGTCTTGGGTCCACACACACACCCCACAGTCTTGGGTCCACACACACACACCCCACAGTCTTGGGTCCACACACACACACACCCCACAGTCTTGGGTCCACACACACACACCCCACAGTCTTGGGTCCACACACACACACCCCACAGTCTTGGGTCCACACACACACACCCCACAGTCTTGGGTCCACACACACACACCCCACAGTCTTGGGTCCACACACACACACCCCACAGTCTTGGGTCCACACACACACACACCCCACAGTCTTGGGTCCACACACACACACCCCACAGTCTTGGGTCACACACACACACACCCCACAGTCTTGGGTCCACACACACACACCCCACAGTCTTGGGTCCACACACACACACCCCACAGTCTTGGGTCCACACACACACACCCCACAGTCTTGGGTCACACACACACCCCACAGTCTTGGGTCCACACACACCACAGTCTTGGGTCCACACACACACACCTCACAATCTTGGGTCCACACACACACCCCACAATCTTGGGTCCACACACACACCCCACAATCTTGGGTCCACACACACACCCCACAATCTTGGGTCCACACACACACTCCACAGTCTTGGGTCCACACACGCACCACAATCTTGGGTCCACACACACACACACCTCACAGTCTTGGGTCCACACACACACCCACACTCCACAGTCTTGGGTCCACACACACCCCACAGTCTTGGGTCCACACACACACACACACACTCCACAGTCTTGGGTCCCACACACACACACCCACAGTCTTGGGTCCACACACACACACCACAGTCTTGGGTCCACACACACACACCTCCACAGTCTTGGGTCACACACACCACAGTCTTGGGTCCACACACACCACAGTCTTGGGTCCACACACACACACATCTTGGGTCCACACACACACCCCACAGTCTTGGGTCCACACACACACACACCCCACAGTCTTGGGTCCACACACACACACCTCACAGTCTTGGGTCCACACACACACCCACACTCCACAGTCTTGGGTCCACACACACACCCCACAATCTTGGGTCCACACACACACCCCACAGTCTTGGGTCCACACACACACACACACCCCACAGTCTTGGGTCCACACACACACAGTCTTGGGTCCACACACACCCCACAGTCTTGGGTCCACACACACACACACCCCACAGTCTTGGGTCCACACACACACCCCACAGTCTTGGGTCCACACACGCACCACAATCTTGGGTCCACACACACACACTCCACAGTCTTGGGTCCACACACACCCCACAGTCTTGGGTCCACACACACCTCACAGTCTTGGGTCCACACACACACCCCACAGTCTTGGGTCCACACACACACACACACTCCACAGTCTTGGGTCCACACACACACACCCCACAGTCTTGGGTCCACACACACACACACACTCCACAGTCTTGGGTCCACACACACACACACACTCCACAGTCTTGGGTCCACACACGCACCACAATCTTGGGTTGCTACGCGCCTTTCCAACCCTAAAATCACTTTAAATGTCTATCTTCTAGCCTGTACTCTCCTCAATCAAGTAGGTTTTCTCATCAAATATCAAGTGACTTGATATTTGATATCTATTCGACCTAAATAAGTGCGCCCGACCTTTAATTTGTCACTGCAAATATTGAATGATTTCTCAAGTGGTTTGTAATTAGTGGCTTTGAATATAAAATAAACTCATGCTTGACTAGCAAATCTGATTAATAATAATAATAATTTTTTTTCACAAGGTACAATGGGATTGTAAGATTACATAAGATTGGAATTTTTACATTTTTGCAAAACCACTAACACGCATATAGCGTTTCGGGCAGAACTTGATATAAACTTGATGGTCTTACATATTCGTCCCATTAACAAAAGTGCATGCACACACGTACGCATGCGCACCAAAAACTAGTTATCAGTTTTTCGTCCGACTAACTAGGCGTCTAATTACCCGGGAGGCGATGCATATCGGGACACAGAGAGAGGGAGCGCGGAGAGGCCAGGCCGCCGTCAGCGCTGCCTTATGGATCAGTTCGTTGGCCTGCTTCCTGATACCCGCGCTGTTACTGGCCTGAGGGGGGTGGTATAGGTGTGTGGGCGGTGGGTCCTTATTTACTCCATCCTTCGGGGGTTTGTGATGCCTTTGCGAACGGTGTGTGGGCGTCCTTGCTGGTATCTTACCTGCCAGGTAAGGTAATTGTGTGTGTTTGGGTTCATTGCCCTAGTATCATGCGCTTGTTTGGGTTCGCTAGCTGCCCCTTATCATACATACGCTTGTTTGGGTTCGCTGCCTCATATCATACATGCGCTTGTTTGGGTTCGCTGCCCCGTCTCCCTGGCATAATATTGAATAGATTTATTACATAATTACTACGAATTTGGGAAGCGTAGCATTAGCTATGGAGATGCCTTGGGCGGCGAACAACTTAGACAGGAAATTCTACGGACAGGATTCCTCACTTACGAAACCTGTACATCTCTCCTCGGTCATGGTAACTTAATCTGAATTTATTAAACAGTTTACGAGCTTGGAGACGCTGCGAGGTCGTTCTTGACCCAAGGATATTATTGTTATTAACAACCTTGCAGCGTTTCGAACTTCTCTTAAAGTTCATCAAAGCGAACCCGCCATGATCAAGAAAAGATATACAGGTTTCGTAAGTGGACACGTAAATGTTTGATCAATTCTGACTGCTTGTCTTCCGAGATGCAGCCAACACTGCTATGCAGGTCATAAAGAAGGTATGTACTGCAGTTCTCATACGTTTGATATTAACTCCGTCTTTCCTATACTCCCAGGCTGTGGTGGGCGTGGTGTCAGGCGTGGCTGGCTACAGCAAGACGCCGAAGCAGTACCACATACAGACAGACACCGGTCCTGATCGCTACTTCAGGTGAGATTTTTTTCTGTATTTGTATATGTATGCATGCATATGTATGACTGTGTGTGTGGTTGGGTAGTAGGTTAATTTATAATATACCCCCCCCCCCTCACACAGGGGTGGCATGCCCTTCAGAGTGGGTGTCCTACGTCCCTTCTTCTGACTCCTATCCTACGCTACGACCTGCCCCCCTCCCTCACTCCCAGAATGCAAATAAATGTACATACGACACCAAGCACACCCCCGCGAAAGGTCAAGCTAGGCCACAAGGACCCAAGGACACCCCCGTGAGCGATGAAGCAGATCATCAAGACGTGACCTTAAACCACTGTGGCACCGATGACCTCCACTGACCCGTTCACTGTCTTCTTTCCCTCCAAGAATGGTTTCAACTCCTTCAGAGATCTTTCACCTCCATCAGCAGCTCTACCGATCTCTCCTCCTCCCTCCAACACAACCTTAGCCTCCGACAATTTTTATAGCTTAGCCTCTCCACCAACCATTAACTTCCAAGGTCGTCGACCGTAAAACAGCCTCGAAATTCCAATCCACACTAATTTGTATGTATCACAACACGGCCACCCCCCCCCCCCCCCCCCACCTCTCCCTGTAAACCGAAACCCACTGCTCCAAGACCCCCCACTACTTATACACACTGCTCCAAGACCCCCCACTACTTATACACACTGCTCCAAGACCCCCCACTACTTATACACACTGCTCCAAGACCCCCCACTACTTATACACACTGCTCCAAGACCCCCCACTACTTATACACACTGCTCCAAGACCCCCCACTACTTATACACACTGCTCCAAGACCCCCCACTACTTATATACACTGTTCCATGACCCCCACCTTAAGAACTGCCTTAAGAAACTTGTGTGAGAAGCTGGAGTATGCAGCTCCAGCCTGGAGTCCATACCTAGTTAAACACAAGATGTTAGAAAAGATTCAGAGGTATGCCACCAGACTAGTCCCAGAACTGAGAGGTATGAGCTACAAGGAAAGGCTACGGGATCTAAACCAAACTACCCTGGAAAACAGAAGAGTAAGGGGAGACATGATAACCACCTACAAAATTCTCAGGGAAATTGACAGGGTGGACAAAGACAAGTTCTTTAGCACGGGTGGAACACGAACAAGGGGACACAGGTAAAAACTTAGTACCCAAATGAGCCACAGAGACATTAGAAAGACTTTTTTCAGTGTCAGAGTAGTTAACATATGGAATGCATTAGACAGTGATGTAGTGGAGGCAGACTCCATACACAGTTTCAAATGTAGATTTGACAGAGCCCAATAGGCTCCAGGATCTGTACACCAGTTCATTGACAGTCGAGAGGCTGAATCAAAGAGCCAGAGCTCAACCTATACACACTGCTCCATGACCCCCACAACCTATACACTGCTCTTTGGCCAGCACCACCCACATTCACTGATCCGTGACCCCACCCACCACTCACACCCACTGCCCCATGACGCCCACTACCCACACCCACTGCTCCATGACGCCCACTACCCACACCCACTGCTCCATGACGCCCACTACCCACACCCACTTCTCCATGAACTCCACCCGCTGCCCCACACTACCCACCACCTACTCCCACTTCTCCATGCACCAGCATGGCTCCACAATCAAGATAATAATTCCAGAGCAACTCCACCCTTCCCTAAGGAGCGTGAGGGAGTCCGTGTGATGGAGGGGCGAGGAAGAGGGCGGCGGGGGAGACTGATGTGGGCGTCTTGGCCAAGCGGGGAGGTGAGAGAGGGGCCTCCACGCCCTGTGCCCACCACCAGGAAAGTCGTGGAGCAATTGTACATAGGGTGGAGTCTAAACCCGACCCTGACACCCCGTCTTCTGTTGCCTACCTCACCCGTCTCACTCGGCCACAGAAGGGCAGGGGGGAAGGTCCTATACAGCGGTAACCCACATATAAAGGAGACCTACGAAATATTCACTAATTCCCCTGTAGCACTGGTCGAGGATAAGAATGCCGGTGATGTTAACTATGTCGCCTTGCGAATACCTATATTCCCGAGTCTAACTGGGAGCGTTGCTTGGTCCCATTGGTCATCTTGCAGGGAGAGGTTTAACACTTTCATAGTTATATATATATCCAGCAGAGAGATAAGTTGGACAACACAATGTACAATCAAACACGGTTATTGCATTAGAAACCAATCTTGGTTGACGAAGAACACAGGGTGTCGACCCCAACCATCCTATGACACTCGTCATACACTCAAAAGTCATCTTGCAAAGTTTGGTGAGGCTAGCTCGACGCGTCTGCCCCCTTCCCCCAGCCACGAACAGACATTCTCTCTTATAGATGTATGTGTGTGTGTGTGTGTGTGTGTGTGTGTGTGTGTGTGTGTGTGTGTGTGTGTGTGTGTGTGTGTGTGTGTGTGTGTGTGTGTGTGCCTTACCTATTTGAGTTCGTGAGCGTGTAGTCTGTATTAGCAATGAGTCATCAAGTCGCAAACAGAAAAAAGGCGCCGTGTTGACAACAAACGTTAACTGTCTGCACTTGGGTGACGCCATTTGCCGAACCGGTTTCTGCTGCCCATGGTCCAGTCCTCGGCATCATACACATACATTATACACGCACGCATACACACACATACACGTAAGACCAATCCTGGAGTATGCGGCCCCAGCATGGAGCCCGTACCTTGTCAAGCACAAAACAAAAGTTCAGAGGTATGCCACTAGACTAGTCCCAGAACTAAGAGGCATGAGTTACGAGGAAAGGCTGCGGGAAATACACCTTACGACACTGGAAAACAGAAGAGTGAGGGAAGACATGATCACTACCTACAAAATCTTCAGGGGAATTGACAGGGTAGACAAGAATAAACTATTCAACAATGGTGGTACGAGAATAAGGGGACACAGGTGGAAACTGAGTATCCAAATGAGCCACAGGGACGTTAGAAAGAACTTTTTCAGTGTCAGAGTAGTTGACAGGTGGAATGCATTAGGCAGTGATGTGGTGGAGGCAGACTCCATACACAGTTTCAAATGTAGATATGATAGAGCCCAGTAGGCTCAGGAATCTGTACACCAGTTGATTGACAGTTGAGAGGCGGAACCAAAGAGCCAAAGCTCAGCCCCCGCAAGCACAAATAGGTGAGTACACACACACACACACACACACACCAGGTACACTAGAAGTCCCCCCCCCCAAACTCTACACTACCGTACAATGTGACTTCTCCGTGTCTTATAGCCTAATTAATATATGACCAAGTAGCCAAGCCACTCGCAGAGATATATATATATATATATATATATATATATATATATATATATATATATATATATATATATATATATATATATATATATATATATATATATAATGTTTGTGAGGGTACCACCTCTGGTGCCGATGTGGGACCCATAGCCTCGGAGAAGAAAATAATAAAAAGTATTCAGAGAAGACCTTGTGGTTTCTCACTGAACACTAATATTATCTTCTACCACCCCCATTCTTTTGTATGTACACATATATATTTGTTTTATTGAACTTTGTTACAAAAAAAGGAGTTACATATATGCCTCATCCATGAAGCATATGATGGGCGAGCCTGGCAAATTACCAAGCTGTGAGATCATACTATTTTAATAATTCGATAAATCAGGTAAAGGTGTAGGAGTGATTCAGGTAGCAGCTCACCCCTAACCCGTCCTACAGCATGCCTAACTCCAGGTGTGTACTGGAGTGCATCCTGTGGTAACATTCAAGCTCCAGGTGTGTAGTGGAGTACATCCTGTGGTAACATTGATACTTCAGGTGTATTGGAGTACATTTATCCATCAATAACATCGTAAACAATATATACACCATATATAACACGGTGCCCCATGAAGCACAAGAAACGAACACACCCAAACAACCCACCTAACCTATCGAGGTCGATGCACAGAAAACGTCAACATTACGGTGCTTTAATTTTTACTCATGCGTTGTATTTTTAGCGCATTGGTCAATTCCGTAAAAAGATGTGACGTATTAGTCTACAGGGGCCGGCTTGAGGCAAGGCGACCCGCATCATAACGTTCGCTCTTCACTCGTGAAACTATACAAAAATCATTTAAATTAACAGAAAAACGCTTAAACAAAACGCACACGTGTTTGTAACGAGTACAAGTTCGTATGTGCCTCGTTAATATTTACTCTCTGAGAACTTTTCTTGTCAGTTTATACTTACGATCGTGTCAATACTTGTGTTATCTTTGGAAGAGGCTTTACGGAAACATCTTTGGTACTCGCGAGGGGCTTGGTAACCCTGGAAACAAACTGTAACTGTGTCTATTTTCAGCTTGTTTCAACTTGAAATAAAGTTGTTACATCTTGGCTTAACATGTTTATGACGTATTAGAACGTTGTTACAACTTGTTATATTGGTTGTTATAACTGGTTAGGTGTTAAAACTTGTTCGAACGTTGTAGCAACGTCTTAGTTTCGGCGTGTATTTGGCGGGAAGGAGCCTGGGCATGTGTGGAACAGACGGAGCTCGTCCCGCCCCGGGAGTAACAAGCCGGGTTCACACTTGTCGGTTCACTCCAGCATGAAAGCAAAAATTATGCTTCTGAACTCCAGCAATCTGCCTCGTAATATGAGCGGTCGAGCCACCCAAGTGAGCACACCTGCATAAAACCCGTCTTGAAAAGGACCTTGAAGCGATGACGAAGAGGTCAAGGTCTGATGCTGGAGAAGGCGCTCGCTTGCAGGAGCCAAACCTGCCCTGCCGCCTTCAGCCCCCGAGGTAACCGGGCCAATATCACCATATGTAAATCTGATGAAATTAATTTCCCTAATCGAAACTCATAATAATTAAGAGGTATGCAAAATAAAATAAGTTACACCATGACTCCACAAACTTGGGAATCGACAGATGTCATGGAGTGATAAAAAGGTGCTCCAGTGGATAAAATGAATACCTAAGCAACAGATGACACTCATAGTGACGAGAAATTTCAGATTATCGAGATGTTACTAGCGGGATTCCACAAGGAATCACTACTAACGTTAATCTATGTAAATGTAAATGTGATATATGGAAAACTTAGGACACAGTTCCTTTTATCTCATTGTTTGCTGATTACTCGAAAATTATGAAGAGGGTCAATAAGGTGGACGACTGCAAGAAACTACAAGACGACCTGGGCATCAGTGGATAGAATACTGAAAGCCGTAACCAAAGAGATGAAGCTCACCATCTGGTCACCATTTGGTCCGGGAGACATCTCCCGTCACGCAGGGTGCAGTCGCGCCTCCACAGATCTCCAGTATCAGCTCTTGATACTGGTAATGGCTCAAAAGGGCCACCACTTTCGGGCTATTCATGCCCGTGCCACTTTTTGGGTGGCTTAATCTTCATCAATCAATCAATCAATCAGATGAAGCTCAACCCCCGCAAACATAACTAGGTAAGTACTTAATCATAGACATCAAACGCAGGAAGAGCCATGGTAACACAGACTCCGGTGAACGGCTAAGTGTTCACGATGAAGGAACTTCACATCTGCCACATGTAGCCAAGGTGACTCCCATCACTCATCGTAAAGGATAATGCCACGCCACCTCCCGTTCCTCTAAACAAGGCTACTGGACATTCCTTACTAACCTTAAACAAAACATTTTACTGCCAGAAATGCCGCCTGGCAGCCGTGGGGCCCGAGAACCACATGCCAGGTTGGGTACGAAATCAGATACATCTAGTTGTTTACCCGAAACAAATTTTAACCATTTTTTTTGTTATCTTGACGAGCCTGCATATATTCTGAAATACTCAAGACACACTAATGTAAATGCTGAATTTGTCAGAAACCCATCTTCCAGCCGGGGGTTTGCAGTGTTTCAGCAGTAAACTTAGCTCCATATCACATGAGAATGGGCCTGGACAAAACCATTTTTCCGAAATCATTTTTACAAACTAATAAATTTAATTGTATTTTCACTTGTGCTGATACAACCGCAAGTCAAAGTTGGATATTAACACAAAGTCATTACCTGTCGTGTGAGGGTGGCCGTGACAACACCCACGAACACAGGACCTCCAGGCTCTTTTTGGACTCTTCAATATACTATACTATCATCCATATAAGTGCGGGGGGCAGACGCCATACAAGGATTCAAATACAAAACTACGTAAAATATTTCAAAGAACTCGAGGAACAAACAGGTAGTACCCAAGAGCTAAAGCTCAGTCTCTGCAAACACTATTCGGGAAGTACCCAAACGAACACGGATAACACTCCACCACGCACCAAATAGCGGGTGTCATAAAAAAACATTCACAAGCAATGTATACGTGCGTAACTGACGGAATTTCCTGCAACTCTACCCCCATCATGTTCCTTCCCTGAGAACATAACTGGGCTGGCTGCCAGTTTGCACGGTGTTTAATGTAGTATTATTAAACATCCTGTCGTCCTTATTGTAGGCGGACAAAAACTTTATTGTTAATACGCAACAACTCCCAGACTCTGTCTCCTCGTAGCCTAACAATTCCCAGACACTCGGTCTCCTCGTAGCCTAACAATTCCCACAGACACTCGGTCTCCTCGTAGCTTAACAATTCCAAGACACTCGGTCTCCCCGTAGCCTAACAATTCCCACGGACACTCGGTCTCTTCGAAGCCTAACAATTCCCACAAACACTCGGTTTCCTCGTAGCCTAACAATTTCCAGACACTCTGTCTCCTCGTAGCCTAACAATTCCCACGGACACTCGGTCTCCTCGTAGCCTAACAATTCCCACGGACACTCGGTCTCCTCGTAGCCTAACAATTCCCACGGACACTCGGTCTCCTCGTAGCCTAACAATTCCCACGGACACTCGGTCTCCTCGTAGCCTAACAATTCCCAGACACTCGGTCTCCTCGTAGCCTAACAATTCCCAGACACTCGGTCTCCTCGTAGCCTAACAATTCCAAGACACTCGGTCTCCTCGTAGCCTAACAATTCCCAGCCATTCGGTCTCCTCGTAGCCTAACAATTCCTAGACACTCGGTCTCCTCGTAGCCTAACAATTTCTAGACACTCGGTCTCCTCGTAGCCTAACAATTCCTAGACACTCTGTCTCCTCGCAGCCTAACAATTACCACAGACACTGTCTCCCCGTAGACACATTTCTCGGGGATGCTTACCTGATCACTTGATACCATTTAAGGATAATTTGTATACTTAAATTTGTTTCCACTATCTGACTTGTTGCACATTGAAGATAATTCCACTGAAATAGTCACACATGTATTAAGAGTCGGGTGTGAGCTTTTGCTTAGAGATGTCCTTTTGTAGGGTTTAACGTTCCACACCTAACTTGCGTATGGTTCAGCAGATATCAACACATTTAAGATGTCTCCCGGCAGGCGTCAACATACCTAACATGCATGTCTCCCCGTGAGTACCAACATGCCTAACATGCATGTCTCCCCGTGAGTACCAACATGCCTAACATGCATGTCTCCCGGCAGGTACCAGACATACAATGGACAGTACAGAAAGGAGAAGCGACTGGACGACGGGACAGTGATCGGGACGTACGGCTGGGTGGACGCCACGGGACTCCTACGTCTCTACGACTACATCGCCGACACCAAGGGCTACCGCATCGTCCGCCAGAAGACGATGAAAGTGCCCAAGATTACTGAGCCACCTCCGGAAACTCCAGTGACACAAGATCCAAGTGTCTTGCATATAACACAAGAACCTAGCATATCACAGTTAACTGATGCGACCAAAAGACCTCTCGTACCAGCACCTACCGAAGTGCAGGCACAAAGCATCTCTCCTCCCATTACCAGTGTCCCAGGCTCAGAACCCACTAGAAGAGATCCTCCTCCTAGTGTTCCATTATACGAACCCACAAGGAGAGATCCTACTTCTAATATTCCATTATCTCAACCCACTAGGAGAGACCCTATTTCTAGTGTTCCATTATCTCAACCCACTAGGAGGGACCCTACTTCTACCAGTGTCTCAGGCTCAGAATTCACCAAGAGTGACCTTTCTTCAGCCAGTGCTCAGGGGCCTCTCATCAACCCCGTCAGCCGACCACTGGTGACAACGAACACCAAGACACGGACGCGAGGCAGCACCAGGTGGGGAGGGCGGCCAGCAGCCTCCCACAATCTCCGTCAACAACTGCGACCATTCCGACGCACTCAGCCTAAACCAGGTACGTTAATATTAAGAAAAAAGTAATATGGGTCTTCGATAACATAATTTATATACCATTAAAATGTAATGATTTGTCAAGGAATCCTAGAAAAGGTATTTCACCCCAATAGCGGATGTTTAATATTATCAGTCCTTGTCTTCCAGTTCTACTCATTTTCACTTAATTATTGTCAAGTGAACTTAACTATTACTTTAGAATTTACTCTCAATTGTAGGTCTCCACCAATGACGACTTCCTTAATACCAAGTCATGTATGGTAACGCAACCTTGTCAGTTTTAATAAATGTATTTTAAGTATACATTTACAAAGCTGTAATTGTCAATTTTCACTTTGTTGTCTATCATAAATTAATTATTCTCACATTTAAGCTTCATACTAAAATCAGTGGTTATTCTTATTCCTGAGAGATTAAACAAAGCAGCGCGAGTTGAAGAAATAGGATAAACTTATTTCGCATTTCAAATCTATACTGTGAGGTGTTGTTTTGGAAGTTATAATTCAAATATAAATATGCATTATTTAAGTAGTGCACTATTACGTAGTAGTAGTAGTTAAGTACTACTTAACAACAGGTTAAATACCATTGGGTCTGCTTAATAACCAGTTGGCGTGACCGTGAGGCTAATCTTTACTATCGGCGACCATGGTAAGCCAGATAAATTTTACAATGAAATACAGTATATGTGAAATTAAATTCGCCACACTCAAACGTCAAATATGAAAAAATAACATTATGGACAATTCACAATGTGGTGAAACTTGCGACTTATGTCCGAAAGAGCAAAATAACTCTCCCAGGAAGAAAATATACCAGCAACACTTCATTTAACTAGCACTCTCCTTGTTAGCACGACCCCACTTCCCAGAAAAAAGGGGGGGGGGGAGCCGCAGTAGAGATAACCAAAAATGATGTATTCATTAATATTGTTTTCCTTTGCCGTGATGTCTTAATTTCACCCTCCTTGTATGAGAACTGGGAATCATCCCTTTAGTATAATTTGTAGAACCTCCTCCCCTCCCCCAACCCCTCACATGTGATAGTTGGTTGGCCAGCTATCACCACTCCTCCCCTCGTGTGATGGTTGGTAACCACTCCTCCCCTCGTGTGATGGCTGGTAACCACTCCTCCCCTCGTGTGATGGTTGGTAACCACTCCTCCCCTCGTGTGATGGCTGGTAACCACTCCTCCCCTCGTGTGATGGTTGGTAACCACTCCTCCCCTCGTGTGATGGCTGGTAACCACTCCTCCCCTCGTGTGATGGTTGGTAATCCTTCCTTATGTGAAATCGGAATCCCCCCCTATATGTATAACTAACGGTCCCCTTATATGTATAGCTAAGAGTCCCCCATATGTATGACTAATACATATGTTTGCCTAATAAGCCAAGTTTTCATGAACTAATTGTTTTTGACGACCTAACCTACCTAACCTAACCTAACCTAACCTAACTTTTTCTGCTACCTAACCTAACCTAACCTAACCTATAAAGATAGGTTAGGTAGGGTTGGTTAGGTTCGGTCATATATCTACGTTAATTTTAACTCCAATAATAAAAAATTGACCTCATACATAATGAAATGGGTAGCTTTATCATTTCATTAGAAAAAAATTAGAGAAAATATATTAATTCATAAAAACTTGGCTTATTAGGCAAATCAGGCCTTGCATAGTAGGCTCAGAAGTGCGTTCTGGCTACTAGGTACGACATATATATATATATATATATATATATATATATATATATATATATATATATATATATATATATATATATATATATATATATACAGTATAACATATATAACCTCCCACATGATGCATGCATGACTTGCAGGTTTCCCCTTCATGTAGTAATTGGGATGCTCAATGTGGTAATCCCTCCTCAGAAAATAAATTAATGTTAATATATACTGAAGATATATGCATATCCAGGGCTATAAACAGTCAAGTAAGGTGGTTTAGAATGTTTCCTCAACACGAGGGAACGGAATGAAGCCCGTCTCGAGTCAGCTTCGAACAGCGGGTGGCACATCAACCCGTCCTCATCAACACACGTCAAATGCTCATTAATCCAACCACCAAACCCATTATTTATGAATGGAAAACGCTTTAAAGATCGTTCTGTTGAATTCAGTGAGCGTCTAGGTTTCAGACTACTTTGTGACTTGTACATAGAGGACTATACCGTCTGAAATTTGACTTGTTAGTTGAGGATTGATAGGCATACCCGCCAATCACAAGTTAATCAAACTATAAGCAGGTATATTTATTATACTTGTACGCTACTCTAGTGTGACAGATGACTATCCTTACCTGTTAAGTCGTTACCCCCTGGTCGTAGCTGGAGACAAGAGAAGTGTCCATTCCAGGTGGAGTGAGCTCATATCATCACTAAAGTCTTCATTGACCTCTCGTCTAAACGCACAAACATAAAGATAACGGTACCGCAATGTTAAACTATTAGTTGCAACAAAAACATCGGAAATATAAGCAAGAGGCTAAGTGGTAGGGGCCCCGGGGCGACCTGACGTGCATCCACCACCAGCGTCGTCGTGCCTCTGGGCGGACGACGGAGGGGCCGAGGGCGCCATATCAGTTTTCCCGCCTGTTCCATTTTGTCAACATAATTATTGTATTATGGCTTCTGTATTTATCCTGTGAGCAGTGTTATTTATATTTTACAGTATTAATTTGCCTCAAAGCTGTGATAAAGTTACAAGGGTAATAGTGATCTAATTTGTATGAAATATGCATTAACTTATTAACGTTTCCGCCTGAAACGCTATGCGTGCTATAGTGGCTTTACAAGAATATAACTTCAGTTCTCTGTACTCTAATAAACCCAATGTACCTTTTTGTATAAAAATAAATAAATAAATAAATAAATGTATAAATGTTGCATTAACTTGAATGTGGTTGCTACATTTCGCACCGCAGAACTATTGACAATTGCGAGGCTAACTATCCTATGCTAATTCCAAAGCTTTCATTCATTAAACACAGTCATATTGCAGTATTGGTATCTGTTCCTATTCATACTGCCATTGGGGCTCTGCTACTTATAAATACAGTAGTTGAGACCTACTGCCCACAGGCTGGGAAATGTCAATAGAGTGCAAAATGAGTGAACTAAACTGTAGTTCATGTGAGCTGTCGTGGGAACCTGCATTTTATGTTCCCTTTTTTCTGAAGCTTTGATTAAAGTCCCGTTCTAACAATGTACCAATATGGGAGTACCACAACGTGTATTACAACTCCGTGTATACGTGATTCACAGTCTATTGATATACCAAATAATATCTAGAAGGAAACATAATTATGCACATTAATAAACTACAAGACCATATAACTAAAGAAGATTGATTTAACAGATACAAGCCCTAACCTGAGACGACCAAGTACCGGGGAACAAGACACAGGTCTGTCCAGAACTCCAAATACAGGGACTGATGACTTGCCAACAGAAGGAAAGTTCACCATCAACTACGACCTGGGTAACCAGTTTCACTTTGAAAAAATACTCTCAGATGGCACCAAAGTTGGCAAGTAAGTTTTCTGTTTACCAATAATCATCTTGTTCTACATTTTACCAATATTTCCAAATTATTTTGCTTGCTCGCAGAGCCTTTCGAACCTGGAGCTGACCCTGATTTTTTGTATTTTTTTATATCTTTAATCGAGTATTTTTTGTTTTTGTGGCCACCTGACATACTCATAATTTTTCGGGGGGGTTTAGGTATGGGGCCAGGTACTGAAGCCAGTATTGTGATTCAATGGTTTGCATCTTGCCACCGTTGTTAGCAATGTTCATGGTGCACCACTAAGATAGGAATTCCCTCCTCCCTCTCCAACCTCCACATAATCTCGTGAGCTACTCAGTTTCCCCCACGACCTTCCACCAAGTTCAGTTTTCAACTGTGTTATGACCAAGATTTCTTCTTATTCCTTCATAGTTGCCTTTCTTGTACACTCGTTTTCCTTCTTGCTTCTCTCTTCCATTATTTGTACAGTATTTCATCTATATATTTGAATGACAGAACAATAATCCCCAGTTTGTAGAACATTTTACCCTAAGTGTCCACATTTGCTTCACCCTGGGTGAAAATTAATTGTTGTCTGACAAGCTCATCATGCCATGCACCTTACAGGAGGTTATTTGAGCTTCAGCATACTGAATGCAGAAGTTTTTTATTATGACATCCATTAGCTTTGTTTTCCACAATGGAGAACTCTGAAATCACCCATAATTAGTAATTTTGGCAGACTCCCTTACTGCTACCATTTCTGCTATACCTTTATTAGTTTTACAGTCTCATTATTGTTGCATTATTGCCTAGTATTTAAATATCTTGTTGCCATTACTCCCTCATTACCTGTAAACCCAAGTTAACTCCAATAACCTCCGTTTAAATTTAACCAAAAGTTCTATTTCCCCTCCATCTTCCTGTATTTTGATAATTACTTACTCTTACTGGTCTTTCTATTCATGTTACATGATAATCACCTGAGTATATTACATCAAATATCAGTCATTTGTTTTTGTTTCTGTGATTGCCATAACATCTGTTAATTCATTTGCCTTACTGATAATGACATCTGCATCCATGTGCATCACTTAGGTTTCTTCCAGGAAACTCATACGCTACTTTCAATGTGGTGAGAGAGCAAGTATGTGTAATCTATTTTAATATATTGCTAAAGGTGGAATGTTATCCATGTTATGTATTGTACAATACTGTGCTTGTATAGTAATTGATGTTATCTTGTGCAGGCATGGCTACGTCGACCCACTGGGAATCCTGCGAGTATCCCACTACACATCAGGTCCTGCAGGACACAATCAACGTCAAGAAAGTCGCTGGGTAGGCTCACGTGACCCCTACAATCTGTAGCCCCTTTTCTACTGTACTTCTAGCACCCAAGAGGCCCACAGGATACCTCAAAGTCAGAAGAGTCATTGGGTAGACTTGTGTGACAGTCACCCACATCGTTATTCTCAAGATGTTTCATGTAATAAAAGGAATCCTACACCCCATACCAGAATATTCTTCAATGGGCATGAAGAAAGTCATATTGTATGAGAAAAAATGACAAGTTTCATGCAAGTAGTGTACTGCTGGTGTATCATGCCTGTGAAAAAGATATACAGTACTCAAAGGAGTATGTCACCAAATCTGAACCAGGTGAAATATAGAAACATTGTGATGGGATTTATCTTTGTCATGTGTCATATATGGAAGAATGTTGATTGAACATAGGCATAATCTTCCACTATATAGACACAGAAATAAACTTTATTATACACTGAACTGCTCTCGGGTAATCATATCAGTACAGACACCCCAACAAGGTGGAAATAAGCATCAAATTTTAAAATGCTTGACATGAACAGACTTGAAGAAGGTGCTGTCCCTCCTTTTACAGCACACACAGCATTGTATGTGTTGCTTGTGCCATTCATCTATTCCTTTATCCATATTTTAGGATGCCATTCTTCATTGTCTTAGCCAGTCACGTCTTATATCTTGTTTTATCAAGATATATCTTGATAAACAATGGCAAAATAACCTGTGAAAATGCTTTTGTGATAATTTATAATTAACTGTGATTGTACCACTGTAGTGCTAGAATTCCATCGATGTTGTAAGATGGCTAAACATGAAAATATTTACATACTGTATTTTTAATGACTGTTAAAGTACCTTTTGAATACCTTTGGTAGTATGACTACTAATCCTGGCATACAGTATTTCCTCTAATTTGGCTATCACTCACAAACAGTTTGAAGCAAAACTTACTAATTCAGAACAAAATAACTATTCATTATGACAACTGAAATTCTGGTTAAATTTTGCAAATTGACGACTAAAGTCTTGGAAAGATTCTGCCAAAGGCGTCAACAAAGAGAGCAAGTATGTAGAAAGTTGTGTTCTCAAAACATTACTGAACTACAATGTGTAGGATGAAGCCAGAGGAAAGCTAAACAGTGTGACTTGTGTGTTATGCCAAAATAATCACAGCGTGTGAGCACGTTAAACATAGCAATACAAGAATGTGATGTAAATGTTAGAAACATAATAACTAATATATTAATAATTTATCTACTGCATTAACATTGTCCTTATATAGAGGCTGTTGCTGTGATGGCAAGCAAATGGATTACTGAGACCTATGTGATACTTTTGTGACTTGCAGTGACGGTGAAGTGTTTTGTAATTCCTTCAATATGAGGTACTACTATTAAAATTTGAAGTGTTGGAAATATATTTATGTATTATGACTAGGAGTGGTGAAATATTGTAGTGCTATTTACAATGCTGGTAGTGCCGGGGTATGTAATTACTCCATCATTGGGTATTATAATTTTTATATTAAAGTACTGTACTTAGGTATTGTACTGATGAAGTGGGGTGAGAATCATGACTTTGGTGGTGTTGAGTATTGTAATTTATAGTGCTGGCAAAATATTGGAACACTGGTTTAGTACCTGTATAGGTAAAGCAAAGAAATTTGGAAATGCTTCAGTAGAAGTACAAAATTGTAATTACAGAAAGGTAAATTCAGGATTCAATTAAGCTATTTTACAAGATAACTGATGAAATGCTATTTTTTTTAAGGTTTAAACCAAGCAATGGAAGGGTTTACATTAGTGATATGACACTTTAAAGAATTACATACAAGCCATTAACATGCTCAAAATTATAATTACAGAATGGAAATGTTTCCCAAAATAAAAACAAGTGGGTGCCTAGCTTTGGGCTGGTTTGGATAACTGGGAGAAAAAATCTGTCTGTCTTTAAAGTATTTCTAAAGTAGTTGTGATGTCATTTTCACCATTTATAAGAGAGTTGTGTTGGTTTATTTATTAGTATATCCACTGTTTTCCATCTGTGCGAAAAATATGATTTAGCAATAAACATCAATGCCGTGGGAATCCTGAAAGTATGTTTTACTAAATTTTGTATTTTTTGTAAATCTGAGTTTAATATTATGGCTATAAAATATTTTGGTTCAAAATTTGCAATATTTTTTTTTTAGATTTTACAGGTAATATTAATCATGAATTTTGTGTTTTAAGTGGAAACTATAGTGTTAGTACTGTATTAGTAATCAACCATATATTAAGTGCAGGTTTACTCTAAATACTATGCAGTTACTGTAACATCTTTTAAAAGAGGCTCATACCTAATGAGTTAGTTAATTTATTTCATTTTGCCATTCACTTGTGATAGAGGCTGGAACCCAAGTCATAGATGGCAACACAGGGTAGATCCTATGCTTAGTAGCCATAGGTTATACCAATGGCTTTTTTCATATATTTATGTATATTTAAGTATCTTCTTCATCACAATTTTCTAGTTGTGAGTAGTAATACAGTGTTTATTTGTAGCACAATGTAATTGGTTGTGCGTGATGGCACAGCCTGGGGAAAAGGTCCCTGAGCAAGATTATCATAGCACACTGTTGTAACTTCACTGATACCAAACACTTATCCATTTCCAGGCTATTCAGTAATTTCCATTCATTAAATGGATGCTAAACACTAATCATATACAGTACTACACTTAAACATTAATGACCACACTTTACTCTGTATCTAACCTAATTGCTCTGTTCGCCTAGCAGCAAGTAGGTACCCCGGAGTTAGTCTGCTTGTTGTGGGGTTGCATCCCGGCCGGGGTCAGTAACTCAACCCTGGGGGCCCTCGATACAAGCCTAATGTGTGTGTGTGTGTATATATGTACATGTATATGTATATGTATATATATACACTGGCTGTCTGTCCCCCCACAAAACAATGAATAATCTTTTAAAGCCAGTGCACCACAGTTGTACTGCATAACCACTGGGTCTTATTGTTAAAAGCTTTAAATGGTACCTACCAACACATCACTGGCTATAAATAGTCAGAATATTATTTCCATATACATAATGTATTGTCAATTAGGTAAAATTACACTTTCATCTGATCAGAAGTCTTCATTATTTTCATGCATGTTCAGTTACCCATCTCTCTACCATCACTCTTGTACTTCTGCTTCTATTCTTTTGTCAAATAGACTAAATAGACATCAAATCTCTATTTAGGGCCTTTTGATCATTCTCAAAGAAACTGAAGTAATTCTCTCCTTCTGGCATCTTCTCACAGTGCAGTACCTGACTTAGAGTGTGTGTCACATGCCATGACAACCGTATCAGTTTTATCAACGTTTAGGCTGTAGCCTCAAGTGGCCCCCAACCCAGCTCTCACCCATGCTCTGCCATCATACTCTCATACTTTACTAATGTCACCCGCAATAATAGGCACTATTTATTATGTTGAAGTGCTCATAAGTCCTTGATGGTAGTACAACATAACCTGCTTCATGTGCCATTTTTAACCAACCAATGATCCACTGACACGTCGATTATTCAGTAGTCATGTAGTATGTTTGACTTCGGTGGTGGTGTGGTATACAGGTGTAGGGAACAGGCCACACCATACACAACTTGTCCTCCTAACTTCAGTAAGTTGAACACACACACTATAAACAACAAAAATACAAGTAGTACCCAGTTGAAGAATTTATATACTGTACAGTATCTTGTTATCATAATACTGGTATCAGTTAATGCATACAATATATCGGTCTTGTATACCTTATAATGTAGCTGTAAGGCTACATCTGTAAAGTCCTCACCTATGTTGACGACATACAACTTTATTTGGATGCCTGTGTCATAAAATGTACACAATTGGTGATCAAAATCTTTTCTCTATACAGTATATATATTACAGGTATTATACAGTATATAAAAAAATTTTACTTACACATTCTAAGAGTAGGTATTGGCCTCTGATGTTGTTGATAAGCCAAAACTTCCTCATTATGTGCAGGTGTGTGTGTGTGTGTGTTCACATACTGAGTAGGGCTAATTCTGACACCAGCAGCAGCAGTCCGAGCAGACAGTGGCTCACACCTGACCGCATGTCGTGTTGCTGTGTCTTGTCAGCCTTGTAATGCCTGAATTCTGTTGGTAATATTAGTCGGCAGTTCTCTGGCTCTCTAAACTTGTGTCAGTTAAGTGGGGGTTCCTGATGCTGTCTCATTTAAATTGTGTAAATATGAGGGTCTGATATATTCATAATACTGTAGAGGATAGAGGTTTTGGTGGGTTGGGAAAGCAGACCAGGGTTTAATATGCTTGTAGTGTAGGTTTGGGGTTCTGTTATATATGTGTAGTAAAGGTCAAGGATTTTGGTCTCCCTATAGTGTAGGTAAATGGTTATGGTATATTTATAGTGTAGATTAACAGTTTCAGTATATTTGTAGTAAAGTATAGGGGAAAAGGATTTTAGTATATGTATAGTGTAGGTTTAGGATCTGGTAGAGTTGTAGTGTAGGTCAATAGGTTCTCAAATGCTTGCAATGCAGGTTATGGGTTGTGGGAAATGAGCAGCAAATATTAACAAATGATGTGACCAATGAAATGAAAATTTCACATGACACTTAAGGGAATTAATGAGAGATCCAGTTAACTGGCGTCCGATTAACTGACAGTTTGGCTATTAGGAGGGTATCCCATATAACTGGTGATGCACGTACTCTTATGTGTTGATGTGGACATGAAAAACACCAAGTGTGCATTTTTTCAGTGTACTTGTTCTCAGCAACAGCTGGCCAATTTCTGGTATTTTGCTTATGTGGCCAAGCTTTGAGGTGTTGGAAAGTTACACGAACAGTTATGCGTGCTAATGAAATGACAATTTGTGATGTGTGGTAAGCTCACACTACTCCAAAGGTAGCAAAAATGTGAACCAATATGTGAGTTTTAACTAACTCTGTGATAGCTGTTCCGTACTTTAGCTAAACATGTACAAAATGTTAATAATAAATGGGATTCACCCCCCTCATACCTGGTATTAATTTTCATTTTGATTAATATAAATACTTAACAAATAATAACCATAACATACAAATAAAGTGTAAAATAAGTTAGATCCACCTTTTATCTCAATTATGATTACTATATCTTCAGTCTGTAAACTAACTCTGAATATTATCCTCTACACAAAAAAATTCATTTTTAAATGGTTCAATGAATTCAGTTTATCACAGAATGGTACATAAAAACAAATGGAAAATCAAAATATAAGAGAGAAAATGTGGAATTTGTAAAAATTTATCAGAAGCTGCTGAGGAAATGAATGCACAGCTGTGCTTAAAAGGTCAGTCTAGATAAATAAACCTATCAGTTATTCTTTTCAGCAATTTTTGTTCTCAGCATGTCCAGCATGTGGTGTTTTTACAGTAATAAACTAGCAAGATGTTTAGCATGAATTCTGACAAACTGAGATAACCCTGACAGATTTTCTGTTTAAAATATAAGGTGGCATTGTACAGTTCCTGTATGTTTAATGAGAAAATCCATGCAATGCAGTATACTCTATTGTATTTTCTAAAAAATGGTTGCCAAAAATACTGTTAAGAAAAATAATTTACAAAAGTGACTCACAAGTGCCTTAGCAGAGACAGCTGTACATTTAAGAGAAACTTAATATGCTTGAAAAACATTTAAATTACAATAGATATACATAGTACATGCACTGTACTATACTGTAAGCCTACTTGAGAAATAAGGTCAACATAATATACATTAAAAACCCATGTGAAAAGAATACTTGTTGATGAAGCAACTTGTACTATGCCCAAAACATCTGATAACACTGCCAGTAGATAGAACATCTGTTGTTGCCAAATCTGGGAGAACACTGCTTTTTGATGAAGGAACCTGTGATGCAGTCAATGTATTTTATGAACATTGGCAATTGACAGTGGGACCTGCACTGTGATCAAAATATTAAAAAACACCATCAATTGATGGTGGAACATGTGCTGTGTTCAAAATAACTTGGATGTTTGTATAGTATGAGCGACCTGCATGCAATTTACATTTAGCCCTTAATCTGAACGTGTTCCTGGAAAATCCTCACACAGTGAGTTCGAGCAGATTTTCCCAAATTAACCCTGAATGGGAAAAAACCAGCATTGAATGTAATTAAACGCCATTTTCTGGGTGAGCCCCGGAGGCTCCCTGGAGCTAGCGGACTGATATTAGCTATATTAATCTTGGGCTTCAGTCAATTGGAGTTCTGCCTACTGGGGAACACGAGCCAGAACCTGGCTCCCTTAGAGAGGCGTAGGGGTTTCCTTAGGCCATTGCTCCCTGTGCCTCTCTGAGAGGGCTAGGTTCTGGCTCGTGGTCCCTAGTAGGCAGAACTCCAATTGACTAAAGTCCCAGACTAATATAGATAATATCAGTCCGATAGCTCCAGGGAGCTGATGGGGCTCCCCACAGAAAATATTGATGAAGTCTATAAACCTGTAATGTCTATTTTTTACCTCACAATACAACACCTACCTAATCATTATTATTATAAACGTTTACAGTAATACTTTGTAATTGCAAATACAATACTAAATGAGGAGTAGAATGCTTGGGAGTTGTCACTGATACAAGAATACAATGAACCATAAAACACAAGATAATGGTGAGGGGTGACGAGATCAAGCATGTGGATATGGGGGTACCAAATCAACTAGGTTGCACGAATCTCGGGGAAAACAGCTCATGTTCTGTACCTATGAATCTCTCCTCATACGATTTTAATATTTTGTAATGAAGCCCCCAAGCCTTTTGCTTTGAATCTGCATTGATGAATATGCACAGATCAAGAGTTAATGTTACAGGTTTACCATGAGAAATGAATTTTGTAACTAGCTCATCAAGACTGTAACTTCCTTAGCTAAATGAATTGTGGGGTTCAGTCCCTGAGCCCATTATGTGCCTCTGTAGCCCCTTTCTACTACTGCCCACAAGATAGGTATGGGGTGCATAATAAATGAACTAAACTATGAGAAATGCCAATAAGCTCGGAAATCAATTTGCAGAGCCCAATTCTCACATTTCTACCAAGAATTGTTAATTAAGGTAAGCCACATAGACCTCAGCTGAACCCCCTACATGCTAAGTAACATAAGCTGCATTCACCTCAGCAGAACAACTACATGGTAATTAGTGTAGGCCTCAATCTAGCTGTTAAACATTCCAAATTACTGAAAATCAAAAGATTCAGAATCTTTACAAGCATTTTAAGTACAAAAGTAATACATTAATTTTCTGCATAAAAAGTCCTGAAAACTCATAATTACTGTTGAATTTCCTTTATTAACACTCCATTCCTCAAACAGAGGATATACTGCAGTTACAAATATTTTAGATAACTAATATGATATTTAAAATATTATAAAAATGAAACTTCAGAAACTTAATGCACATTACAGTACAGTATTTACAATATACTTGCAACAATATCTAAAACACTGAGTTTGGTACTAATGATTAGTCTTTGGAATTCTGTTCAGCTGTACATTAATGTTTCAAATATACATCATAACTATTAGAAAAATACCCAGCATTTACCTGGTTACCACTAAAAGTCAACAGTTTCATTATGGGGTTACCTTGAGGTGCTTCCGGGGCTTAGTGTTCCCGCGGCCCGGTCGTTGACCAGGCCTCCTGGTTGCTGGACTGATCAACCAGGCTGTTGGACGCGGCTGCTCGCAGCCTGACGTATGAGTCACAGCCCGGTTGATCAGGTATCCTTTGGAGGTGCTTATCCAGTTCTACTGCAATATACAACTGCTTCTTGAGAACGTTCTCCAACAATGAAGTGAGAGTTACTCCTCGTTGTAGTGATACGAAATCACAAACACACGCTGCCTGATACTAACAATTTGGGTCATAATCTACTTTATAACAATTTATAACAGTCTGAAATTCATTACGGCAAGAAAATAAGCAGTGTTCTAAATGAATATTGACAAAACTAAAAAATCAGGGGTCAGACAAGTACATTCAAACAGGCATAAAATATTGTTAAAAATTATTTCTAACTCATTTAAAGCCCTGAGAGATTGAGCTATTACAAGTATTTTCATCCCAAAATATAAATAATTATATATATATATATATATATGCGAACAAGCCTGAATGGTCCCCAAGACATATGCAACTGAAAACTCACACCCCAGAAGTGACTCGAACCCATACTCCCAGAAGCAACGCATCTGGTATGTACAAGACGCCTTAATCCACTTGACCATCACGACCGGACATAATGAGGTGATAGCCGAGGCTATTTGAACCACCCCACCGCCGGCACTCGGATAGTTATCTTGGGCATAGCATTTTACCAAATCACCTCATTCTTTGGGGCAACACGTGAGGAACACAAATGCGAACAAGCCTGAATGGTCCCCAGGATATATGCAACTGAAAACTCACACCCCAGAAGTGACTCGAACCCATACTCCCAGAAGCAACGCATCTGGTATGTACAAGACGCCTTAATCCACTTGACCATCACGACCGGACATAATGAGGTGATAGCCGAGGCTATTTGAACCACCCCACCGCCGGCACTCGGATAGTTATCTTGGGCATAGCATTTTACCAAATCACCTCATTCTTTGGGGCAACACGTGAGGAACACAAATGCGAACAAGCCTGAATGGTCCCCAGGACATATGCAACTGAAAACTCACACCCCAGAAGTGACTCGAACCCATACTCCCAGAAGCAACGCATCTGGTATGTACAAGACGCCTTAATCCACTTGACCATCACGACCGGACATAATGAGGTGATAGCCGAGGCTATTTGAACCACCCCACCGCCGGCACTCGGATAGTTATCTTGGGCATAGCATTTTACCAAATCACCTCATTCTTTGGGGCAACACGTGAGGAACACAAATGCGAACAAGCCTGAATGGTCCCCAGGACATATGCAACTGAAAACTCACACCCCAGAAGTGACTCGAACCCATACTCCCAGAAGCAACGCATCTGGTATGTACAAGACGCCTTAATCCACTTGACCATCACGACCGGACATATGCTATGCCCAAGATAACTATCCGAGTGCCGGCGGTGGGGTGGTTCAAATAGCCTCGGCTATCACCTCATTATGTCCGGTCGTGATGGTCAAGTGGATTAAGGCGTCTTGTACATACCAGATGCGTTGCTTCTGGGAGTATGGGTTCGAGTCACTTCTGGGGTGTGAGTTTTCAGTTGCATATGTCCTGGGGACCATTCAGGCTTGTTCGCATTTGTGTTCCTCACGTGTTGCCCCAAAGAATGAGGTGATTTGGTAAAATGCTATGCCCAAGATAACTATCCGAGTGCCGGCGGTGGGGTGGTTCAAATAGCCTCGGCTATCACCTCATTATGTCCGGTCGTGATGGTCAAGTGGATTAAGGCGTCTTGTACATACCAGATGCGTTGCTTCTGGGAGTATGGGTTCGAGTCACTTCTGGGGTGTGAGTTTTCAGTTGCATATGTCCTGGGGACCATTCAGGCTTGTTCGCATTTGTGTTCCTCACGTGTTGCCCCAAAGAATGAGGTGATTTGGTAAAATGCTATGCCCAAGATAACTATCCGAGTGCCGGCGGTGGGGTGGTTCAAATAGCCTCGGCTATCACCTCATTATGTCCGGTCGTGATGGTCAAGTGGATTAAGGCGTCTTGTACATACCAGATGCGTTGCTTCTGGGAGTATGGGTTCGAGTCACTTCTGGGGTGTGAGTTTTCAGTTGCATATGTCCTGGGGACCATTCAGGCTTGTTCGCATTTGTGTTCCTCACGTGTTGCCCCAAAGAATGAGGTGATTTGGTAAAATGCTATGCCCAAGATAACTATCCGAGTGCCGGCGGTGGGGTGGTTCAAATAGCCTCGGCTATCACCTCATTATGTCCGGTCGTGATGGTCAAGTGGATTAAGGCGTCTTGTACATACCAGATGCGTTGCTTCTGGGAGTATGGGTTCGAGTCACTTCTGGGGTGTGAGTTTTCAGTTATATATATATATATATATATATAATCACTATAAAATCAATTATATATATCACTATAAAATCAATCACTATGAAAATCAATTGTATTAATTACTTTAATACAAAATGGGGACAAAGTACATAAATGTAATAGGTGCAATATATTGTGTTATACATTTTGATGGGTATTATTTGTACATATTGTATCACCGAAGGCCAAGGTTTACCTAGGTAGAATACTTAGGGAAGGGTTTGTCAAAGGTTCAGTCCAGGTCAGGCACTTTAACTTTTACATTATTCAGCAACTTTTAAGAATATTTTGAGAGTTAAAGCTCTCAGTTAAAGTTAAATACAGTTAAAGCATGGTCATTAATTTTTAACATAAAGCAGGATGTGAATGGAAGGGTCATCTTTTAGTAATGCCATCTGCAAATTTTTATACTACATGGCTAGCAGAGTTCTTTCGAACTAGTGAACAGTGATGTCCTCTGATCTCCAACACACCTTCCAATGGAAGTTAATACCAGGAAGCATGTAAAGTCTCAATAAATCCCATAAAAATATTAAAAACTTTTGTATACATTTATCATTATGAAGATTTTGAAAAAATTCTCTTTATACTAACTTTTGTTTACCACTCTTGCAGCCGAACTTTAAACACGTCTACATGTGTGATCAAAATGCTGCTGCTTGATTATTTCCCATTAAATGGTTACATTGAGCATTAAATTTTCACATGTTAATATACTGCAATTGCAGAGTATGAAATACATTACTTTAAGAATTATTCTTTTGGCTTAGGTATCAAATATTATAACAATTGTTAGTATTTCCTGCCTAGTAGTATACACTATATAAGCAAAATACTTCAAATCTAAAAAGAAATTGATTAAGGCTTTAAAATTTTATGTTATGGTGTGGAGCTTATTATTGGATATACTGTGGCTACCCATCTTGTCATCATGTAAATACTGTAACTTGAATGCAATATTTGGAAGCAATCAATGAATGTAATAGGCTTTAAGGGCAAGGGCATGTTTTAATGGCAGTATTTGCTACCTCATTAGCCAGTTCATTGGAGACGATACCAATATGACTAGATACTGTAGCTGCTGATTGTACCCTCCATAATAAACAATGCTCATCACAGATGAACACATCCTGGAACAAAGTTGCAAGAAATTGTGAATGTATAGGTCATCTCAAGAGAAGCGGTCCACTGCTGAAGCACTTACAAAACCCAACACAAGGAAAGATAACTGGTAGCTTGTTGGTTCAACAGTTGGTCAAAAGTACACACGACAGCTTGTTTGCACACACATAAGAACTCTTCACTTGTAGCATTAGTATGCTGTAAAATTAATTCTGGTCTACTGCCCAACAACTGGCATAGCAACTAGTCAGGAAGACTGTGTCAGGTGACCTATCAAAAAACCTTGTAGTGGTGTACATTAATTATGTTGTAAGGATGCCGGACTGTCCCCAGAGAATCTATTTGTGTCTTAATTTTCTTTTAACCAGTAATACCATTGCATAGTAAGTTTCTTCTTTGTCGGTGGAGCTGTAGTTGTGAGATAAAAAAAGGTCAAGCACATCTCTTGCCTTTTCAGTTACTTCTATAAATATTATAAAACCAAAAACCAGTGTCTATCCAGACACCACATAAGATGGTACTTAACAATTACCCATAAGTACCATCATTGCATTCTGTCATATCTAAAAAAATATATTCATTAAAATTGTAATTGATTATGAGCTAGTGTGAGGTCTTTTAAATAACCAAGAGGTTAACCCTTTTGATTAAAACAAAGAATTCCCTCTCAATAGTTCTAACACACACAAAAGATTATGTCTTCAAAAGCCAAAAACAAAGCTTTGCCCACTGTACAGCAAAATCATTTTCTTCTGTAGAACATAACTAAGCAGTATACTTGCCTACAATATTAATTTCTTATGAAACTGACTACTGTAGGTTCATTTATGAAGCTATCAAAATAAGTTTAACACCAAACAGTATACAGTATGAACAGCTTGAACATGGCAATTTGGAATTTATATACTGAATTTTCCACTTACAAATGACTAACAATTATTGACATACTACAGTATTTAAATCTCAATATTTTTTCAAGATATAATAATTTTTTCTAATGCATTAACCCTTACAATGCACAACTGTTCCAGTCATTTGCTTACCCTACATGCAAATTTAGAACAAATTGGAAAATTATTATTTTTACGAGTTTCTTGTTTCCAAATGTGTGTAATGTACAGTACACCAAAAATAATAAAAAATATGAGAAAATATGTAATTCAAATTCCATTATTTTACTTGGATATACTGCACAGACTTATAAATTAAATACTGATATTGACATACAGTATTAAGTTCTGAAATTAGATTAGAAGTGTTCCCCATAATTTTAAAGTTTCTCTTACAGGAATCAAAGATAAATGGTACAGTTCGTACATCATATGACGTAAGCGGCACTCTCAGGGTTAATTATTTGGGTAAAAGACTAGCTGGGAATGTTTAGAATTTTGATACTGCAAGAATTTTCCAAGGGTGGAGTAGATGGGTGCTGATGATGATGATGCCGACGGTGGTGGTGTTGATTGTGATGCTCAGCCTCTCTAAGTTCTTCTTGTTCTGGCTCTTGTAAGTGATGTGAATGCTGATCACAATTATCTGGCTCCAGTTGGTCTTGGTGATGTATGCTTGGACCAAAATTCTCACAATCTTCAAGATTTCTTTGAAGATTTTGATGAAGTTCTTGTAGATGGTCATCCTGGGGATGGACATTTTGACCAGGTTGATCAAGTGCTTGTAGCTCCTGGGTGTGGTGAAGAGGGTGTTGAATGGGTAGTGAGAGTGAACTTTCTTTATAAAATTCCTGTTGAACTATTTGGTCAAACTGAAGATGATTTTGTAAGTGGTCTTGTCTCAAAGACTGATGTAATTGATCTGGTCCATGTGAGGATCGCTGCAGATGATCTTGCTGCTGTGTTTGATGTTGCAATTGAGTCTGTCGTCTATTGATTTGTTGCAAATGACTATCTCCACCAGTTTGATGCAAGTGGCTGTGTTCTCTTGAGGTTTGTTGCAAATCAGTACTGTGCTGTCTTGTAGGATGTTGCAAATAATCCTGCTGCTTTGAAGGCTGCTGTGAATGATCATGTTGACGTGGTAGTTGACGAACATGGTCTTGTGATGGCTGCTGCGAATGATCATGTTGACGTGGTAGTTGACGAACATGGTCTTGTGATGGCTGCTGCGAATGATCATGTTGACGTGGTAGTTGACGAACATGGTCTTGTGATGGCTGCTGCGAATGATCATGTTGACGTGGTAGTTGACGAACATGGTCTTGTGATGGCTGCTGCGAATGATCATGTTGACGTGGTAGTTGACGAACATGGTCTTGTGATGGCTGCTGCGAATGATCATGTTGACGTGGTAGTTGACGAACATGGTCTTGTGATGGCTGCTGCGAATGATCATGTTGATGTACCGATTGATGAAGAGAAGTATGTTCTTGAGGCAATTGTTGTAAATGAGCTTGCTGCTGATTTATCTGTTGTATATGATCTTGTCGATGGGATGATTTCTGCAAATTACTTTGTGAAGTGTGATGCAGATGATTATGTTGTTCTGGCAAGTGCTGCAGATTATCATGAGATAAATGTTGCAGAGTTACTTGCTGATGTGATATTTGCTGCAAATTGTCTTGTGGTGGCTGTTGCGATGACTGTGACAGCTGAAACTCTTGCGATGGCTGTTGCATATGATTCTCTTGGTGATGAACACTAACATGTTGAGGATAAATAGAATCACATGGCGAGAGGAGATGAGGTGAGGAGTAATGATGAGGGGCCTGTTCTACTGTGGAAGAGATGGAGGAAGGCGAGGGGTAACGCTGCAAGGGGTGTTCCACAGAAGGGGAACCCCGACCTACAGAATGTTGATAAAGACCATCACTGGCCTCATCTGTCACAGCTAGCACTGCTGTCAGAAGTTTCATGGCATCCACCTCTTTAGTATTACTCTGTAGAGATGTACCAGTGTTCACATCCTTAAGGGGTTCAGCTTGAAGGGCTGGACAGCTACAGGGGCAATATTTCTTATGGGCCTTCAGCTGTCGTCTTCGGAAAAATGTTTGATCACAATCTTCACACACATATTTATCCCTTATGTGTTCACTGCTATCATCAACATCTTGTTCAGAGCCTGAATTACCTTGTGTAGTTCTCAGCACTGGATGATTTGTCCGCTTATGACGCACTAACTCCTCCTGACATGAGAAGCTGACAATACAAGATGGACAGCTAAATGAGGCATCTTCTATTTCAGTGTGATCAAGTTTATGATGCTCATATGAGACCTTATCTACAAAAATATGGCTACAAATCTTACATTCATAATGTTCATCACACTTGTTGTCACTGACAGACACACTGTTATTATGAGTTCGGATGTGTTTTGTTAGAGTCCCTCTCTGATTAAACGCAGCCCCACATTCTTCACACACATATGGTCGATCACCTTTGTGTATTTTCATATGCGACCGTAGAATCTCTTTTCTTTTAAATGTTCCATTACACTCTTCACAACGAATTGCTCCCTTTCTGTCATGAACTCGTTTTTCATGCTGAGTCAAATATTTATGGGTAGTAAAAGTGGATGGGCATTTGTTACATTGGTATGGTCTTTCACCACCATTATGGAGTATTTTATGAATCTCTAACTTCTTTGCTTGATTGAAACTTAAACCACAAATGTTACACATATGTTGTAGTTTGATCTGGTGATGAGCAATGTGCTTTCTCAGATTTTCTTTCTCACGAAATTTATATCCACATTCTTCACATTTCCATGGCTTCTGATTGGAATGGATTCTTTTGTGACGCTGCATGGCTGCTCTTTGGGTAAATGAGGAACCACACACCTCACACACAAATGGTTTTTCTCCTGTGTGTCTACGTCTGTGACTTTTCAAGGTAGATAGAAGCCGAAACGTTTCACCACATTCACTGCATCTGTAGGGTTTTTCTCCTGTGTGTTTTCTTTTGTGTGTAACTAGCATACCTGCCCCATTAAATGCAACATCACACTGGTCACATTTGAAAGGCTTCTCACCACTGTGCAATCGTTTATGTACCTTCAAGCTGCTAGTCTCAGTAAAGCAAGTTTTGCACTCATCACAACTATATGGTTTTTCCCCAGTGTGCACCTGCAAAAAGAGAGAAAACCAGTAAAACTAAATAAAAAATAAATACAGTTGTACCTTTATTTACAAATTTAATCCGTTCCAAGAAACAGTTTATAAACCAAAAATTTGTAAACTGAAATGAATTTTCCAATAAGAAATAATTTAAATTGAATTAATCTGTTCCACACATCCAAAAATATTAACTTAAAAATACATTTTATACAGACTACTACTCATATGTTGTACTACAATATATCTTACCTTTATTGAGGACTCTTGTTGGCATATAGAAGACAGTGAGGAGGAGGGAGAGGAGGAGAGGTGTTAGTGTAGTGATGACTTCTCTGGGAGTACTCTCCTATGTTTTGCAGGCATACCACTAGGACCTGGTTGTGACTCACTGCTTGCTTGTCTTACTAAGAATCTGTCTAAAGACACTTGTTTTTCCCTACGTTTTAACACTTGTCTGTAGTGAGACATCACATTGTCATTAAAAAGGTTAATGTAATGGCCTGCTACAGCTTTATCTGGGTGAGTTTTTTCAGCAAAACTTTGCAGTTCTTCCCATACTTCACACATTTTCTTAATGAGGAATTGACATCTTCTACTGCCTCTATTCTCAACTAATTTCTTTGGTTGAACTTTACCACTGACTTTCTAGGGACCCATGGAGTGATATACGTATAATAATTACTTTTATGTTCAGAAACCAAAAAACTAGCATGAATGTAATGAAATGTCATTTTCTGGGTAGAGCCCTGGAAGCTTCTTGGAGCTACTGGACTGATATTAGCTAATAAGTATTAGTATGGGGGCTTCAGTCATATGGAGTTGTGATGCCTACCTGGGACCACTAGCCTCTAGTGTGTTTTCACTATTGTGTTTTCTGCGGATCTACTGCAAAGACCTCGCATTTAGGGAAGGGTGCCACATAGACTGGGAGACGCCTTGACCACACCGACACGAAGAGGTTCACCTCTAGGGGCCCGAACATCCGGCAGAGCCAACTGAACAAAAACCGGCATCGACCATCCATTTCGTGTACAGGGGAGTGAACTGCGAGGCCGTCCGCCAGGATGTTGGACACGCCCCTGATATGAACCACACAGAGAGCTAAACCCCGAGAACTCAGTAGAAGAGCCACTCGAAGCAGCCAGCCCAAAAGAGCCATGGACCACAGAGATCCCCCCATGGTTCAGACAATGAATCACCGGAGCACAGTCCGAATGGAGCCGGATCGTAGAGCTCCGAGCGAGCCGAATCTGATACAGAATAAGCGACACTAGCACCAAATGCCCATCCCGACCTGCAGATACCCGAGCCCTGGCACGACCCCTCTGGGAAGCACAAGAACGCGCAGCCTGGACAACCAACATATCCGAAAAAGGGCAGCAACTAGCATAAGCTGCCTGCAGAAACTGAGGCACAACCGAGTCCGCAAACAACGGCAGACAAAACGGAGACGAAAACTTAAGAGTGAGGGCCCAAGCAGAATCCACAGAGAGGGTGAAGACAGCCTGCCAACACGTGAGGTGAGAGTCATAAAACAAGGACACTGCCTCCCGGAGGATAGACCTAAACAGCTTAAGCAATGCTTAAGTCAACAAGGAAGACGACAACCTGGCAGCCATCTCCTCCACATCCTTCTCAAGCCAGTCCAAGGACAGCTCGAAGGGGGGAAAGAAGTGTAGGACCGAGGCCAAATGCCCACGAGCGCGAAGATCTTCTGCAGCCAGAAGGGAAGGGACCTGGACGTGCAACTGGAGCACAACAACCTCACAAGGAAGCACAGGGGCATTCAAGCATGCATTATGAGGCTCAAATGCACTCCTAAGTACACCTGCAACACTGTAGTGAGCTCTCGCTACTCAAGAGTACAGGAATGACAGAATATATGCAATACCCCCAACGAAAAGAAAGGGCAGTCCGCAAGCCAGGAAGATGCTGGGACATATCCAATACTGTGAAAAAAACCTAACTCAATGGTTTAATTGGAAGAGGATTTAATTGAAAGAGGATTTCTCCAATCATCATCTTTGTTCAAGGTAGACTAAAAGAATAATTAACCATAGAATGTATTACACTAATTATAAATTTACACGTTTCAAGCATACATAGTTTATTTTCAAGTGATGGAACTGTACTGGGCATTTTAGATTTATACCATTAGGGAGGTCAGGTACATAATACAAATAGGTGAAGAGTATGGCATAAAGGGAGGAAGAATAGGGCATAAATGGGGGATGAATGGGGGACATAAATGGGGATGAATGAAGCAGAAAAAAGGGAAGAAGAACATACAAAGATTAATCTGGTGTAGTGGGCATGGCGTTTTGAGCAGTGTCGTCTACATTGGTATCTTTGTGTTCCGGTCTTGTTGGTTGGTAGAGTGAATAGTTTCGTTATTTGGGTATTTATGGTAGGTTGTTTGGCTTTTATATGAATGGCTTCAAGAATTTTTAATCCTCTTACATCCTGAGTTTGCAAGTATTTTTATTCAACATTTCTCTTGTTAGGGTGATGTTATGGGCTTGTCTCATGTGATATTTAGAGGCACCTAACTGAAGATGACCAATCAAATGCCTAGTAAGCTTGGTCTACGTCATACCTATGTACAGTACTTGGATTGAATGCTACATCTTTCATGGGGGTAGGTGTACATGTATACCACATTCAACAAGAACATTTGCCATTTGCCGTCAAGTGGCAAATGGAATTTTGTGTGAATAAATGCCATGTTATGGAATGTGGAATCGGAGAAAATAGACCACACACAACTTACAAATTATGCGGAAAGGAATTACAGAACTTTAATAGAGAACGAGACCTAGGGGTAGTTTTGGAGTAAGCTGTCACCAGAAGAACACAAAGAACATTGCGAGAGGAGCGTATGCGTTGCTTTCCAACTTCAGACTTGCTTTTAATTATATGGATGGTAAAATACTAAAGAAACTTTTAATGATTTTTGTGAGACCAAAACTGGAATATGCAGCAGTTGTATGGTGCCTAAATCTCAAGAAGCACATAAATAAACTGGAAAAGGTGCAACAGCATGCTACAAAATGGCCTCCAGAAGGGAAAAACAAGAGGTACGAGAAGAGACTAAATATTAAATATTAAATTAAATATGCCAAAACTAAAAAGATAGAAGAAAGAGAGATGATATGATCACCACTTACAAAATACTAACAGGAATAGACCAAATTGATAAAGAGGAATTCCTGAAACCAGCAACTTCACGAACAAGAGGACACAGATTCAGGCTAAGGAAACAATGGTGCTGAAAAAATATTAAAATTTTTTATTTTACAAACAGAGTGGTAGACAGTTGGAACAAACTAAGTGAGAAGGTGGTGGAGGCCAAAACCGTCAGTAGTTTCAAAGCATTATACGACGAAGGAATAAAATCTTGGAAGACGGGACACCCCGAGCGTAGCTCTCATCCTGTAACTGCACTTAGGTAATTACACACGCACACGCACACACACACACACACACACACACACACACACACACACACACATATTGTACCCAATAAGCACACTATTGATGTTTACTTTACCTTCATATGCCTGATAAGCATTGCTTTAGCAGAGAAGGCTGTGCCACACTCATCACACTTAAAAGTTCGCTCTCCAGTGTGACTTAGTTCATGTACCTGGTAAAAAACATCAGCACATGTAATTTTTTTTACACAGTAAATGTCAAAATAAAATTCTGGTTTATACTTTGCATCTGAAATGCTATCTGTCAAGGGTTGCCAAATAATGCCAAGAGTGCAGGATGCACAAAGAATGTCCCTGAATGACAATTAAAAGCATATTAGAAATACTGTAGTTAGATATTGTATATAACTTGCAGACAAAAATCTTCATAAAATTAATAATGACATGTGAGATGACTATCAGGAGACAGGAAAGTGGAATTAATAAAATGTTTAAAACACTGCATTAAATGGAATGAAATGCCTTGCTCAGAATGTCCTCGACATGCTAGGACAACTTTACTTCCCAGATGGACAAGTACTTTTCAAATTGCCTTGTCCCCAACAATAAAAAAAAGTTTGGGTATCTCAGTAGAGGCCATATCTCAATCCACACTGAGGTAAACAACTCATTATACTGTATTCAGAAACTCTTCAAACCCATCAAAACCCTCTCCATACAAGCCTAGGATACTAAAAATTGCCAAGAATCACGTAAGGATTAATTGTTTATTACAGTCTCTCAAGAGCTAAGAGTGATCACCTGGCTGTAAAGTGATGGTAGACATCTCCCCCAATCTACTTAATATTACTGTAGTGCTGCCCTGTAGTGCCAATTAGTGTACTTCACAAGTGCTTTTTAAAGTTCAGTAATTCTTTAAAAATTTTGAACTGCTATGGATTGTTTGGAGGACATTGACAAGGCAATGAAACAGATACTTGTTCTTTGGGAAAGTAAAGGTGCTCAGGGTCTGGAGCAATATCAGCATCATGACTCAGGGAAGATAATGAGGAATCTTACACAAAGTATTAAATATTGTACAGAGACTTTATACTTCAGAATACAGGCAGCACTTGCTATGCCAGCGTTCTATACTGTATATGCAAAATACTGTAAACAAGATAGGTACAGTATTAAACCCCCAAATTTGCTATGCAAATGATAGCCTTAAAAAATGTCCACACTTTTCTGGATTACATTCTTGCATCATGACCCTTTCCATGCAGTATGCAATGATACTTTGACTGCAGTTTAACTGAATGAGGAGAAAAAAGTTCACTCTTAAAGGTCGCTGCAATGCATCCACCATCATCCCAAATATCTTCTTTATAAAAAAGGCCATTTTATATTGATCATCATGCACCCATCATGCACAGTGAGAGCTGAGTGTACAAGACAGAAAGTAAAGACATATGTCAGTTAGAATAAACACACCACAGTACAAACCTTGAGTCTGTCTTCTTGTGGAAAGGTCTCATTACAGTGCTTGCATGAGAATGGTTTCTCAGGAAGTGGCAGTGGATGTGTGGTCTTGGGTTCAAGTGCTAGCGAATCATTCTCACACTTGACACAAGTAGTTGCAATTTTGTTAGAATGAGCCTGAAAGATAATTTTCTTCTTTTATAACACACATTTCCCCTGAAAGTAAAACTTCTACAAAAATAACTCAATCTGACAGTAATTGGTCAAGTGAAGCTATGTAAATGATCTAAACAGATATTTAGCAGCCATTCCAAACTTTGTTTAGCACTTTTGAGAAAAAGTGACAGCATTTATCTTTTTTTTTCAAATACTTTGACTGTACTGTATATGTTTTGATATTAGTCAATCAAGAAAGGTATTCTCCAGCAGTTATATCTCCGTATGCAAAAACAGCTTACAGTGTTTAAGTCTCTGGTACCAATGTGACTTCCACAGGTTACCAGGCTCTTGACCATGTCCAGCCTATTAGAAACCCGGATTACACTTTGATTCTCTCACTGAGGCTAGGGAAGCACATGGATCAGAAATAAATGAAAAACAAAGAAAATTGCCCAGAATGTTACAGACAAAACAAAAAAAAAAATCACTGTTCTTAAATATAAATTAAATTTAAGAAACTAAGTAATTGATAGTTGGCAGCAGGTAAAAACTCCTGCTTCAGCTTAACTGGCTGCCAAACAATGGCAGTTCATGTCAATCTGAGTCTAAGAAAACTTGAATCATGGTGCCACCCAAATTGACAATTTCCATGGGAAAGGAAGAAGAAACAAGGAGCTACAGAGAGCTACCCAAAAAGGGACATGTTATTATATTTAACATTTTATCTTTGGGGTGGCCCCTTAGTAGCTCTCCAGTGTTTACTCAAAATGACTTTGATGAAAGGGAACACATAGTCACAAGAAAAGACAAATGGAAATGGCTTACAATTTGAGAAATCGGCAGACCAGGGCACATGAAAAAAGAGGGCCTCTGAGAATGAAGGGCAGAGGACAAAGAAGCAAAGAACCCAATGAAAGTACCCCAATGAGGGAAAAGAAATGAACACCATACACACATATGAAAAAGGCAAACAGGATGCCAGCCTAATAAAGCTAAGAATAGCAACAGCCAGCAGATGCTGTTACCCAAACATTAAGCCAGGAAAAAACAGAAAAGTAATAGTCAACACCCAAGAATACAAGAAAAACGTGAACCCTTGTGATAGAAGAAAGCCGGCAACCAGACAATGACCCAGACCGAACACCAAAGTCCACCTGGACGGTGAAAAAACAGGGAGACAAACACCTCAAACCACAACCAGGAAGAGAATCACAAAAGAACACCCCTAAAGGGGACACTGGTAGGCAAATCATCTGCCAGGAGGGAACTCAACCCAAAACCTTGGTCAAGCTGCCATCACCAAAACCTGACAAAGAGGAGCGCAAAGCATAGACAATCCTCACATACAACAACAGAATATGGGAAACAGCTAAATGGGCCTTGACACAAGTCAGGGATAGCCCTGGAGAATCAAGAAAGGGACCAAGACAATAAGGAGAGTATGCATACAATTAGCGATGCATAGGAAGGCCAGGGAGGCCTTGAATTGCAGAGGGCCAGGATAAACATATGGATACAAAGGAACCCAACCTCGATGGTAGGGGGCACCATCCCAACTAACATGGGTAGCAAAAGTAGGTGACAATAACAAGCTACTTTAAGTGACCTCAATTCTGATTTTGGTTTTTGTAAACTATCCAAGTTCTCAAGGATTTCAGTTGAAGTTGAAATCATTTTTTTTTTTATTGATATCTGCAGTGCTGGGTGCTTCCCCTTTAGGTTCCCTGTTTTTGTTCTTCTCTGTGGGTATTGAGTTTCAGGGAGTCAATGGGGCTCCCCCCAGAAAACCAGCATGAAATGCCAATTTCTGGGTGATTCTCCTCCCTGACATCTTCCCTTCCTCAGGTCGGTGGCATATGTCATCATTCTAGAGCTGGCCGGCTACCTCCTCCCCCCAACGAGGGAGGAGGTGGAGCTAATTAGTAGGGGCCTAGTTTCACAAAATTTTGGTTGTTTGTTGTTATTGTTGTGGGAGTTCGTTTGACATTTTGGAGGTTACAGTCTCGTTTTAAACCATGCAGTGGTTGGTTTTGATTCGCCTATCTTTCTGGGTGCCTTCTCTAGGTGATGGCAAAGATGATAACCATTAAATGTAAAGTGATCATAGGCCCTCACTCCCTGAGCCTCTCTGAGGGACTAGGTTCTGGCTCGTGGTCCCCAGTAGGCATAAAGAACTCCACAACTGATGACACTAAGTAGTATGGCACTTAATCAGTGAAATAGCTTCAGGGAGCCGATGGGGCTCCCCTCAGAAAGTCTAAATTAGGCAATAAAAAATAGCAAGTAAAGGCAAGGGTGTTGAAAGCTGATGCTGACTGACTGAGACTTTGTACAGTATCAAGAACCTAGGCAAGATTAACTGAGTGAACAGTAAGAACAAATGCTTAAGAAATTTCTTCTTTTTGATCTTGTAACCTTAATCAGAATGTCTAAAACTACCTCTGGTGAGATTTTATAGGAAGTTACAATTTTGAAGGGAATAAAGTAAAAATCTGGTCTTTTAAAATACTGTACCAAATAAAGACAAGGGTATTGGAAGGGTCTGGAAAATGAATAAGAGCTAAGAAAAAAATTTAAGGGGAATAATATAATAAAGTGTGTATTTTCAAAAATACTCATTTTGATATTGTAACATCATGTACCGGGAAGCTACAGAGGACCAGCACAGAAAGTGGGCAGATATGGGGAATGTGTACGTATAGAGCACAAGTGGTGGAAATAAACAGTACAATAGATGTTGGTAGGGAGGTAATGAATGATAATTTTTTCTTCTACAATTTACATAAAGTACTTTAAATCTAAGAAACAGCTGATTTACAGATATTTAGTTTGTATGTGATATCATTTATCTAATATGATTATCTGATTTTGGAAAGAAAGATGAAACTTTTTGCTTAGAAAATCTATAACCCACTTTTCCCCCAACAAAATTTACATTTGATTCTGGAAAATGCCTCCTTGATACCATGGAAATGGGAGATGAAGCACAAATCCTGATGAAATATTTGTCAATTCAGTCTGTGACAAAGTAATTACAGCACTGTACTTTAACTCCTCAGTATGAAAGTATAAATAAATCTACCATAACCCTACATTAGCTAAAACAACAATTAGTGTAACCATCTTCATAAGGCACTTATGATGAGGTAATCTGGTAAACAAGGCACCACAGCCACTGCGCTCAAACTCAGGCATTTTCTCATGCTTTTCAACACTAACCTGATCTAGAGTGTCATCTAATGCATGTTGTGTCGATAAAGCATGTGGAGTCATGTCCAATGCAATGAGGGAAGGATGCAAATGTGGCAGTTGATGTGCTGATGAGGGAGGAGAAACAGCAGCCATGTGGGTAGGAGCCTGAGACATGAGTGTAGGCTGTACTGGCGGTAACTGGTGACCAGGCGAGAGATCCAGTGCTGATGATGTCAGTGTAGTTGGAGATGGAGGAGATGGCTGCACCTGTGGAAGAATCTAAACTGATTTCAAGCAACTTGCCAAAACACTGCTGTAATTTATGAAAAACTGAGATGATCTGATGTTTTAATAAATCAAATAATAAACATACAGTACTTTATAGCAGATCTTAAAATGTGGTAAAATTGTTAATGAAATTTGCATCACTAGACAAAAATAGAAACTGGTAATCAGGCTTCAAAACATTTGGGCCTTGTGGTAGTGAGAAAATTATTATTTATAACAACTAGCCAAGAAATACAACACCTTAACATAGTGAAATATATATAATTGGGTAATTACACACAAAGAGACCTGGGAGTGGATGTAACATCAAATCTAACTCCGGAGGCACATATAAATAGGATAATGACAGCAGCATACTCTATGCTAGCAAAAGTTAAAACATCACTCAGAAACCTAAGTAAGGAGGTATTTAGAGTGCTTTACACTGCCTATGTGAGACCAGTCTTTGAGTATGCTGCCCTACCTGAAGAAACACATAAGGAAACTGGAAAACATTCAGAAATTTGTGACGAGGCTCATCCCAGAATTGCGAGGGATGGAGTATGAAAAGCAACTGAAGGAACTGAACCTGATGGTGCTAGAAAAACGGAGGGAGCAAGGAGATATGATAGAGACATAAAATACTTGGGGGGATCGACAGAGTGGAAATAAATGAAATGTTCACATTGAATACCAACAGAACAAGAGGGGCATGGGTGGAAGCTTGAAAAGCAGATGAGCCATAGAGATGTATACAAAGAAAGAGTAGTGGGAAAATGGAATGAACTAAAAAAGCAAGTTGTGAAAGCAAACTCTATTCATAATTTTTAAAGCAGATGTGATAGGAAAATAGGACAAGAGTCATTGCTTTAAACAACTGGTGGCTAGAAAGGCAGGATCCAAGAGCCAATGCTCGATCCTGCAGGCACAAATAGATGATATAAATAGGTGAGTGCCCCCACACACATACTGTACTAAAGAAATTGTTCATGACCTTTGTGAGACCAAAGTTGGAATATGCAGCAGTTGTGTGGTGCCTATATCTCAAGAAGCACATCAACAAATTTGAAAAGGTGCAAAGACATGCAATAAAATGGCTTCTGGAACTAAGAGACAAGAACTATGGTTAGAGGTTAGAGGCACTAAATGTGCCAAAGCTAGAAGATAGAAGAAAAAGAGGTAATATGAACATTATGTACAAAATTGCAAATGGGAATCGACAAAATTGATAAAGAAGAATTTCTGAAACCTGGAACTTCAAGAACAAGAGGTCATAGGTTTAAGGATGTTCACCTGTAGCAATAATCAACTGTCATGTTTTCCTCATTGCCCATTTCTTTCTTTCAAGCAGTTGCTTGTTTTGTTTTGCTTAAACTTTGTAGTTGGTCTCTCAGTTTTCAGTAGATCTCTGATCTCTATGCTACCCTCACCTCACTCAATGTGAGTCTCAGAAGTATGACTTGATTCTTAAGGCATATCTATACCACCACATAAACATCAAGGAACTATTACGGAGACTTTTCGAAGCTTCACATATGTAAACAAATCTAACTTAACTCAAATCTGGTTCCAGCCAACTGACTATGAACTGGACAACAGTCAGGGAGTGCAAGCTGGATCAGGTAAGTGGATCCATGGGTGGGAATGGTGCTGTCACCTGATGTTAACTGATGAAGGTGATCAGAAAGTCAAACGACTGTTTAGCAAAAACCCTCATTGCAGATATATGTGATACCAAGAGAAGGCTAGGAAAGACTTCGATTTTATGTGTGTTGTCTACTGGAGGCTTTCCAGGCAAGAGTAAGTATTCCCTAGTGACTTCCTCGTACTTGAACAACCCTGTATGATTGTTTACAATTCTCTAAGATGTCATGCTATACTGTTCAGCATGATTTTTTTTTTTTTTTTTTTTTTTTTTTTTTTGAGATATATACAAGAGTTGCTACATTCTTGTACAGCCACTAGTACGCGTAGCGTTTCGGGCAAGTCCTTAATCCTATGGTCCCTGGAATACGATCCCCTGCCGCGAAGAATCGTTTTTTCATCCAAGTACACATTTTACTGTTGCGTTAAACAGAGGCTACAGTCAAGGAATTGCGCCCAGTAAATCCTCCCCGGCCAGGATACGAACCCATGACATAGCGCTCGCGGAACGCCAGGCGAGTGTCTTACCACTACACCACGGAGACTGCACAAGAGAGATTGTGCACAATTCTATCCTAGGGAAGGTATAGAAATTATTAAGAGAAAGTTTTATACCAGTATGATTATACAGTACTGTATAGCACTTGGAAGGGATACGAGGATGGAGTGAAGGAATGGTGTTCACCCACTTGGACCATTAGGGATCAAATGCCAGCCCAGTAAGAAGCAAGGTTGTCACTGTACTTACCAGTCTATGTGGATAAACTGAACATGGGTTTTATATTTATGACTAGTCAAATGTGATACTGTAGCTCAGAAATTATCTTATTCCTTCTCATTTCTGTCCTCATATGAATAATATGCAATCAACAGAACCACCTTAATCTTTCAAACTTGAATTTCCCACACAAGCATCTTGAACTGCACTGCAAGTAATTGCTGTCTATCAGTTTCACTTCATTAAAAAAACAAATTTATGTTAACAAAAATTTACCCTCGCATACCCATTGTAAAATAAAAGTAGAACTCACAGATGAGCATACTGGGACGGATGTGGGCAGTTGTGCTACAGATATGGAGGGCAAAGGGGAAGAAAAGTTATCTGAAATAAGATGAGGTGGAACTGTATACTGGAGGGAAGTGATCACAGTTTCATTGGGCTGGCCTGAACCCACAAGTATACTCTCTTCAGCAGATCCTGTAAGGCTTCTGTCATCAGCTGGGCTGCGATTCCATGACCACTGTATTGTATCTGAAACTATAGGTATGTATGTAAAATATTGCAATCACAGAGATGACCATGTATTATATATATACAGTAGTTAAATAAAAATGGCTTGTGTAGTCCATGACATCTTTACTCAATGTTATATCAATGTCTCACACTTTCTCAAGAGTAATGCAAGACTGGCAATACTGTTGACAAAATTCTGGCAAGTAACAAATAAGCTAAAATTTTAAGTTACTCCTTAATAGGAAGGTCTAGTAAGAATATTTCTTGGTGAAATGCAGAATTTAATACTTACAGATATTCTCTGCATGGTAACTTCTGGTGGCATTCACAAGAATTGAATAAAATCTGATTTATTGTACTGTGTGAACCAAATCATAGTTTTGGAAGCATCCACCAGAATTTCATACTTAGGATACTACATACAGTATTATGAATTGAATGTGGGTTCATGAGCTTAATAATAATAGTTTCACCAACATACACTGAAAGTAAATACTTACAAATATACTCTGGATGTGCTGTTGGGTCCGTAGCCAAGCCATAGTTTCGGAAGCATCCATTAGAAGTTGATGAACTATAAGGTTCAAATGTTTCAGCAGCATGAGTAATTTCTTGAAACAGCTGTCCTCTTGCCCGAGCATCCTCTGCAGCTTCCAGAGATGACACAGATGACCCTTCAACAAACACCACAGAGCTACTGCTGTTGCACAAACTTGAGAGATTTTCCGGGTCATTCTTGATTTGAATTAGATCATGATGCATTGACTCCAGGAGATTTTGTCTAGCAGTAACTTCCTGTTCCAAGATAACAATTTTAAATTTTTATTACAGTACTTACTGTACTAGTACGAGAGCGATTGACGAAGGAGAAAAATAGTCAAGCACTGGATGTGTAATTTACCCAAATTTACTTTTGAGCCACCACCTCTCTAGTGGCTTTGAGAGGGACAGGTACATTCATTCACATCAAAGGTACATTCATTTTTCTTGATGATGTCCTTGGTTACGATGATCTGATAAACTGAACAGATTTTTATATTTGAACAGTGGTAGACTAGTATTGTATACTGGAACTTCATATATGTATACTGTACACTTATGAGGATGTCTAAATAAGGCAATTCCAAGAGGTATTTCCAAACAAAGGAGTAACATACTGAAAAAGGTACTGTACATACAAGAACAAATTAAAATGGCTATTTCTATCTTAGTGAGAAGAAATAGTTGGAAGATGGGTTACCACCCCAATTTTAAATTCTCAAACTTGGGAAAGAATTTACAAACCTGAAGAGAGTCCCGCCATGAGGAGGGTCGAGATGCATGGTGAGAATGGTAGTAAGTCACAGTCGACACAGGAGGCAGGACGTCTTCAGATTCTGCAGTGCCTATATCTTGGAAACGCTCTCTCGTTTCCCCACCCATGTCCACCATTTTGTTGCATGTGATGGCACTTGGTGCAAAACAAAAATTCTGAAAATCAAATTATAAAAGATAAAATTCCAATTACTTAAGTAAATGGTAGCACAAATCTGAGCTGAAATATGCACTGTATAGTGATGTAATTGTAAGTGACAAAGAATTAATGGGAATAACACCAACATCAGGCCAGTGATGAACTATTTTACAATGTTATTTTATCAAATTAATACAGAACTACGAACAATGACTTAGTTATTTTCCAGAAGGCTACTATAATACACTTTACTTTATTTCCCATTAGCCCAATTTATATCTAAAAATCCAGCATTGAATGTAATGAAACACTAATTGCTGTGAGAGCCTCGGTGGCTCCCTGAAGCTATCACATATTGATATGGTACCATCTACTATGCTGCATCATCTGTGGAGTTCTATAAGCCTAATGGGGATTAGTGCCAGAACTACACCCCGACTCAGAGGACCAGGGAGCAGTGAGAGTCAAAACAAACCACTGCTGGCTTAAATAGTCCACAGCCTTAAGAAATGTCAAAAGAGCCCAACCATTGCCAGATTTTTCCTGATGATTGGATTTTGAACCGCAGCATTGTCTTAGCATTATAGAACTGCTTTAGTGGGTAAGCAGTTCCATCATCTCAGTTGCAGACTTTTCTTCCATTTCAATCTTCCATTGAACATGCTGTAGATGATCTCTAACCCTCCTGTAGTTCCCTTTTCTGTATTCTCTCATGCTCTTTGTCCTGTTTCCGACTCTCTCTTTCAGTTATACAGTACAATGTAATCACACACGATAATGCAGAAGTCACCGACTCCTATTGATACCTCACGTTTAGTTCTCATTATCTCACAGGTGAGGAATCTCTCTAGCATATTTTGGGTAAACACCAGGGCTAGGATAGCTGGTAAATCACCTTCTCTTATTGGGTCCTTGATATGCTGCCACATGAGGTGTTTGTACTTAGTGTTCACAGATCTTGTTCTCCATGTTTCATCTTCCTCAAGGAACCTTCGTTGACCAGTCTATTTCACCGCGGTTAAAACCCACAAAAATTACGATCTTTGCTCTGACTCTCCTTGCCAATGTGGCCACCTTTTCTATAATCTTCAGATATGTTTTGTTGCATTTATTATATTCCTCCCTTGACCTTCCTGTACTAATGGAAGGATATAAAAAACACTTAAAAGATGCAAATAACACATCATTTTCTTCCTGGTCCTCTGTTATCATACCTTGTATGAAATCCTGTTGTGGAGAATTTACCTGAATTTACCTGGATCCCACTATCTCTCAAACATATTCAATTGGGGCAAGTAGCTGGCAGCTTGTCAAAGGTACCCCCCCCCCATTGTTCCTAAGGATTTTTTCTAACTGGATTTAGAATTGAAGTGCAGTATAGTCTTGTCATTTACGGCTTCAGCGGGTAGGCAGTTCCATGAGCTTATAACCCTGAGTGAACACGGCAACTGATGGCTGAGGACTCCAGCAAGAAGAGAACACAGTACCTGACAGGTGAGGAACCAAACTCATCCAGTAGGAGAACACAGTACCTGACAGATGAGGAAAGCAACTCACCCAGCAGGAGAACACAGCACCTGACAGGTGAGGAACCCAACACACTCAGCAGGAGGAGAACACAGTACCTGACAGGTGAGGAACCAACACTACCAGCAGCAGGAGGAGGCCACAGTACCTGACAGGTGAGGAACCAACACTACCAGCAGCAGGAGGAGGCCACAGTACCTGACAGGTGAGGAACCAACACTACCAGCAGCAGGAGGAGAACACAGTACCTGACAGGTGAGGAACCAACACTACCAGCAGCAGTAGGAGACTACAGTACCTGACAGGTGAGGAACCAACACTACCAGCAGCAGGAGGAGACCACAGTACCTGACAGGTGAGGAACCAACACTACCAGCAGCAGGAGGAGGCCACAGTACCTGACAGGTGAGGAACCAACACTACCAGCAGCAGGAGGAGGCCACAGTACCTGACAGGTGAGGAACCAACACTACCAGCAGCAGGAGGAGGCCACAGTACCTGACAGGTGAGGAACCAACACTACCAGCAGCAGGAGGAGGCCACAGTACCTGACAGGTGAGGAACCAACACTACCAACAGCAGGAGGAGACCACAGTACACTGCAGCAGGAGGAGCCACAGTACCTGACAGGTGAGGAACCAACACTACCAGCAGCAGGAGGAGGCCACAGTACCTGACAGGTGAGGAACCAACACTACCAGCAGCAGGAGGAGGCCACAGTACCTGACAGGTGAGGAACCAACACTACCAGCAGCAGGAGGAGGCCACAGTACCTGACAGGTGAGGAACCAACACTACCAGCAGCAGGAGGAGGCCACAGTACCTGACAGGTGAGGAACCAACACTACCAGCAGCAGGAGGAGGCCACAGTACCTGACAGGTGAGGAACCAACACTACCAGCAGCAGGAGGAGGCCACAGTACCTGACAGGTGAGGAACCAACACTACCAGCAGCAGGAGGAGGCCACAGTACCTGACAGGTGAGGAACCAACACTACCAGCAGCAGGAGGAGGCCACAGTACCTGACAGGTGAGGAACCAACACTACCAGCAGCAGGAGGAGGCCACAGTACCTGACAGGTGAGGAACCAACACTACCAGCAGCAGGAGGAGGCCACAGTACCTGACAGGTGAGGAACCAACACTACCAGCAGCAGGAGGAGGCCACAGTACCTGACAGGTGAGGAACCAACACTACCAGCAGCAGGAGGAGGCCACAGTACCTGACAGGTGAGGAACCAACACTACCAGCAGCAGGAGGAGGCCACAGTACCTGACAGGTGAGGAACCAACACTACCAGCAGCAGGAGGAGGCCACAGTACCTGACAGGTGAGGAACCAACACTACCAGCAGCAGGAGGAGGCCACAGTACCTGACAGGTGAGGAACCAACACTACCAGCAGCAGGAGGAGGCCACAGTACCTGACAGGTGAGGAACCAACACTACCAGCAGCAGGAGGAGGCCACAGTACCTGACAGGTGAGGAACCAACACTACCAGCAGCAGGAGGAGGCCACAGTACCTGACAGGTGAGGAACCAACACTACCAGCAGCAGGAGGAGGCCACAGTACCTGACAGGTGAGGAACCAACACTACCAGCAGGAAGTATAAACATTACTGGTCGCCTCCCTCGCCTCACCGCCTTAATCAACATCAAACTCCGAAATTATTACAAAAACGTATATGTATAATTTATATACTTGATATATTACAAAATTACAAAATGAAACATATTTATTTAAAAAGTGTTGGTATTTATATACCAGATGGCGGGCGCGAGTTAGTGTTTGTTTGTTTACAAACTCCGGGCCAGGGAGGGCGAGGCAGCGCCAGCAACTTGTCGCTTTTCACAAGTTAACTCTTAACTTGACGAGGGAGAAGGGTTATTGGTGGCGTTCTTGTGAGGCGGGGAAGACCTGAAGCAGCTTACACTTACACGAGCGGTGCAGAGAGAGAGAGAGCAGGAGCCGCCGCCATGGACCTCCTCGACTCCATCATGAGCAAGATGGACAAGCCGCCAAGTGTTACTGATAAACAAAAGAAAATGCTGAGAGGTAATTTGAAGATGGTGCTGAGGGGTAAAGACCGCTATAGGTTTTATGTTTAAGCAAAAGCCAACAAGGTCAGCGTTTTTATTTTATTGCCTACTATTTTCATTAAACTCTTGAAAGATGTTGTTTGTATTATTCAAATGGCAAAGGGGCAACTTTGCAGCAAAAGTTGTAAATTACACCCACTAGAGAACCATGTGGATTGTCTTGACCTCTAAGAGCTCACCAAGGTAGGGTTGTAATGGGAGCTCTTCATTAGAAACCAGAATGTCAAACCAGGAAGGACCACCACCACCCTTGATAGGGTGGTCCTTCCAGAAGATTGTTTATCCATTCACTACATTATACTGCTTTGGTGATTGCCACGTCTTGCACATTCCTGCTTCATGGGGACACTTAATGCACGTACAATTCCTGTTTACATATGAGAGAGCTATGTATTGTGTGCATACATCATTAAATATTTGATGAGTAATACAGTAAAATGAATAATGAGTGATATGAAAAGGAATCATATTGCTGGTGTTACACCAACCACCAAAAAGAGAACAATTACAGCTAAGATGCAGATGCATATGATTGTGTTCTGAAAGAGGAGACTTCCCAAAGCAGATTACCATTGTGAATGTAATTAATTGCTCAACAAATGATCGCGGTATCAAACATATGAAGGGTTCAACGTCATAGCCAGTGATCATAGTATCTCTAGCAGACAAATTAAATAAGGTACTGGTAATAATAATAATAATAGTAATTTTATTTATTAAATTTACTTAGGAACATGTTGCAGTGGTCAATTAATAGATACATAGATTTTATATTAAATACGGCCACTAATTACCAAGGATTTCAAGCATACGTGTTTGTTCACATGTTAAGTATTATCTTAACAAATATTCTCAAAATACTGTTTGAGGATTATAGTTGGCCCAGAAACCAAACTTCCATTTATATCATTGAGCTTTTGGGTAACAGTTCTGAAAACTGTACTGGTGACTTGTAAACAGATGCCGTGAATGCATTCTGTGTTGCCTTCTTTACTGTGTATTCCAAATATCTCATTTGCCTGAAAAGTGCAGGTGATACAGAACAGTATTCCAAGCAAGAGAGCAAATGTGATTTAAAAAATAGGATCATTGGATTATTATCGCTTGTTTAGAAGGTTCTCGTATTTTATTCAATTATTTTCTTAGTTGCTACTAAGTCTGTTTAGTTATGTAAGAGACATGTAGTATGGATGTAAATTATTCTAGTGAGGGGAAGATATTTTTAAGTATGGTTGCTCTTATCTTGTAATACAGTACTGTATATGAAATTGGAGGTAAGTGAATTTGTGAAAATAAAATATGTATGTTATCATTTCTGTGCTTAGAAGAAATAAATTTGAAAGTACTCATTGTGTGTTGAGATGAGGAGCCAGTACTTCATTACTTAATTCACAAAAATGCTATTGTTTTTCTTTACCTACAGAGCAACAGAAAGCAGTTGAAGAAGCAAAAAGCAAAGAAAGAGAGAGATTAAATCAATTCAGAAAACATGTGAGTACTTTTGTTAATATTGAATTATTGCAGGTTTTAATTTGTGGAAAACAGAAATATTTAGTTTACAGTATATGTATTTACTGATAACAAATTATGTTCCTTCTCTATTGCAGATTGAAGAACGAATAAATAGATTTATTCAAAATGTCGGCTTAATGAAAAAGAAATTCGAACCCATGGACAGAGTGGCAAGAAGCATTGTGTAAGAGACATGGTTTTCTGTTAGATTTGTTTCCCATTCCCATATTTATACAGTATAGTAAATGTTGCATATACAGAATCATTTTTTAGATATAGTAATAAACAGAGTTATTATATCTTGCTTAATCACTTAACCGTGCAGAGCACCTTAAGGCGCTCTGAGGTTTGTACTATTTTTGTTTAATTAGGCAAAGTATCTTCATAGCTTAACCCGTTGATTGTGCTTGGCAAAAGCAGTGGGCTTAAAATGAGATAAGTGACCTGAATCCATGTGCATAGAAAAATGTTTTCAAATCATGTATTGATTGACCAGTTCCTCTGACCTTCAGAACATGCCTCTGTATCTGGTAAATGTGAAACCACATGCTATTGCATAAACGATTAGCAATTATGCAACAAAAATAACAGGATAAAACAACATTGGTCGAAAAGAAAACAAGAAAAATTAATGTACAAAATAATTATTGGCGGTACAATTAATTTTTCAATTAAAATGCATAAAATTCCTTGGGATGTATGCTTATTTGTTCCATTTAAAAATTTACTGTATATTATATATTTAGAAATTGAGTTACTTGAAAAATTTTATATACACACTGTACTAGTATTATATAACAACAATTAAAAATAATAGTTTTGCTAACAAAATATTTGATTATCATGGTACTGTACATATTTATTCCTATCCATAGCTCATTTATAGAGTCTATTGTTAGCACAGATGTCTCCCTTATCCATGGGTTGGATGACACAGGTGGTGTTTGGTGGTACAGTGTAGTGGCATCGTGTGCAGCAACAATAGGGTGAGAGGGAGTATTGTGAAGCAACGGAAGTGTCTTGACCTCATTCAGCACTTATTAATCTGGTGATTTATAGTCTTATTAAAAAAAAATAGACTTTTAAATCATTCCATGAAGATACACTGTGTAAACTAAGTGTTTTGTAATTATATTATGCCACAGAAAATCTGTCCATTAAGAGTCTTTCCCCACAGTGACACTGTGACTCTCATCTGGTTTGTTATACACCTGAGCTAATATGCTTTCCTTAAAAGGAACTCACTGATTTAACTTGTAAGCCAAAGTATTATTTTGCAGGAAATTTCAATTTGAGATTTCTGATGTGCCTTGTACACCTGAAACAAGCTTGAATTATTGGTTACCATGCAATTTACATTCAAATTAATAAATGCTTCACTCACCTGCGCTCATGGTTTCATCAGTGATCTTCCTAATGTTAGTGCTCTTTAAATCTACTCAGCCAGCACATGCCAGCCTTAAACTCCTTGGTAATTTACAGCTGCATTTTTAATGATATTGCTTCCAGTCCCTTTATTAATTTTGTACTGCACTCTAAACCATTTGTAAAGAGATACAGTATGTTAAACACACTAACTGTAATGCATAAAGACTGGATTTGCATTTGCAATTTTACATGATGATCTACTTTCACTTTTAACAATAAACTTCCTACTCTCATCCTTTTCTTCTTTTATGTCACATGATACTCTTTCCAATGTTAAGTTTCTGAGCCACCCTAATAACACATTAATCGTACACATTATTATGTGCCATTTGTCATGGGTCACACAATTATGTGTGTCACATGACAAATGCCTATGATCATTTAAAGTCAGTAGCCCTATTAGAAAAGTTCATTAATATATGTCTGAGCCACACTAAGTGTGTAAGAGCCCCACTTTCATCTAAACTACCCCAGTTTGTTAGGTAACCTATAATGGTTTTAAGTCTCTCAAATAGTATTTGTTATTATTGGAAATGCTCCTTTGTTATCTGGCTTTGTGATCATTGTGTTTTGCTTACAGGCGTGATGTAGCAGATGTTGCCGGCCTCACCACCTATGCATTTGGGACTGAGGATTTTGACCGTCATGTGATGGTGTTTAAGAAAGAGTATCCATTAACTGAAGATGAACTGGAAGCATATAAAAATGGGGAAGATTGGGATCCAGAAAAAGCAAAGGAAACAGCTTTGCTTGTAAGGATAAGTTGTGCAGTAATTTTAAATCATTCAGATTGTTATAATAGTTCTGGCCCTTTATATTACTGTCTTTATAATAAATTAGATTTAAACAGAACCATTTATCATAAGTTCTTCTGAACACAGTCTATATTGTCTATAAATTAGTTTTCTGATACTGCTGTCATTTCAGTAATTCTAAAGGCATTCCAGCATTATAATTTGTCATCCTCAACAGGCTCACATAGTCAATGTACTGACATTCTAGACTCCAGGAGAAAGGTCAAACATTTTTATATTTCTTCTTAGCAGCCCGTGCATGTTAATACCTTCCCACCTTTCCGAGTCTCCCATCATTGCTTTGTGTCCATATCCAACTGGGTGCTTTCACATGCACTACAGTGCTTTTAATGAAAAATATGAAGAGTTACATGTGATTTACCTATACTGTACTTAGTTTCTTGGGTTTTATAGTCCTTTGTCCTGGCTGGTTTCCAGGGTTTTAAAGTGATTGGATTGGTTGGCAAAGCTGTTACTGGTAGCAGCCAGCAGGCCCACATAGCCATCACAATCAGTCTGATTTAGGCTCTTTCTACACGACATTGTTTAGTTCCCTAGTGATAATTCAATATTTGTTCCAGCGTAATCTCTTATATTTTCTGGAAAAAAAAGATTGGAAAGTTGCAAGACTGATATTCATATCAGTACTGTATGAATATCAGCCATACAACTTTTCATTCTTTTTCCAGAAAATATAAGACACTCTGCTGGAACAAATGTTGAAGGGAACAAAGTAGAAGTGTGAAAAAACAATCACTGCTGATTGTTATTATGATATAGTACCTCTACTTTTCACTGGGTCTACAGAACTCTACTCTTCTACCATATCTTTTGCTGCAATAATTTATTTTATTGTGTAGATTGTGGAACCTATTTTCAATTATTTTCCATGTACAGTATATGTATATTCAACCCGTCCTCTCAAAGAGTACATCACATTTTGATGTATAAATCCCCCTACAGCCAGAGACTGATGTAGTCCAAATCACAGCGGCTCGCAAAATTGCGGTGATGTCCCATTTTCTGTTTGTGACATCAGTTAGGTTAGGTTCGGGCAATTTAGTACATCAGTTTAGTGACGTTGGGAAGACAGGCTGGTATACCTTGTCTATATATCACATACCATGTATGTGATATATCTTGTCTCTATTACTGTACCGAGTACATTGTGAGGGATTTTATAATTTTATGTTATATACTGTATAGTTTGTTAGTTTGTATATCTTAATTTAAATTATTAAGTTGTTAAAATGGTTGTCTTTTTTTTTAATTTACCAGGTATCTCAATTTTTGTAAATTATAAAAGGATAATAATTTATTTTTTCTACTTACACTGCAACATGTCAAATAGGGCCTTGCCAGTTTTATTATATGCTACTGCATATAATTATAATGATCAGTGTTAAGCTATTAATGTTACCTTTTTCTTGTATAAATGAGTTATGTACAGGTATTTTACATTTTTGTAAACTGTTATATATGCATTACCATTTTAAGAATTAGTGTTTTTGAATTTGAATAAATGTAAACACTTGTACATTATGAATAAAGATAAATAAATGAAAAAAGTCCTGCTCAATTGGTCTTCAGTGCACAAAACATTTAAGGGAACAATTCTCCACTATTTTAATTATCTCTTCTGCTCAGAATTTATGAAAATGTTTTTTCTTGCATTTGCTTCCAGTAGAAATATTCATTGACACATTATCTGTAAGATCTTCAGCATCTTTAATGAAATGTTAAGGGATCTTAAGTGGAGGAGCCCCTCAGCTTGGGCATCTGAGTGGGAAAGCGTGAGCTCTTGCCACCAAGAGGTGGGGTAGGCAAGCAAGTAGGCAAACAAGTAGTTGACATGTTCAAATAAACAGCAGTTGAACTGTAAATTGGTGGCTGTTGTACAGTATCTCTATACAAAATCTAAACCTTTAAAGCATAATTTGGTAGTAAAAATAATTCTTAATTTTGGATATGGTAATGCATTGTATCAAAGGTCTCCAGCCTCATATTTCATCTGCTTTTGTCCTGATTCTTAAAGCCTTCTTATTATCCTTTCATCCATTAATGGTACTTAATATTTCATAATGCATTATTTTCCATGAAAAGTGGACAATTTGAGATTGTGCTACAAGTCTCTCTCTTACAGAGAAAGCAACAAGAACATGAGGATGAAGTGAGAGCACAACAACTGAAGAAAGATCCTGGCTCTAGCAAGTTCATTGAAAAATATGAACGTTTAGTAGGCAAGGAGACTGGCAAAGAATCTGCTAGAATTTTGGAGGTTAACAAACAGTTTGGTTTTGGTATGTATTAACAGTTGATGGGACATTATGGCATGAAATGGGTAGATTCAGAATTTGGATTCTTCAAATAAAATGCTTTAGAAATGTACTGTGTATGTGATAAGCGTAGATGGGTCAGGATGTGATAGATATTGCGAATTTAAAGTAATTATCAGGAAAGAGTGCTAAGACATTACAACTGTGTATATAGCACTTGGAAGGGATGAGCATAAAGATCTGGGATAAGACGGGGAAGAAATGGTGCCCAACCAGTAGGACGGTAGGAGATTGAACGCCGACCTGCAAGGTCTACTCCAAGTGGTTGAATAATGCTAAAAGTATGAAGTGAAATTATTTAAAGGGTTAGAATAATAATTTGGAAAATTTAGGAGAGTAAGACTTCTATTTATTTAATATTACTTTAATCATATTTTTAAAGATAGGTACAACACTTGGAGAAAGTGTTGGCTCTGTGGAAAGGTGTTGGGCTGTGGGAAAGTCAGCAGTAGAGTGACAAGTGATTTAAATTTTGATTTTGTGTAAAAATTGATATTGTCAAATCCCACAATGCAAAACTTGGATCTATTGCATTTCACACTTCTCTTTTTGTATGTGATCTTTTCTCGGCAAGGAAGTTTAAAAAACCAGTCTCGCCGGGTGTAGTGGTTAGACACTCGCCTGACATTCCGCGAGCAGCTTGTCATGGGTTCGTATCCTGACCGGGGAGGATTTACTGGGCGCAAATCCTTAACTGTAGCCTCTGTCTAACTCGACAGTAAAATGGGTACTTGGTTGTAACAACGATTCTTCATGGGGGTCGTATTCCAGGGACTTGCCCGAAACGCTACGCATACTAGTGGCTGTACAAGAATGTAACAACTCTTGTATATATCTCAAAAAAATAAAAAATAAAACAAATTCATCGTAAACTTTTTAAAAGCAGAGCGATTGCCGGAGCTGTGAAGCAAAATTACATACGGGTATGATGCATACTTCTGAACATAAAGTGCAACTTACCTTGAATGCCAGTTAGGAAGATGGGACAAATAATAACAAAATAAAAGATTTGTTTATGGCCTATCTGTTGTGCTGTTTTTTAAACTTCATTATATCTGCAGCCCTACTCTTCTTTTCAGAGCATTTAAGTGTAATTAAAATATCACTTGGTACAATTTTGGGGGGAGGGGGGGAATTGTGATATACAGGTATATTGTTATCTGTTAAGCTTAGAATACTCTTATATTATTTTGAATTCATGTTTCGCACCCTAAGTTAGTAGTTTTTTTTTATAAAGTAATGACTAAATTCTTTACAGATAATACTAATATAAGTACTGTATATAGAAAGAAGAAATGTATTAATGCCAAATAGATTGTATATGTTTTACAGCTAGGTGGAAGATTGAGCTGAACTGTGGTCAAGATCAGTGTTTTGAACAGGGTCTGCACAAGTTAGCTTAAGCACTCCAGATGGTGTTGCACCATAATATATATTACATGTATGTTTTCCTCAATATTAATGAATAATTAAATTTTTATCATGATGTATCCAGTCCGCAGCGAGCTGAAGAAGGACAAGAGAACTATAGAGGAAGCATTAGCAGATATCAGAGCCAAGAAGCTCAAGAGAGATAAAGAGGATGGACCGACAGACCAAAAATCTCGAAGTGAAAATGAAGCACATCCGTAACATTTATAGACTTTAGTGTGTTGTTAACTTTCTAAAAGTAACTTTTCATGTAAATTGAATTTTTTGAGTGTGTGTGCAAAACGTTTGATTTTGAAGTTCATTATTAGTTGAATGAGTGATTGAATTATTTTGTGCTCCAGAATTTTCTGTACAAGGTTAGTTGTAGTATTTTAATTTAATATACACATTTGTGTAACATTAATTTTTGATTACTATTTATTTTTACTTTAAATTTTGAGAATATTGTGTACATCAGTGGAATGTTAAGATGTTTTTATTTGGCCATTGGCATGGTTTGTGTGCATTTCAACTGGAATGTTTAAAAGTCTCCAAACTTTTGTTTCACGTTTAGTAAATTTTGTCTTCCTTTTGTGTTTGAATGTACTTTTTGTAACTGTAAACATGAAATATATTAAATCCAAAAGGAATACAGATAATGCAGTCTTGGAAATATGTTGTCCCTTTCAAATTGAAGTTGCAACATAAATATTATTAGTCCAAGATTGGTACAGGAGTTTATAGTTTTGTCAATCTAAATCTCTGTGGGTAGTAACAATTGATTAATGGCACTTTATGTCTTCTCAGTATAATTAATGATGATTTATAAAAGTATTTTGTTGATCTGTGATTACTTATTTCAAAGTTTATAATTTGAAATTTTGTGGAATCGTTTTATCTGTACAGTGGTACCTCGAATAACGAATTTAATCCGTTCCGGCGTCGTGCTTGTCATGTGAAATGCTCGTCTTTCAAAATGAATTTCCCCATTTATCATATTGGAAATAAAAATAATCCGTTCCACCACCGAAAAACATCAATATGATACTCAATTTTTAAAATAATGGAGCATCCTACCTAACACACTAAACGAACCCTTATGACATTTGCCCGTTTTCCAAATTTTTCATTTTTTTTATTCTACAAAAAAGAAAGTCAATGTTTTGCAACATCACAGCAGTCACCCCTTTACATCCCATCATCATTAGCATCTTTAAAAAAAAAAAAAATTATTTGCATCGTTGGAGGCGTCCATGAATGTGCGAGAAGCAGCGGGAACGCACCACGTGGTTTTCTTGTTAATCAAGCGAGAGCTCGTCACTCGAGACAAATTGTTGGCAATCAGCGCGCTCGTTATTCATAATGCTTGTAAATTGAGGCGCTAATCACTCGAGGTTCCACTGTACTTTTATCTTTAATCTGTCCATAGGCTTAGTTATATGATGTGTAGCTCAGATAAATTGATAATCATCTATGTGGATAACTACAGACAACCACATGCTTTCCGGATACTGTAGTTTATCCCGATATGTCAGATTCTCGTTTTTGGGGTGGTACAAATAAAGATTTAAAAAAAGTTCAAATAAAAATCCGATTATTAGAGGGTGCTGCTCAAATAAAGTTTGTGATAAGGCTGTGAAAGTGGGGATGGTGTTGCAATTGGTCTGAAAACATTTTGAGAGTAGTGTGGTGGTGGCATGGTCCCAGTGGAAGGGAGGGGCATAGTTTGTCTGGTAGGTGCCCCAGGTGCTTTTTGTCCATGTGACCAGCACAGGCACCTAACCCTGGTTTTTGTTTTTATGGTGTGTTAATTGAGCATTAATTCCCATTATATCAGTGGATATATCGTCAAATTTAGGAAGACCTGTTCAATATCTACTACTGTATAAACGCAGGTCATGTGGTGGCGATATCTTCAACAAGCAAGATTCCAAAGAGACGCTCTCCATGGTGAATTTTGAGTAGAAACTAGAAAAGCATTAATTAAAGCCAGAGAAGGGTATACGAGAAGTCCATGTGGTGGAGTGGTAGCACAGAAGCTTTATACCGGAATTGATCTCATGGGCACTGGTCCTCGACCGTTTGCTCGTGTTCATCAAGCAGCAATTGGGGACTTTATTTTAAAATGATTGGCAGGCCGTGTTCCAGGAAAACGAGCAGGGTTAGACTCTAAATGAGCTGTGGGAATGGAAATATCTAATCCTAGCTATATAATTCAGAAATTCTTAATGTTTTCTTTTGTACTCTCTCCAGGAAATAGAGAAACCATGTATTCAGACAACCGGTCTTTTGGCCAGTCTCACTCTAAGGACTCGAAAGTATGCAGTTGTCTGTATTAAAGTAATAATGACAAATCACAAAGTTCAATACATTTCTGGCTCATGAGTGGTCTTAAGTTAAAGCAGAGCCTCGCTGAGATAATGGAGGATATCTCTATATTTCTCAAGATATGCTGAACTCTGCCACTTCTTGTTGTTTTACATAGTGAACAAGGCATAATTATGTTTATGTAATTATTTGTGTCAACTTGCAAAACAAAATTATAGCAAAAAGAAAAATATTTAATAATGTCAGAAATTGCAGGTATTATCATCTCAGGCAATACAGTATATGTACATGTTGATAGTGTGAAATGATCCATATACCAATTCATTATGTAATACAGAATACTTAAATTTATTTTCTTTAACAAATACAAATGTGCTTATTTAACTATGACAGGATAATACTGTACACAAGAATTAAAATGTTATTTATGATCATTATTTTTCTTATAACAACACTCATTTCCGGTTGAAGACTGTCGTCAACTAGGAACGTGTCGCACCATGTTCAGCAGGATCAATTGGTAGATGAAGAAGACATGCTCGAAAAACTGCCTCATTCTCTTTCTTAAAAGCTTTTGTCCAGAAAGATTCATCATCATCGTGACTTTTCCAGAAGATCTCTTGGGGTTCCACTATTTAATAAACTTTTATATATAATAAAAATGTGGATCTTATTCTGATGCTTTAATTAATTGCATTCAGTGTACTGTACTGTACAAGAGCAAATGATTTAGGGAGTAGATCAGGTTGCCTCAGAAGCAGCACCATAGCATGTTTTCCATATATCCGCTGATAATGTTTTTACCCTTACACTTACACTGCATATTGCCACCTGGTGATCTGCTCCACTTTCACATCATCCCTTCAATAAATACCGTTTTCCCATTCTTGACTTTTTCTTTATATTCCTTGTTAAATCCAACTTTCTTGCATGTTCTTACTAAGGCCAGTCTTTGTTCTTTGCGCATTCTTTAAGAGTTTTTAGAAGTGTTCCTTCAAGGATGAAGAGTAGCTGGAGGAAGAATTAGATAAGAGCAATTCTGAATATTTCAGACTAATTTTTAGTGATTCACTGCTAATAAGTAAAGCTTCAATTATAAGTTGTAATTTTTACTGTTGTATCAACAAGTTACTCATGCCTCATCAAGTAATTATGCAACAAACTTTGACACCGAAAATTAAATGCCTATGCTCAGTATAGGTCATTTAGTCCCAATGATAATTTTGTCGAGAAAGTTGAAATTTACCAATATCCTACAGGGTTAAATAATTTAGTAGTAGCATATTTTGCATCACAACAGATTATATATTAATGTTAACAAATATTAATGACTATTCTATAGCCTTTGTGATATGCTTCCTCTAAATCAACCCTATGAAAGAAACCAACTAGAAATTAAATTCTTAGGAATTTACACAAAATATCAAATTATAAAACATCATACTCTAATGATAATCTTTCTAAAATACCAATATGTACAGTACAGTATTAGTGGTAGTGCAGAATATTATTTAACTCATCCCTCAAGATTTTTTCTTTTCAGCAGAAGCAGTACATTACTTCATTACAATCTTCCCTATTATTGCTCGACTACAATTGTGTAGGGACCCACAGCCCTAATCCCCTCGAAGAAGAAAAACAGTACTCAGAGAAGACCCTGTGGATTCTCACTGAACACTTTTATCTTTTCTTCTACCACTCTCACACACACACACACACATATTTATATATATATATATATATATATATATATACATATACATACATACACACACACTGCACATTTATTAAGCTGTTTCAGCACTATTTTCCCGACAGGAGTAAGGTGATACAAAATAATAGCACTGTACTGCATAAATTGTATTTAACTTGGGATATGGCACCACAATATATTACTATTTTAATTAAATTATTATCTTGCAATATACAGTATAATCAAGATCTAATGAAGTTTTCATTATTAGTTTAAGAATTCTGCTAAACTTAATTCTAAACCTAACATTATTTATCTGGGAACAATAATGCCTGAGGAAGATAATTTAAATAAGAACACACAGGTATATGACTAGATAATATGAGAATTATACTGCAAATCTGCTTTAAATACTTCAATCTGCGACAAGATAAATATATTAAGGTGATAACTCCATAAATATTGAAACTAAGGTAAACCCTTACATTTGTATACTTACACTCCTACACACATATATATTATATTATATTATATTTTATATATATATATATATATATATATATATATATATATATATATATATATATATATATATATATATATATATATATATATATATATATATATATATGTATGTATGTCGTACCTAGTAGCCAGAACGCACTTCTCAGCCTACTATGCAAGGCCCAATTTGCCTAATAAGCCTAGTTTTCATGAATTAATTGTTTTTCGACTACCTAACCAACCTAACCTAACCTAACTTTTTCGGCTACCTAACCTACCAATAAATTCCAAAACAAAATGAAATTAGCACTTAAAACATGCAGAGAAGTGTCTTGATTTTTTGTCCCTTTACCCACAACATAAATTTGTGAGTGTCAAGGATAAGATGTTACACCAGTACAGTGTATCAAGCACATAATTAATCAAATGAGAAGAAATCAAAGTGTATAAATAAGCAATAACAGTTCTCTTGGTAAACAAACACACTACAGTACAATGCTCAATAAACACACAAGCTACTATGATGATGCGATCAACCAATATCTTAATTCACTTGTATACGCGTTATTATTGACATGTTTTTAAATAATCAGCTTAGAGTTAATCAAGATTAAATATATTATTTTAATGAAATAAAATTCATAATATTGGTTGAAACAATCAAATGTGGGTTTTCTTTTAAAGTTAATTAATTGATGCATGATGCAAAAAATGGTACATGAAATGTGTGGTCCACAGAATTTTAGGTATAAATGTTTACTTTGGAGAAACTTACTACACTTATGTAGAGTTTGAACGAAGGTGAACAAAAGACTTAATACAGGTGCAAGCGTAATATTAAACCAAATTAATTGGTTTAATTTGGTTTAATATTATGCTTACTCATGTATTGGGTCTTTCCTACACCTTCAATGTTTACTCTATTAATTACAGTTTACTTTCTAAAAGCCTAAATGTTAAGGATAACGGTTATTTTATAATTTGAATACTATAAAATTAAATAATTATGTAAGTATATTTTATTTCCTCTGTTGCTATAAGTACTAATCTTATGACAATGACTGCACGATTGTCGGCAGGATGTGAAAAATAGCTCTGTTGAAAGGGAGACGTGCAATAGGCTTGCTGAGAGAGAACTATCAACATCAAAGACCCAAGACTTTTCAACATGCTCCCACTTCATTTAAGGGCATAACTTGCAGACCTCTCACAGTATTCCAAAGAAAACTCAACAAACAGCTCCAAAGAATACCTGATCAACTAGGCTGTGATTTATATGTCAAGCTACAAGCTTCCGTAGCTTGACGTATAAATCACAGCCTGGTTGATCATATGTAGAATTACATGGTTGACCAGACCACCAACCAGGAGGCATGGCCAGAGACCAGGCCGCAGGACACTGATCCTCGAAACCATCACAACGTAAAATAGCCACAAGGAATGATGAATGGCAAGAAGCAAATTTGGGCAAAAATTCTCAGAGGGTGGATATTTAAATGGCACATGAGCTGACCTGAGCCGTAACTGATCAACGTGCAGGGAGGCCGTGACTGATCAACGTGCAGGGAGGCCGTGACTGATCAACGTGCAGGGAGGCCGTGACTGATCAACGTGCAGGGAGGCCGTGACTGATCAACGTGCAGGGAGGCTGTGACTGATCAACGTGCAGGGAGGCTGTAACTGATCAACGTGCAGGGAGGCTGTAACTGATCAACATGCAGGGAAGCCATAACTGGCTGTCGCCATGCTGAGTTTGTTAGCCTCAATCCATTTCTGATGTACAATACAGTACAGTATATGAAATAAAATAAAGCTTTTAATATAAATTGTCTTTTCTTCTATATTTTTGGCACAAAATAATTGAGCAAATATAAAAATATATATAAACAGATCCCACAAGTCTAAATAATTAAATAAGCATTGCATGCGGTATATAAATTTATGGCTAGTAGAGCTGCAAAGTTGTGAGGGTTTACTGCACATAAAAACACACACATTTAGTACTAGGTAATGGCACAAATAATTCAGCCATATCAATTCTGACTAGTCCTGAGTGCATTATAAATCATTTTGTCATTTGTGCTAAGACATTATGAGCATAGGTCATAAGAGAGCTGCGAAGATGGAGAGCCAATGCAGCCGAGTGGCACTGGCGAATATGTCCTCTCAACTCCTCATGGCGAGCGCTCGGAATAATACGCAAGAAAACCTCCAATGGCGAGACCACCACCAATTCACCCAAGACATCTGTTAGAATAATATGAGAAATCATCATAGGGAGACGTTATATAATTTATACAAAAATTTTGTATGTCAGGATATAACCAATTAACACAAGCTTATAACACATCTTAAGTTTATGTCTAGTACTGTAATATGAAAACTAAACTCCTTAAACATCAGTAAATTGTTTACATTTTGTATATTTAAGACATACAATATACCATGACTGCAATAATCCCACAGAATGACATGTGCCATCTCTTCCAGACACACTTATCCTCACATAGCAAGACATATTTCCTCACACTAGTATCCTCCTTGTCATAGGAGGATGCTAATGTACACTAAACAGGTACCAGGGAGTTGAGTAACTTATGAGTTGCATTATGGAAATATCCAGACATTCTAATTTCTATACCCCAATGATTATAAATAGTGGCAATATTTTTCTCACCATTGAGGATATCATAATACACTTGATACGAAGGATCCGATTCAGGGAGACTTGACTTGTGGTTGATTAACTTTGATACCAGCTCCTCCCACTCCAATGGAGACTTATACATATCCTGAAAATAAAAGTTTTTAAATAGTTGTTATATATCAAGTAAACTATACAAAAACTAATACTATCCTATGAGTTTACATTGGTTTGTTGCTCATTATTCATGTTCAGTCGTTAATCAGAATTAGAATAGAGAGCAAAGATTAAAATAATATAAAGCTAGATACAGTATGTTTTGATTACAACCAATCCAGGGAGGCATCCTTTGTCCCTATGCCAAGCATCTCACAACACCAAGACTGTCTCTCTCTGGGGTCACAGCCAAAAGGTTCTGAGTTCAATTCCTGTAGTAGCACAGAGGTGTTTAGGCAACATTTTATTTCACTCGATGCCACTGTTCACCTAGCAGGAAATAGCTATTTAGGAGTTAGGTAATTGCTGTGGGTTGCATCATGGAAAAGGACAGCAGTTGGGCTACAGGGACTTTGATAAGCCAAACAGGCTTTCTGTTGCCAAATGTGGAAGACTGTAAGGTGAACCCTAACCTAGGTTTGTGCGGGTGTGTGTGGTAGGAGGAGGGTGTGATGGCATTTACTCGTGAGGCCAATTACAAAATGGTGGACCACCAATACAGTGTACATGCATTTTCATTTATTTATTCATATAATTATACTACTTCACACTCATTAAAAACAGCCAACTTTGACAAGCAGGATAACTTCATCATTCAAAGTAAATAATGTTGTGATTTTTTATATTGAACGTAGCAAATATATTGGTTTTGTGGTGATTTTTGGTGTCTTTATGCGTGAAAAAAAAATAAAAAAAATAGTAGTTAGTAACAGTTGATTGATTGACAGTTGAGAGGCAGGCCTAAAGAGCAGAGCTCGACCCCTGCAAGCACAACTAGGTGAATGCAGTACAAACAAATATATTCACACCTTACAAACCACTTCCACAAAAAAGAGGCAAAGTGGAACAACAACAAAACATGAATATTTTTACTTATCACGGTAATTAACTTTTTCTTTACAAACAATTAAATACCCTGCATAGTATTTTACTCAAAGTGGGCTTGCTTACCTTTCCATACTGGAGTAAAGCATGAGGAAATTCCTGCAAAACATAGTCCAGCTGCTGTGAGGGTTCCAAACAAAGTACTCTTAAGGACTGAGCACCCAGTGCAGTAGGGTTGGATGTCACGAACTTGAGAACATTATTGCGGTCTTCAACTGATGGTAGATCAGAGCTCAGGAGTGACTGAGGAACATAAATATTAAATTACATTTCTTTAAATCTCTCATAAACACACACAGTTAAAACAAATAATAAAACTCCATGTGAACAGTCACCAAACATCCAAAATATTAAGACACTAAACCTATTAATATTATTTTATATTTTTATTTAGACAATCGTCCTGGATACTTGAATTCTCAACCTTAACCTGTAGTTGGGTCTGAACCATGCCAACTGTTACATGTCAGTGGTAACAGGGTCTGAACAGTGCCAACTGATACTGCCATTACTGTTACATGTCAGTGGTAACATGTCTACCTTTCTCTACCTTTTGTTATTCTTCAAAGTTAGCAATCTGTTCTGTATATGTTTACCTGCCTATATATCTTGTGTGTGGCCATCTGTTCCTTCCCCCTCCTATAAAATCATACAATACCAAAACACTTACCTGAAGCACCACAAGGTGCAACAGGGAGGAAGACAGGTTTCTCCCGTCTTCCTCAGCCTCGGCTGCAGTCTTGCCCTCCGACGATTCTCCATCTTCGGTTTCATTGACCCGACTCTCAGGGAATGAATGATCATTACTAAAGGGTGGCAACAGACCCAAGAAGATTGGGCGTGGAGCATATAGTTCCTTCAAGGCAGCGCGTTGGTCACTCCAGTTCGGGTCTTCTTTAGACTTAAAAAATAAGAAATTATTAAATTTACTCTCATATGAATATATTTTGTTATTGTCCCATAAAAGAGTTACAATGATAACACTCTTTAATTCTCCTGTTAAGATGTGATGGATGAATGAGGACAGCAAGGTGAAGCAGAAAGGTAATAAAAAGAGGAAAAATGGGCAGGGAACCCTAGAATAAATGAAAAACAAACTAGTAAAGAATAATCATTATTTAATCATTAGAATAACAATTATTTAATCATCAGTATAATCTGGCTGCCTGTCCCCAACACAATGAATTATTATTATTTAAACCAGAATTTTTATACTCTTCAAAAATGATTCTACAAAGCATAATTTTATTACATTTATACACAATCCAAAAAACAAGCCCTTTGTTTACACTGCTAGTCACCAAGGACAACAATTACTCACTTTATCTCCAAAAGCTCCCATAAGGCTGGCAAGATAGAGGCTCACCAGTACTGTAATTGCTCGATCATACCTCTCTCGCTTATCAGTTATCTGTTGGATGAGAAAAGAAACACTTGCATTTAAGCCAGACCAGAATTATTAACACACGAACAAAGCTGTAGCTTAATGCCAACTTTTTAAACATCTCCAATACATACTAAATATCAAATATGTTACCAAGTGAAACACATTACATTTAACACAGCTCGTAGATTTCATCATGCAACATTATATATATACTCTATATATATATATATATATATATATATATATACTGTATATATACATATACAGTATATATATATAGTGTATATATACATATATATATATACACTATATATATATATATTTGCACTGAATGTGTTCCTTGAGAGCTGGCCCTGTCATGAGATCTCTGGCATGATTTCTGGCAAGTCAGTCTCTTTTGTGATGCCTGAACACCAATATCAAATATTCATGAGAATGAGAAACATTTCTTAATTTGTATGTGGAATATATTTGAATGTGCCAAAAACTTACAACTAACTGAAGTGTGTGATACAGTAGGAGGTGCAAAATGAACACAATGAAGAGGAACAAATTTGTAAATATCATTAAAACTGAGCATATGATCCCAGCAAGAGAAAAGTTACCAACTCCAAGAGAAGGAGGCTAAAATGTGTTCATGAAGGGAATAATCAGTACAAAGTGCCAAGCCATTAAGACTATATACTGTATACATTGTTATGCATTGCTGGAAGTTTGGCTCCAGACCCAACAATGTGTTCACGAGTTGATACATTGACATTGACACACTGTTGGGTCTGGAGCCAAACTTCCAGCAATGTATAACATACTGCTAAAATAACATTATATGCTTTCAAGAAGGAATCTGACAGGTTACTGCAGTCAGCACCAGACCATCTTGGCACTGAGAGATATGCCTGCACTTGCAAAAGCTGACTGCTCAGCCACTGGAAAACCCTAGCCTTAGCCCGAGTAGAAAACCTTAAAACTCGCCATATACCCTACTGTATATATGTGTGTTTTACTGGGCATGTATTCCTGCACACTAAGAACATTAAAATAAAATTCCCACCCAAGTCTATACATGATTCCCAATACAACATACCTCTGAATTGTGAGCATATTCCAGGAAAAATTTCTCTAGAAAGTCTCGCAGCCACAATGAGTGAGTATTGCACTCTGGCCCACAAGAAACTATCGGATACACAGCCACAAATGCATCTACAAATGCATTAAGAGTGAGAGTACCTTCTCCAATAAGAGAGACAAATACTTCTGTAAACACTTCCTTCTTGTGCTCTGCCAAAACCTGAATTACAGTAATACTTATTAGACAAAGCAATCATCCAATAAAAAAATTAATTTTCTCTTATATTTCATATTTTTATGAAATGTCACCAATTTACTTCAAACTTTTTCCCATCAAAACACAAATACCATATGTACCAAACTAGTGTAATCCATATAACATATCAACAAATGTTGATATTTGTTAATATTAAATTCAGTATACATGTACAGTAGTACAGTACTTGAGTCAGAGGGGAGAGACGAGTTTCTCCCTCCTCGGTGGTGAGCAGGAGACGAGTGTGTTGCAGCAACACCACAACCAGCTGGTAGGCTCGGAGAGAAGCTAGAACTGTCGACACCTGAGACACGAGAAAGCCGGAGTTTGAAATAAAAATTTATCTTGACAAAATGTATTACAGTATTATAAAACTTTACTAATTACAGTATTGAACATACTGTACTGTATTTAAAAGTATTTTTGACTTATCACAGACATGATGTAAAACAAAACATTACATAAGTACAAAACAAATATAACAATTTATTTTCCTACTTTAATACAGGAATAAAAATAAAACCACATTTTGTACTATTAAATTTGTGGAGAGCACAAGAAGTAAGGCAATAACCAAATTCAGCCTAAAGTAGCATATATATTAAGCCTAGAATTACTTATTTTGGCCCCAGACAGGTGGAACAGTAACCACACAACTTAACATATGTTGTATAGTTACCGTTCTAGTTTTTGTGATGCCACTTGGAGTATTTCAATAGTACAAAACATGAATTTTTGGGTACAACACTAATTTTGTACGTTCAACCAACAGTAACTAAAATTAAGAACCATCATTTTTGGGGACCTGACATTAAAATAAAGTCAGCATTTGTCAATGTAGATGATCTAATAATGAAGAAGCCAATGATAACCTGACACATAATTAACTCCTAAATAGCAAATTAGGGCTTTAATTTAAAGCAAACATGTCTCAAACAAGAGCAAAACATGAGTTTGACCTTCATGCCTTGAATGTTAAACTCTCTCTAGTGATACTGTGTCTCTCCTGAGAGGGCACATTTCTCATCCTGACCTCTGGTAGGAGCTTGTCATCCTACAGAGACTGGTGCGTTACCTGGGTTCTGAGGATTCCAGGTGGGTAGCTCGGGAAGATACGGAGAAAAACCCTCCCAGAAAAATTCATTTATTATGGAATCTTTGTTTTGCTGGTAAATACAATGGAGCACTCATTTGCAAATAATTTCTCCCAGAATACTTTCCTGGCTCCCAGAATGCTTTCCTGGCTCCCAGAATGCTTTCCTGGCTCCCAGAATGCTTTCCTGGCTCCCAGAATGCTTTCCTGGCTCCCAGAATGCTTTCCTGGCTCCCAGAATGCTTTCCTGGCTCCCAGAATGCTTTCCTGGCTCCCAGAATGCTTTCCTGGCTCCCAGAATGCTTTCCTGCCTCCCAGAATGCTTTCCTGGCTCCCAGAATGCTTTCCTGGCTCCCAGAATGCTTTCCTGGCTCCCAGAATGCTTTCCTGGCTCCCAGAATGCTTTCCTGGCTCCCAGAATGCTTTCCTGGCTCCCAGAATGCTTTCCTGGCTCCCAGAATGCTTTCCTGGCTCCCAAAATGCTTTCCTGGCTCCCAAAATGCTTTCCTGGCTCCCAAAATGCTTTCCTGGCTCCCAAAATGCTTTCTCAAGTCTTGGAATGCTTTCAAAGTTCTCTAAATGTTTTCCCTTCTTCTGGAAAGCTTTTTCAGCTCACAGAATGCTTTCCATAATCTTGCAATGCTTTCCCAGCACACATAATACGGCCTACAACACGACTATCTCTTACACAATGATGCTACTGTAAACCAATGCTGGAGACCAATTTTTCTGTCCAGCTTGAAGGCTAGAGACTATCTAAATCCATGCCGAAAATCCCAATATCAGTGAAGAACTCCAACAAAGCCGGCAGTTACCACAGAAATCATGAACAGGAAACTTGCTGAGGAAATGGAGGAGGGCAAATTGCGTACACAAAATGCAATCCCATACAAACTTGCACAGAACCTTGGGCCACTGCAAAGCTCATTACAGAATAGTAACTTTATATTGCTAGGAAAAAAGCGAGGCTCTGGCTTGCTCTCTCTGCTTTTTAGCAGAGCGCTGCCACCTGTTTTAGTAGTATGTTCAACAATAATTACTGTTCTTTAATTACTAATGAATACTTTTCAGGGTTACTAAGGGCATTGCTCCCTGCTGTGTCATATCGTGCTGGTCCCTCTGCGATGACTCGAGCTATAGTCATCACTGTCTATCTTACCCACATTTTTTCAAGATACGACCACTTAAATACATCCTTATCAGACGTTGACGACACTCAAGAGCCAGGCCACTGCAAAGCTCATTACAGAATAGTAACTTTATATTGCTAGGAAAAAAGCGAGGCTCTGGCTTGCTCTCTCTGCTTTTTAGCAGAGCGCTGCCACCTGTTTTAGTAGTATGTTCAACAATAATTACTGTTCTTTAATTACTAATGAATACTTTTCAGGGTGCGTCCCAATTTTGGAGCTCATTGTAACATTGTTCCAGTGTTATTGGCTGAAATACAATAGCACTTGAAGTAAAGAAATACATTACAGTACCTGTTCTGGAGATCCACGATCCAGAAAAACCAAGGCCAAGGCTAAGACATCAGTTGGTCTTGGTTCTGTTGTTTTGGACAACTCTTGTTTAATAATTCCCAACACCTGAAAACAAGTATTTTATAAACTATAAGAGTAAAAACACCTAAAAATTTTGTATTAATAGACCTAGGAACAAGTAACTTTTTAATTACAATTTTCTCATTTTAACAGTACAGTACCGTTACAGTATTTCAATACTGTAGTTCGTGATGCTACACATCGCTGAGTGCCATTGCTAGGAACGCTGCAAAACTACGACCTTTGAAAAATTGGTTTGAACAATTTTCCCCCATCAAAAATGTTATTATTTAAAAATTACATGTATTACATGATATATAATTAGTTTACTGTCATGATGAGTTTTATAAAGCTAAGGGAATATCAAATAAATGAATGTGAAGTAAGGTCAGGTGAAGTTCCGGCATTACTATGGCAGAATAATGCCCCCTAGCTCCCCCACTATGGACACCAGGCGAAGTTAAGATTAGACATATGGCATTACCACTTAACACCCCCTATCATACACTCTTTGATTCACAGTGTTAACTGTGCAACATGAAGACTGTACATCAAGGCTATGTTGAATTTAGTACAGTAGTACCTCCTGAAAAATTTGAAGGACACGATGACATGTTTTAATAGAATTTTAAAAAATATTCGGCAAAGATATTCATCTATAATTGGGATAAAGTTTGGAATGAGGTTTACTTGGAAGAAAATCCTAATAAACACAGTGGAACTTGAAAACTTTAGCTTGGAGGGTAATGCTGACAATACACATGACATTTTCTAATATGATGGTGATAATTTAAATCCAAAAAATATTATAGACAGGTAAGAAAATGATGGTAATGATGAGGTTACTATATGCTGATGAGTGTGTTTATACCATTACTGAAGAAGTAGGGGCAGGTGGGGAGGAAGCTACACCACAGACTACAAAATATGGTTCTTTATAGGTACAGTAGTACTGATTAACTGATTAATTGATCAGTCACTATATGCAGAAATACAAATTCTATTGGTAGTGAAAAGCAAAATTCAAGATTTTTTAGGATTATGTTGTAAAAACTTGAGTAGCTTCGACAAACACCACCAAAGAATACCTGATCAACCAGGCTGTAATTCATACATCAGGCTGCAAGCAGCCACTTCCAACAGCCTGATTGACCTGACAACCAACCGGGAGGCCTGGTTGGAGACCGGGCCACGGGGTCGTTGATCCCCAGAAGCTACACAACGTTGATACAAGGTAAGAAGTTGTGGCTAGGATCCCTGGGTGACATGTATTGGGATCCACTCTGCATGATCCAAACTAGTAAGTATTATGGGTAGTTCTGAAATGTTTTCAGAATGACAATCTGCAGATTTATAAATTTCATATATGGTAATTTATACCAATATTGGATAGAATCTCTACACAGAATCTAGTTTTTAACAAAGTAATTACAACCAAAAATAATGAAGAAAGCCTGTTCTATTATTTCACAAAATACTTACCTTATCCTTCTTGTAATCAATAAGACAACTGGATTTCAAGATTATAGTGGAAACTTTATCAGGTGCGGCCTTCTCAAACATCTCCAGCACACAGTTAGCCTAAAACACAGCAATAAGATTGTATTAATATAACTTAAAAAAAAAAAAAAGGGAGGGGAGGACTAGAATGCAAATTTCACTTCAATAACAAAAAACAAAACAAAAATATATCTTTTTATAATTTCTATAACCTATAATTACATTATTCCCCTTTTTTTCCCAGGCTGATGCCTCCCTACTCTGTGAAAGTGGGATATGGTGTAATGATAGGAATGAATTAATAATCATCTCTATAGTTTCTTAAACAAAATGTGAACAGTTGCATTAAGTAAGTGTAGTTACAAGACAGCTCCCTTAATAACAGAAACTTGTCAATGAACACCAGTCAAATTTCTCACCTGTGCAGATGTCAGTACAGGAGTGTTGGGGTGAAGCAGCATAGCTGAAATCACAGCAGCAAGTCCCGGACACTGCAAATCTAGGCGTTCAATCACTGCATCTGGACTAAGGCTGGACACCTGGTAGTACTGTGTTGCCTGTTTCCACTCAGTCTCAGTGTCACACCTGCACAACAAACCTGATAGCATCAATTTTCCTTCGGTATGTGAGGGAAATTGAGGCAGGAGCTCAAGAGAAAGTTACCTCTAAGCGTTGATTACGCTGTAGTGAAAGCATTAAAAGTGTTAACACCGAGGTACATACAAAAATATTATTCTGAAATTATTGAGAATGACTCGCATAAATGGAAGAAATACTGGAAAAAGTGAAATATACCTAATGACACACTGTATATAATATGCAGTACATTATACACAAAATTATTCATCTTTTTATTTGCATATTTAATATATAAAATAATGAGTATGCTTTTGATAAAAATGGCAACAATAGCTTGGGTTCAAAGGAAATTCAAGGACTAGAGGAAAAACACACAAACTGATATATAGAATAAAAGAAGCGTCCATATTTCACTATCGGAGTAGTTATTTGTGAGAGTTGGTCAAGACTGCACATCTCAACCTTTCACTTGGCTCTGACAGAGCCTCTCCTCTATTACTATCATTGCCTTTTCATTAGCTCTGTTTACTTTATGTTTAGATCTTTTGCCCTTCCAGACCACTAATATTTCTTCTGAGCCATTAGTTTCCTATTGGGCTCTTGTTCTTTCTCCTCTACTGGTTTCAATTCACTTCCTGTTTCCAGCTATAAATCCAATCTAGTTTGGTCTTGCATCAGATAATCACGTGGGAGTCCTTTCTTTCCATCTATCTTTGACAGGTTTATTGTTCTAGTGGTCTTTCATCTCACGGGGTCATAGGCTGTGGTGTCTCCTTTCTTCCTTGACACACATGACTGCTTCTTAATAAAGCACTTTGGTCTTTGCAACTTCTTTGTCCAGTGACTAATGTTAATGCATTTTGTTGGCAATACGAGCTTCCGGTAATGTCGCTCTGTTCTTTCATCCTTGGGCTTTATTTCCCCCTGATTGTCACTAGCTTTAGAGGGGCACTCCTTTGATACAACCTCTTTTTTCCTTTATCACATTCTTGACATTCATAGTTCTGCTCTTCTAGTCCCAAGGAATGCTAGTTCAAGTTCACTGTCCTTGTAGAAGAGTAGTTACACGTTCGGTACCAGGGCACGTGAGCGAGGAGGCAAGCAAATGGGACCCATGGGTGATCCCAACTACCATCTGTTGTTTGCTTTACATCGCCTGTACTTTCCAAATAGTTTTACTAGGTTCTGGGTCACTTTCATCCCCCATTTTCCTTACCCAATATGAGCAAACTAGATTCTGGTCCAGGTGTTTGATAGGCCTATACAAATACAGTGACCTGGTAGTTATGGCTGTCTCCGGTACCAGAGTTGATGCACCACGAAGCTACCGAGGTCCAGTCCAGAAATTAGGGTTTAGTGCCAATGAATCAAGATTTCCAAGGTTACACTAGCCATTTCTAACATATTGATTCTGCTACCTATGAGTAGCCAAAATTGCAAATAAAGAATCCATAAATGGCAAGGATCTGATGCAGAGTACATCTAAACAGTTACAGCATTAAACTTGTATGACTTACTGAGCATAGTAATCCCCTAGCAATGCTGAGGAGTCCTGCAGAAGAGAGTAGAGATCTTCCTCAGCTTCTTGAACTTGTGGAACCTCATGATGGAGGGCTGTAGTGAGGACAAGGTGAGCTTCTAAAAGTAGGTGCAGGTAGGTGGATGGGGAGGCAGATCTATGGCTGCGACCCACTCGTACCATTTCCTTGTACAGACTAGCAGCACTCGGCAAATGAAGGGAGTACACCGTGTGAGATTTGTCACCACCTCTTGCAAAAAAAAGAAGACATGAAATATTACAATAAGGAAGCCATGGTTCTTATCTCCAGTCCCTTACCACAATAGTCAGCCTATCCTCCTGTTTAGGTAGTACTGTACTTATAGTAATGTTGAGGACCATCGTACATATATAGTATTGACATAGAAGGCAATTTAGAAAGCAGAAATTGGTACTATTGAATTTGGGCAAACCAGGAAAGTTTTTGTACTGATGTGCAAAGAAAATTTAACCTAACCTAACCTTCCTAGGCCTAATACACACTATTTGAGGCCTAATATAGTATTAGGTCCTATACTAGGCTTAGGAATATTTAAGTTTTGTTTTAGTTGTATTTTTTCAAACTCTATAAAGTGGATAGTACCAAATACTATTATCTAATTGTCCATTAGGTCTATGTATGGAAAACAGTCCACATACTTACACAAAAAGTACTATCTAGTTATAGTACCAAATACTATTATCTAACTGTCCATTAGGTCTATGTATGGACAACAGTCTACATACACAAAAAATACTATCTAAACAGGAGGATGGTTTGCAATAGTTTAATTAGCATATTATTGATCCAAGCTCCATTCTGCAGGTGGTGGCATAAAGGTGAGTAACATAATGGGCTCAGACACTGAACCCCCGGTGTTCTTTAATTTAAGCCACTTTACATTTTAAGGGTCTCAGTAGCTGGGTTCGTTCTCGGCACACAATCAGGAATTCCAGGTTTGAATCCCAGGTGGGAAAGAAATGGTTAGGCACACTGCCTTTCACCTAATGCCTCTATTCACCTAGTTGTAAATAGGTGCTCTAGAGTTGCTCCCCTGTTTAGGGGGAGGGAGGGGGGGGGGGCAGGATATTTTTCCTGGGCATTTGAGGATCTTTTACTTTTTGTTGGGGTGTTTGTAGATTATGGATTTTTTATTGTTTACCATTTGCAGATTTAGGATTTTTGTGTTGGAAATCCCTGTACATTCTAGAAAGGCAAAACTGCATACTGTACAGTTTTCACGATATTGAAAAGTCAGGACTTTCATTTCATGATGGCGAAAATGATGTTACATTGTTAATATACGGTATAAACTTCCCAACAATGAAGCAACAGTTTGTGAGACACTAATAACATATTAGGCAAAGTCTGCAAAACAAATTGCAGCATTAACAAATAACGTACACAACATTAAACAATAAGAATGCAGTACTGCCAACTGGCAGACGTGCCTTTTGGCATTAAAATGATAAATGAACAAAATCATTAAAGCTTAAGAAAATTATATAGGCGTATAAAAAAATTATATTTATTATTTCTGTAGAGTATTCCAATAATAATAAATGAATTCAACACCAATACAAAATAAGCAGCAGCACAAAATCTTACTCATTGTTTGCAGCAATGAGGGCAAGGCAAGAGTCAGTCAAGGTGAGCGTCTCCACGTTGAGGAATGGTCGCAGTCCCACAAGACACACAGTTTCTTCCCAATGGGGAGGTACCTATTACACAGAAATTTTGTTTTAATCGTAACTAATGCCACTATAGTAATATACTCTGCAAACTGCCTTCATAAAGCCAATAACAATAAAGCTTGCAGGGATGTGCAAGCTCTGGGTACTTTCATGTCACATACAGTAACATCCATTGCCTTTCCATTGGGGACTTTCGGCGCCGTGGAGAGGGAGGACCTGCTGCCTGGGTAACAGCTTCTCCTCCATATCAACCTACCCTGGCTTTGCGCCCTAGTGAGACCACTCCAGAGCACAACTCCATAGTCTCCTGAGACTGATGGATGCCTACTACAGTAACACCAATTATGAAAAAATGGTATTCATTTGTTGCATGGCTTGTAGCCTCTGATAAACCAACTTGGTCGAGACAGAATAAGACTGAATGACATCATAAATGTTTATACAGTAGATACTGACAATCTTTCTTTAGTATAGTATCTATAATAAGGTGGCCTTGCCAGGAGAATCTTGAGGTATACTCTTTCGTATGTAAACAATCTTGTCCTGTACAATGAGATCTATACTGAATACAAACCTCCCCTTTCTTTTTATGGTCTTGGTTATTGACCTACAAGTTTAATCTGTGGAAGTTGTGTGTTAAGGACATTAAAGATTGTAATCGACATTCAAGGTATATTAAAAACATTTAAATTAGGTCTATTGGAAAACATATATGAATCAAAAGAGGAGACACTTTTACAAAAGGACTTCATAATGTATATATGCTGTACAGGTAATACTTATGGTAATATTATCCATAAAATGCCAGTCACCAAAATTTCAAATCATGCTAAATTCTAAACACCCATGTATCTGAATACCAGCCAATTGTGTATTTTTCCCTTTTTCCACATAATTACAATTATAGAAACATGAACATAATTAATACAGCAAAGATCATAGGCATTGCTATTGACAAAACAGTCAGATAAGAGCTAAGCCTGTAACTTCCATGACCCTTTAATATAAAGCACATTAAACATGTACAATACTGCTGTCAAAAGCTTTTTCCCCAGATAAGTAATCGCCAAGTTGTGCTTGCAGGGTTGAGCTTTGGCTCTCTGGTCCCGCCTCTCAACTGTCAATCAACTGATGAACAGGTTTCCGAGCCTCTATCATATCTACATTTGAAACATATTAATGTTTGGGGATGTATTGTATGGGGATATAAGTGTATGGGGATGCATGTGGGGAAGATGCGTGTGGCGGGGATTACATGTGGCGGGAATTATGTGTGGCGGGAATTATGTGTGGTGGGAATTATGTGTGGCGGGGATTACGTGTGGCAGGGATTACGTGTGGCGAGGATTACGAGTGGCAAGGATTACGTGTGGGGGAATTCATGTGGGGGGGGATACATGTGGCAGGAATACTATTTAGCATTTTCATATTTCTGACATCTTTCATCCCACATCTTGCACACATTTTATATCACTTGCTCTTCCCTACATATTTATACTACAGTTTTTGGATACCACAGTTGATGTAAACAGCCTGGATACTGAGCATATGTATCATTCAGTCTCACCGCCATCAGAGCTGAAAAGAGCATACTGTCATGCAATCCTTTTATTACATTCATAATTAAATGTATTCACTTTTTTAATTGACTTTTTTTTAATGTACTCACATATAATGGCTTCTAAACAGAAAATAACCCTAATCTAAGCATAGAAAAAATAAGTTTCAGCAAGGAAGGAGAGGCATGGTTAAAGAAAGTTCTTGGGCTTGGCCCAATTATAGTCACTTTTTTTTATTGTACTGGTGACTTTCCTTTTTTTCCTCCAATGAGGTTATATTTACCATTAACTTTCTTCAATTACACACTGCCATCAGAAATACTCTGCTGAGCAATTCAAAGAAAAATATTGTATGACAATAGCATGTTCAACAAATGTGTATGGATATAGGATATATTATACAGTACTTTAAATACCAGTACAGTACTGTATTGTACTTGAAATGCAAATTTCATTACAATTTTGAAGAAGAAACTGGTATGTAATATGTAATCAGAATATTTAGTACTGTATAATAAATGTAAAATGATGTAAAATGAAATGGGGGGGGGGGGATGGTCATTCACAAATTGCAGCTTTCTTTTACCAACAAGGCCACGAGACCACAAATCTTAACCACAAGCAGCAAGAACTTCCTGTCTTCCAGTAACCATCTTCAACCACCCTTACACCTTGGCACCATATGCCGGTCAACTACACTTCTTTCATCGTTATATCATCTGTCAGTGATGTAACTTCCTATTCCTTGACTATTTTTTCACATTTCTACATTTCATTTTGCATTTTGTCGTCTTTCTCATTTGTGTATGTTTGCTGAAGTAGTCCTGATTCCTTACCCAGTTTCTTGCTTCTCTGTGCAAGCATAAACCAACTGTTTCGTTTACATGATATTCAATCCATTATGAGGAATTTTATAACAAATGTTATTAGTGCTCTTTTAAAATAGATTGAACCCATTAAACTGGTTAAAATGTTTACAAATAATATACAGTATTGTACTGTACATTAAGCTGTCCTACTATGTAGGCTTCTAGAAGAATTCAAAGAATTTTTACAACTAATGTTTATGAAAATATACATCATATGATGAGCCGACTCCAATTAAGAAACAGCTGAAAAGAACCCAGCAGATCTATTTTGTACACAGTACAGTATATGAATAAGATATGAAACATTATCATAGGCAGCAAAAAAGTGTTAAACAGTTTATTACAAAACTGCTTCCAATGTGGAAGTAGATGAAATGAAGTCTGGAAGGTATACAAACTGTGGCAAATCCAAAATATCATACTGTACATACAAAGACTTCTTACCCGAGTGAAAATGTGTAAAGTAAGTGTTTAAGATATGAATGATATCTGTTTACTAAGCTACTTATTTTATTGTCTATTATAAACTCAACACACATTATTTGCTTATCTAATAGTCAACATTAGAGATTAAAACAGAAGAAACTCACAATCATATTGAGATCCTCTGGAAGATGGGAGACAACAATGTGCGGATGAGGCCTCAGGGTATACGTCTCAAGACCCGTAAGAGTAAGTGCGTGCAGAAGTGATGGTTCCAGTGCCACAGAATACACTGGTGCAGTATAAGAGAACACACCTCCACGCACAACACTTGTCTCTACAGATATAAGAAAATCAAAGTATGGTATTTCCTTATAGATTAGTAATAGAGAATTTCCCTTTAAATTAAAAATTTGATTCATAAAGGAAATATAAACCTACAAATGCTAGCTAGCTTCAGTCGTGCCTGAAATATTGTGCAATCTATGGACTCCGTAAATTATACAGATGTATTTTGCAAGCAAAGCAAGACAGTTTTTAGCACTTTTAGCTCTTCCCCCCCCCCCCCCCAACATGCTATTCTGTACACCTTTTGTAAACAGCCATATTGTGGAATAACTATTTTACACGTTAAGTGAAACAGCGTGTAGGACTCGTAATTCTGTGGCGCGGGTTCGAATCCCGCACGAGGCAGAAACAAATGGGCAAAGTTTCTTTCACCCTGAATGCCCCTGTTACCTAGCAGTAAATAGGTACTTGGAAGTTAGTCAGCTGTCACGGGCTGCTTCCTGGGGGTGGAGGCCTGGTCGAGGACCGGGCCGCGGGGACACTAAAAAGCCCCGAAATCATCTCAAGATAACCTCAAGGAAGCTCAGAGAGTGTGGTAGTGTCTATTCCTATGTATAGATGTGAAATACTGGTGAGGCATGACTATGCAAAATTAAGTAATAGATCAGTCGGAATAGACAATTTCAGATGCCTTTGAAGTGTTGCTGGAAGAGACCAAGTTAGGAATGAAAATGACAGGGAAAGATGTAATGCAAAAGCAGGTACTGTAATTCATAAGATTGAGAAATATCAAGAAAGTTTGCTAATATTGAAGAAAAGCATGTTAGAAGGAAAGGAAGGCCTATAAAATGGGCAGATATGGTGGGTGTGAGGAAATGAGGACACAGAGTGAATGTTTGGCATTAATAAATGAAAATTTATTGAAAACACCTTACACTTAGTTTTATAAAGAAATGGGGTACTTCTGTGGAAAGTTTGATGGTGGTGATAATACATGATGCTGTATAAATGGAATATTTGCTCAATAGATTGTTGCCGATTGTCTAAAAACTTTTTTTCTATACTGTATTGGTAATGCTCCACTCTTCCTCTGGGCAGTCATCACCACCCAGGGAAAATGCTAAAATGGGTAACAAAGATGACAAACTATCTCAAGAATGAGAAATGAAAGCTGGAGTGGGCAGAATGGCAGTTAAAGCCTAATATCCAAAACCCGGAGATAGTACTTGCCCTGTGATATAAGGTACTCGTGTGGGAATCTGCTGATCCACGATCTCAATTGATAAAGAATCCCTCGTAACTAAACATGCAGAAAAATAATATAAACAAACTTTCTGGAAACATAGCAAACTACTATTCACACCAAGCTAAACTACAGTATGACCAAAATAATCCCCCTATCCCCCGTACCCATGAGTCCGAACCCCCAAAATCCCTACATATAAATCCCCATATATGCTAGGAAGTTGCCTGCAGCAAAATAAAACTGAACTGGATGGGGAATTCATAGCAATCCTACTATCAGAGATAATAAGGTAAATAACCTCCCTGATGCACAGATACTAGTAATTCCCTGCCAAACCTGAACGGAAGAAAGAACCAGACACGAGAGCAACACAAAATGCCACCTAACCATGACAAGAAAGAGAGTTGAAGATATTTCTTGCATCATTTGATACAAGAAAACGCTCAAATTTTCCAGGAAAAAATTGCTACTTGCAAAACCATGTAAAGTCTAGAACAATATAGTTCCGATATTGGAAATTAAATGTACAGAAATCCCTTGCATTGGCCAATTTTGTTCAACCCTGCTTCAACCTTCAATGTAATTTGAATAGCCTTCACATAACTTACATTTTGATAACTTACTAAATTAGTTCTGATTGCCGAGTGCTTTAATAATGAAATAAAAAAGTATGCAAATAGTGTATAAATATTTCTCATACAAATATAAAAAATATTCAAGCAACATAAAGACAAAGTCAAGTGAACTTACTGTAAGCATCCTCGAAGAGTGTGACATGATACAACTGACCAACATGGGGAGTCGTGAGGAAAATAGATGCCCCAACTTTATGTGGTGAGCTCGAGGGAAGTAGAGGATGGGTCAATCGCCATGATGCAGTCACGTTACTGTCTATGAAATGCAGGTAACAATGAAAATATGCTTTATGTATAGCTTCATAGGAATATGGAAGGGGGTAAATAAACTAATCCCAAACCACCCCCTACCCCTACACACCTCTATGCAAACGCACAGATCTTTATTCCAAGTATATGTTGCATTTGTTTTAATACTAATAATTCATATGTTGTTCACAACTTGGAAAAGGGCTTATCAGTACAAAAACTATTATATAATACTTATTTGACTGTCAAAAAAAAAAATACAAGAAATTACAACTTGTACCTTTTTTTCCAGACTCGGAGTCATACACAGCCATAAGCTTGAGGTTAGAGAATGGAATATCTGGATCGTTGTTGTGATCAGCTTGGCGGTGAATGAGTGTCACTGCCTCAAACACATTGGCTGGTAATTTCTGGGTTGAACTTCCACTCACAAGTTTCAGGCGAACACTTGAGCATCGTGAAGAACTAAAAAGTATACCACAAGACTCGGATTAAAATCAGGTGTCTTGGCTACAACTAAACTGTAAATAATATGGTTAACCCCTGGGCTGCGCAACTGTTAATAGTTGGGCACCATCCCAATTGTGCGCAAGAAAAACAATTTTGAAAACAATTATTTTTTCTTTTACCAGAGTATGGAATGGATTAATTCAATTCCCATTATTTCTTATGGGAAAATTTGTTTTGACTTATGATACGTCTTTGGGAATGGATTACCATTATAAGTCGAGGCCCCACTGTATATGATATGTGTCCTCCAGGCAGTCTGACCAAAATCACATATAGTACTGTACATATGATTTGTGCCCCTCCAAGGGTTAAACAATACCCCATTTGACCTAGTTAATGCCAGAATTCGCATTTATTGTACAGTACTAGGTATTAAGAATCTCGGAAGATTGCTCTAACCTGACAGGACCAATTTTTTCACCAGGTTCAGCTACTGGTCCACACTGTGCAGCTCCAACAAGGGAGGGGAACAAAAGAAATCGGTCATCATCAGTTGGACGTTTCCGACCATAAGACAGTGTTGGAACCCACGTCAGCTCGCTCAAGTCCACGTAATCATCAGAATCTCTGACAGATGCCAAACATTCCTGAAAAAGAGGAGTAATCAAGTAAAAATGCAACTGTTACCTTGGTTGAGAGAAGAAAAGTAGATACAACAAAAAACTGATGAACTTTGGGGGTCGAGATACACTTCTAAATCACAGAAAAACAACGTGACACTGTTTAAAGAGAGACCAAGAACAATTATGATATACGCATCACTTACAAAATAGTGACTGCATGAAATGGTTTTCTACCTCCCCTTCCTTAAATATAATTTATTCATTTTTATCACTACAGTACCTCGTTTTTCAATTTCATGGAGGTTAGAGAGCATTAGCTGGTGTAATTGGTGCAATTAAATTTTAATATTACACAAGAACTCTGCAGATTCTGATATAAAAGGATAATATATGGCTATAACAGCAATGTAGTGCCAAGTACACACAATATAATAAGAGAAAAAGAATAAACCAGAAGAGCACTACTGAATATATGTCAAAAAAACAAAAAATGGTTTGTCACTTACTTCATTTGGATTTAATCGTCGTTCCCTCAGTCTACTGGCAGAGCTGAGCGACTCGATGCTCCGACCTGGTGAGCGAGAAGCTGACCGTGTCTTGGATTTGGATCTCGATTTACTACGCTTCTCCTGAGACTTTATATCATTTTCCTCTGAATTAGTTTTTAAGAAATGGGAATTTATTGTAATTTGAAATATATGAGCTTCTGATTCTGACACACAGCCAATCAAATCCTCAGATATAGCTACTTCTTTAACAATAAATGCCATATCTAACTCAATTAATTCTTCAAAGTCAATAAATTTTATCTTTGAAATATCATGGGTTTTTTGGCAAAATTTAAATACTGTTACACTAATTCCACAAGCCACTGCAATGTTCCCAGTTGACTGACAACAAGCAATAAATTCTGCAGGTTTTCTTAGTGGAATTTCAACCATTTCCAAATTAGTAACACCTGACTGGCTGCTAGGAGTGACACGTCCAGCAATTCGTGCCCTCATGGGCTGATTGGTGTTGTCTTGATCCCAGTGCAGGTAAACTCGCACATATCTGTGATCACCACCATGTCTTGCTGGCTTTGTCTCTAAAGTAACTACAAAGTTCCCTGAAATAATTCAATAAAATCATAATTAAACACCCCCAAAAAAGTGTCAGCATATTTAATGATCCTTAAACAATATGTACCGTATATTATAGTTTATTATCATAAAATATAACTATTAATTTATATCTACTGTATATGAGAAGGTCTCTGTACTGTAATTGTCTAAGGTTGGAGGCTAGACGTTTGGAGTTTGCCTCAGCCAACTTTGCAGGGAAAATGATTAGGGGTACAGAACAGACACAAGCTGGTTTGGGAGTTGGTCCTATTAGTTGTATTAATGGAGGAAGATAAGTCTGAGGAGTGACATCTGACCCCCCCCCCCCCCCCCCCCACTCCAAATAAAATTGGTGATAGGTGGCTGGCCAGGTCCCTAAATTTCTTCACTTGAACATGAAGGTAATTCAGTATTAAAAGGAAATGTCTGTCAGTCCAAGGTTGAAGACCAGATGGGGAAGAGGGAAGTAAAGGGAGGGGGAGCATGGGGAAAATGGAGATGGAAGTGAGAAGGGAAGGGTGATAGAGGGAGGGAAGAGGGGAGGGAAAAGGGTGGGGAAAATTATTAGGGAAAGAGGAGGGGAGGGAAGGTAGGGGGCGAGGAGATACTGTACCAGGCACTGCTGAATACTTTTTCTAGTACAATACAGTATATCATATTATATATACTGCACATATAATACATAAATAAATGAGAATTTAATACTATATACTGTAATTCCTGTACTATTACATCAATAGGCTTGGTCCTAGTACACTGTGATGTACATTGTAATACATTTTTAGTTTAAAGTTTTTACCCATTGAAAGAATTGTTGGCACTTTATAAACAAAGAAATATGATACAGTAGTATGGCTTCTAAAATACCCGTAAATAACATTTTAAGACACTTTCTGATAAAAGTGACATTTTGAGCAAATTCAATATTATATATTGGAATAAACATATTAACTAAGTCTTTAATAAGGTAAAGTCTCGTGTCTCCAGATATTCATGAAGAGAAGAACTTGTACGGCCTGCATGAATAAAACCACAACAATATCAGGAACTCCCCTAATATACAGTACTCAGAACAACAAAAAATATTGGAAATGCATCTAATAAAACTGCAAAACAAATATATTATAATTACAGTATGTATATATTGTACAGAAGAACCTCGGGTAGTGAATGACGCTCTTTATGAATTTTTCGGGTTACGAATTAAATTTCTTTGGAAAATTCAAATCGGGTTACGAACTTTGCCTCGCCTTGCGACTTTGTTGATTTGTTCTTTGTTCAATTTCCAAATCAATTGAAAATACCACTGATGCATACCAAACAAAATGTAAGAATGCATATTAATGTGACCTTAACAGTCAGTGGTTCCCATAGAATACATCACAGAACATGGGTGTTTGATTTCTAGTTTCCAAACTCTGAAATGACTGGGAAGTAGTCTAGCTTTTATTTTTATTAATCCAAATGTTTGTTTTATTATTTGTTATCCGTTTTTTTGTCAATGTTTATTTTAATTACTTATTTGAATGCTTGCAAGTTGTGTATGAGAGAATGTTTGTTTATGTTTGTAAAGTAGATTTCCAGATACAGTACCAGGTACCTGTATGTTATTCTGACATACCTAACATACCTAAGGGGCCTGACAGCTGAGTGGACAGCGCTTGGGATTCGTAGTCCTAAGGTTCCAGATTCAATCCCTGGTGGAGGTGGAAATAAATGGGCAGAGTTTCTTTCACCCTGATGCTTCTGTTCACCTAATAGTAAATAGTTACCTGGGAGGTAGACAGCTGCTACGGGCTGTTTTCTGGGGGTGTGTAACAAAAAGGAGGCTTGGTCGAGGACCAGGCCGCAGGGACGCTAAGCCCTGAAATCATCTCAAGATTCTCAAGATAACCTTCTAGTTATGTGATATATAGTATAGAAATAAAGAGTAGTCTAATATAGACCAATATACCATACATGCTTATATTGTAAAAGTTCCCTTATAAATGGGCGATGTGTTTCATTGTCTGTAATTTCTAGTGGTTTTACAGAATGCCGTCACCATACATATTTGTAGTTACCCAAGTGTAGTTACAGGACTAGAGCTATGCTCATGGTGTCCCATCTTCCCAGCACTGTCATATAATGCTTTGAAATTACTGACTGTTGTGGCCTCCAACACCACCTCACTTAACTTGTTTGTTTGTGGTCCTAGGGAAGTGTTCAAGATGAACTTTTGAATGGAAGACTTCTACTTTTGCTAAAAAGTGTTAGAAGTCACCTGCTCCTGTGCCTTGGTGTAAGTTTTTTTTTCATATTCCAGTAACACAGGCCACAGCACCTAAAATTTTAGCATGTTGTGTTCTTGGAATACATGTCACAGAACCTCAAATAAACAAACTAGACAATTTTTCCTGCAGATCCTAGAATCCTGAACAACAGTGAACTTTTTCCTAAAATGTTTCAGAGTCCTTGTCACATACCTGTCTCACAGTAAACCAGCTGGTGCACTAGATCCACCGTTGGGAAGCTGCTCTGAAGAATTCCACCTAACTTTAGGTCACGTATGTCTACGCTGTGTTCTCCTCCAACCAGCAATATGTCTCCTTTTCCTCTGGTGACACCCCGTCCACCGGAGCGCTCCAACCCTGCCACATCTTGGCGGGTGAAGTGATGGACCGAGATGACACGTACCATCCCTCTGTTAATTCAGAAATTATTTACTGTAAATACAGTACGGTTGTAAACTAATCTAAGATCTTTCACTATGACAAAGTTATTATATAAATATAAAATTCCTAGACCTAGGTAGAGCTGTATAATCATAAAGGTGAGTGAAGTTAAAGTAGGGCAATGTCCAGGATATTCCAAAGGGAAGTGTCAGCTTAAAAAACATCATGGGATCTCTGTTGTTTACCAAATACTGTCTAGAAATTATTTAAATATAGGATTGAGAAGAGGCATTAGAAAATTTCCATAAGATACTAAAATAGAGCATGAAATAAATTCATAAGTATAATGGACAAAAGATTTTTCAAATGCACTCTGATGCCAAAAGGTAAGGTTCCAAGCTTCAGAAATTTAAAAACATGTACTAAATACGAAATAGATTTAGGTGTCACGATTAGTAGCGATCTTAAACAAAAAAAAAATAATTAATAAATGTTTGAATTTAGGCAAATAGGATAAATACAGTAATTATAACAATTTATAAGTCTAATTAAAATTAATGACAGCTAACATTATTCCTCAGCTTAAGCTGAAGACTAAGCACGTATGCCCATAAGACCCATATGCACTTTAATTAATAACAACCTACTATAGAATGAACAAATTTTCTTAATTGTGAGGATAGTTAATTTTGATATTTGGAAGCAGCTTAATGGAAAAATTAAAAGTGTAAATTACATTCTCTAGAAAAGCCACAGAATAAGATTATGATCGACATACAAATACAGTACTGTAGATGAAAGGGTATGACACGAGGCATATTAATAGGGAATTAACATAACACAAAATACAATAAATAATTGATAGATATTGGATAACTATAGGTTCCGAGAACACTTGGGTAAATAATGGTTTAGAAATTGTGTTATCTTGAGGTTATCTTGAGATGTTCCATAAGTGTTGCACACTTGTGGAACACATCATTACCAGTAGATATGGGGTTGCTTGATTGTGATAGGCAAGTAGGGCTCAGGAAGTAGCAGAACTCCCAGAACCCTCTCCAGGTATGATGTCTAGATGTTGTTGGATGTACGTACAGTACATTGTAAATAGCAGCTACTTCACATGGGAATATAGGCATTCTGCAATTCTCTATATTCATATGGTAATAAAAAATTAGCCACATTTTAAAATTCATGGGTGAACCATCTTGGGTGTGGTGTGACTTATATCCAGGGGGTCCCAATAGTATGTACAGTTAGGTTCGTTTTCGACTGTCAATCTAGAATTCCACGTTTAAATCCCAGATGGGACAAATGTTTGGGCGCATTTCCTCTCATAATGCCACTGTTCACCTGGCAGTAAATAGATACCCACGAGTCAGCTTGTTATGGGACTGCACCCTAGAGGATTAGTAATTCAACCTTTAGGGGAGGGGGTACCTCAATACAAGTCTAACATGTATATATATACACTGGTTGCCTGTCCCCCGACAAAATGAAAAAAAAAGAATTATCCCATGGACCAGTATTCAACATGTACATAATACTTAGATTGGGTTAAAGTTCGTTATTTAAACAAATTACAGTATTTTAATACGTGAGAAAGCAGTGCATATTCTCTGATATAGTCTATATATCAGACAATGTGCTGAACATATATATTAATGCTGAAAGTGAATAAGTTTGATTATTTATACATAAATATTTACAATTATAATATAGTAAATAGTTTAATGATGTGCTGAATTATTTTGAAAAAATGGACGACATTAGAATACAATGTATGAGGTGGGTATGGTCGTTTCGAACACAAGACAATTTGACGAAGCTCATTTTATGTTTGTTAAAACCATGAATATTGTTATGCTTGGATGTATTAGCTTAGGTTAGACTGGATTTCAGTCTGATGTGTTAGGTTGAGCTAGGTTAAGTTAGGTAGGTTTCAAAATTCGTAGGCAAATCGTCTTGTGTACGCTGTGACTTGTAGCTATATGAGGTGTCATTAAAACTAACTCGAGAATTGTCCAAACATCGAACCTTAACCTAACCTAAGGTATGTTGGATAAAGGCTTATGGGTTGCACTACATAATGCTGTATCCAACATATTCACACTCCTTATTGTAAGTTAAAGAGCTTCAAACGATTTGTGTATTAATGACACAGGGCAAGCTTAGTTTCCAATATAACTACACTCCAAAAATTGATCAAGATACGTCAGAAGTGTTGCCTAGTGTGAGCAAGCAGAGGCGTGTCACACCTCTCAGTGACCCACACACACACTGGCAGTAATACCCACTAACGACCTCAAAACACCTGTAAACTGGGAAGAATATGTGAGGTATAGAGAGGTCAGGTGATGGAAGGGTTAAGTCACAAGATATACCTGTGTTGTAGGCTGGCCGGCCGCTCCATCACCTCCCTCACTGTATCCAGGACTCTCCCTCCCTCCCCAGCCTTCATATACACATTTTAACAACCTAAACTCACTTAACCAAGTCAATATTTATGTGTGATGTATATTTATATGTGAGCGTGCCGGTTATATATGAAAATATAATTGTTTAAATGAGAGTATATAAAGGACGATCAATTGTCAACCTCGCCCTTCTAAATTTATTAGGGGTCTACAATTTTTTTATTTTCTTATTAAATAGACTCATGAGTGTTGCACTGAGCTGCATCTTCCAGCCTTACGAGTTTTTCTTTATTAATCTCAAAATCATATGCTCTATGCTCACAACTGAGTATCCCGGGTGGATACTAATCACATGTGGTACAGAAGACGGCTCGCACATATATATTTTACCATTTCGGACACAAAATTAGTACGTTTCGTATATATATATATATATATATATATATATATATATATATATATATATATATATATATATATATATATATATATATATATATATATATATATATATATATATATATATATATATATATATAGTAGAATTAGTAGGCATCCATCAATTTCAGGAGACTATGGAGTTGCGCTCTGGTTGTCTGTCTGGAGTGTCCTCTCCTGAGGGCGCAAAGCCAGGGTAGGTTGATACAGAGAAGCTGTTACCCATGCAGCAGGTCCCCCCTCTCCAGAGCGCCAAAAGTCTCCAATGGAAAGGCAAACGCCAATACGATTGGTTCCAGCGCTGTTGCAGTAACTGTCAGAACGATGTTGAAAGCAACAACGAACTGCCCTAGGGGCTCTAGCTCTAGAGTTTACCTCGAAGTTGGTAAACGAAGGCACAGGGACTATCCCAAAACTATCCCTATCCTACAGAGATTATCCCAAATTTTTAGGATAATCAAGCGTACTTTAGACTATAAGGAAAAGAAGGTAATGGTCCAACCAGACGGGAGACATCTCCCATCACGCAGGGTGCAGTTGCACCTCCACGGATCTCCAGTATCAGCTCTTGATACTGGTAATGGCTCAAATGGGCCACCACTTACGGGCTATTCATGCCCGTGCCACCTTTTGGGTGGCTTAATCTTCATCAATCATCATTCAGGTCCAACTGTATAAGACTGGTGTAGACTCGTCGACTGGTGTCCCTGAGACAACAGATTTGCCACTGAGGCACTCACAACTCCCAGCCACTGATTCAGGCACTCACACCTCCCACGTCTCCGGATTGTGATGTTCTCCATGGATTTATGTTGCTTGGCTGCTTCTTTGTGTTTATTATCTAGTTATTATAACTCCTGTAGTCTTCCCTTGGGAAGACATGTATACGTAGGTAGACGGAGTAGCCATGAGATTCCCACTAGGAGACCTCTTTGCTAACTTCTATATAGAAATACTAGAAATCATCTTCAAACCCATAGGAAAACCTCGCATCTACTGCAGATACATTGATGATATATTCGTATGTGTGAAAGACCACCAGGAACTGTCGCGGCTTATGGGAAAGTCAGTACTTAACTTTACCCATGAACTAGGTATATATGGTGCAGTCCCTTTCCTCCAGGTCTACGTGAGAACCAAAGACAACACCACACAAGTTTATACTAAACCCACCAACATTGTAATGTATATAAATGGTCACTGCGAATGTCCTAACAGATATAAGACTAGTGTAATAAATGCATTTGTATGCAGAGCCCTTACTCATTGTTCTGTGGTATTAAATCCACAAGGAACTGGAGAGAAGCCTTCAAGTATTAATATACAACAGGTACACGAATATATCAACACTAATATCAAGATATTTAGAAAAATAGTATAACACCCTCCCACAAAACTCTATTACAAATCCACTATGAGCTCATTTTAATAGCAGAATTTAGAACCATTTTTGTAACAACTTTTATATATCATATTTGTAATTATCATAGATTCCCAAAGAGATGAAACAGAAAGCCATAAGCAATATTGGTGTACTGAACGCTCCTAGAACTACCTTCCTGTGATTGGCGGTTGCAGGGAATGGCAACACTCTTTCTATGAATGAAATGCAAACTAAGAAATACGTCCTTTTGCACAACAACCTCTTTGTTTTGCATCTGACAGAATTTTCCATCTAACTGAATAATGTAGCCTAATAAGAGGGTGGAGCATTGTCACATCGATGTTATAGATTATTATTTTATTATCTGTGTGAGGCAATCTCCACTGATACGTTACAAGTTAGGTTGCCAGGCCAGTTTTCCTATAACACCTGTTATATCCTGCAATATTTTTATCAATTGATTAATACTTTTCAATAATTAACACTTCGCTTTTTAGGTAGATTAAAGTTAAAACAGAATGTCATAAATATGTCTGGTGTTCTAAACAAAGATGATTTATTAAGAGGGTATAACTTTTAACTGATCCCTTCCTGTGATTGGCTGTGCTGAATGTCAACAAAAAGTTTCTACCAATGACATGGAAGCTTGTGGGGGGTGGGGGGGACTTCTTACTTCAACACAACAACCCGCCTTATGGGTTGCTGTTTGGCTATTTATAGTGCGTTGGAAAAATCAGAGATGGCGCTAGGTGTATTTTGAAGAGTAAAATGTTAATAGTGCAATTTGATGTCAACAGATGGCATAAGCTGTATCTTATGACTAGGCCTGTTGATAGTGCTCTTTCCTGCCAACAGATGACATCAGATGTATTATTATTACTTCCGAATTTCCTTTAAACACTGATCTACAAAAACCGGTAGTTTATGATAAGGTTTTATACCATACTGGTATTAGGTAATTTTTTTTTTTGTCTACTGTTGATGATATCGTCATATAACGTCTGGTTTGGATGTACTGCTCTTTGTTGAGATGTGATGCATTTCCAAATAAATTATACATCAGTCCGTAATATTATTAAAACAACAAATCATGCATATAATAACAGCATTTCACACTAAAAGTACTTGGATCTATTGAAATTTGGTAGTGAATTCCAATCTAGGAATCTCTTATGACGAAACTGTCCTGTGTGGGGGATACTGTTGAATAAGGTAGTTGATGAGATACCGAAGAGAGCCACGAAAAAAACTCTTGTTGATGTTGCATGTCAAATAACCTTGAAACAAATAAAAACAAGAATCAAGATGATCCAAGAGGGTGAAGAAAAGGTTAAGAGAATGACAATGGTGGACAGTAGTAACACACTTAAGAATTATTCAATAATTAAGATTAAGATTAGGATACAAATATATCTGGCGATACGGTGTTAATGACAGTGAAAAAGATAAGAGTGTAAATTATGTAGTATGCCGCACGCCCACACCTTAGATCATTATGTATTAGTATTGATAACTATAGAAATAAGGAAATAAGTAGTGTACCACATCAAATTGCTTGGATGTGTGATAATGGTATGATAGACAGTATACTTAGGAGCTACAATTTTGCCCCAAGAGTGTAACAATTATAAGCTGTGCTTACTATATTAACCTACAATGTTAAATGGGATTCTTGTATTGTGATTTGTGTATTTGTACTCACTGAATTTGTGCGCCCCTTGAGGGACTGGAAGTAGAGGGGGTAGAAATTACCTAAGCTACTCTATCCCTTTGAGATGTATTTCTTTCTTGTCTCAAACATAAACTTGAATCTTTCAATATTTTTATTTCAAAATTATTTTAAGTTTTGCGTAATAGTGGCTTCATAGCGTGAGTAACGCGTCCCCACAGTAGTACGTTACTCTTATATTCTTTGTACACGCATTCTTTTGAATAAAAATGTGAATTAGAATTTTGTATAAACCCATAGAACCGCCTATCCGCCGAAGCCGTAAATGCCAAAACGGTTAAATGTTAAAATCCAGCTGCAAAAAAACATCAAGGGCAAATGGTGGAACCTTTGACAAGCCGTCGGCTTCCTGTCACGTCGAGGCCGCTAATGTGTGCTAGTAGCCCTCAGGTAAATCGTAGCTGTAGCTTTTATATCTGAATCCACCCAGAGGGCTACCATCTATCTATAGTAGCTTCAACGATAGGACAGGAAGTCGGTGTCTTGTCAAAGGTCCCCTCTATTTATCCTGATGATTTTATCCAGCTAGATTTTGTTTGAAATGTAGCAATGTCTTGACATTTACAGCTTCGGCGGATAGGCCGTTCCATGACTGGCATATGTGAGCATGGTCAAAATGTGTTATATTTAACCTTCTGAAGAAATGGCTTGGATCAATATCATATTCAATCTGTAATTTAGAATAACGGTACCCATCCTCTCAAGTATGTTTGATTTGGTACGCTATGATCCCCAACGTACAAAACAAGGGGTATTATGAAAAGCAACCGCTCACAAATATCAGTTTTCTCTGCGTTGGTTAGCTAGGTTAGGTGGGTGGCTTTTTTCTATTTTAGGTCCTCTGGTTGGTTAGGAGAGGATTCTTTAGTACGACAGTTTTTTGACGTTGGTAAGCCCCCCCCCCCCTAGGAGGACGGGTTGCATATTGAATAGGGTAGCAGCACATTGCTGTATTAAGAAGCTAAGATTGTTAATAAAAAGTACCTGTATGGGCAAGATCGGACCTTTCCACGTTCTCTTTGTATCAGATGATGGAAGGATTAATACTAAACACATTATATGATACAACCATAATTTTTATTTGAAAAATACTGTACATTGACAGGTTATAAATACAATATAGATGTACAATGATTGTAATACAGAGAATATTTTGAGGTATGAGTTGGCGACTACCACCATAACCAAAGACCTCCGCCATCATCATCATCTTACCACCATCAGCATTACCACCTCGACCACTACTACTACCATCACTACTACCACCACCACCACTACCACCACCACCACCTCATTACCACCATTACCGCTACAACCAAAGCATCCCTACTATTACCACTACCATAAAAATATCCCCACTGCCACTACCACCACCTCAGTACCCCCACTGCATCCTTCTTGATTGCCAGAAAGCATCTGATAACGTTCCTCATGAAAGGCTGGTGTACAAACGGAGAAGCAACAAAGGATAATTGGGAAGACACTTAACTGCGCGAGGGAGTACCTAACAGACAGAAAAAAGGTTCCCAATCAGAAAGTGACTATCAAGCCGCTTGTGAGAACAAAGTGAGAAGTGGTTCTCACTAAAGCATAGTCTTGGGATCATTGGAGTTCCTAATTTACATGAATGACCTACCAAATTGTTGAGTGAACTTGTACATATCAATGTTTGTAAACGATGCAAAGTTTATGAGGAATGTAAAAATAGAGAGCAAATCAGGAGATATTTACACTATAGAGGAAAGGTTTATTTACACCATAAACAAGACTCTCAGAAAACTATTTCGGAGTTGATATAATTATATACCTGTCACTACATTTATTTTTTCAAGATTGACTGTTTCACCTTTTAATTTAAAATTCACTGCAAATTTTGTGCAAGCTTTAAGACTTTCCCACAACGCCATGCGAGTTAGTGGCTTTGTAAAACTAATTCAAAATGAAGTCATGAAGATGAAGCTTTGGAGCCCTCAGATGCACAAGAATCAAGGGTTGGCCCCAAAATGAACCACTGTGGTACCCCACTCATCACATTTCTCCGGTCAGATTTATTTCCGTTTAGAAAGACCTTCTGTTTTCTTAGTTTTAACCACTGTTTTATCCATCCTAATGTTTTACCATTTATTCCATGAGCTTGTAATTGCCTTACCATCCTTTCATGTGGTACTTTATCAACAGCTTTAGCAAAGCCCATATAAACTACCCCTACCAGAAGTCCTTTGCCTTAACAACTGGTTACCGTTTCCACAAATGTGAGCAGGCTTGTAAGGCAGGATCTATTTTTAACAAACCCATGTTGGGTTGATTTAACAAGATTGTTAATTGTAAAATGGCGAATGAGTCCCTCCCTTAGGATTCTCTCCATGAGTTTTCAGATGTGTGAGGTTAAGCTGATCGGACGTATTTTTCTGCCGAGCTCTTTCTGCCTTTTCTAAAAATAGAGGGTGATAGTTGTTTATTCCCAATCTATATGAACTATCCATTGGTTCAGAGATTTTCTGAAAAGGAGTTTCAATGGCAGGCATAGTTAATATGCAAGTTCCTTTACGACTTGGGATTTAATTCCATCCACACCTGCGGCTTTTGAGTCTTAGTTTGTCAATGTTAGTCATGATTATGTCGCACGTTATGAGAATATCGACTAATTCGTTCTTTTGACTTCCTTCAGGCATTTGTGTGGGTAAATAAATGCCAAGTCACCACCACCATCACCAGCTCACCAGCTCACCACAACTACTAGCTCACCACAACTACTAACTGAACACCACCACAACTACAACTACTAGCTCACCACCACCACCACAACTACTGATTGAACACCATCACAACTACTGATTGAACACCATCACAACTACTGATTGAACACCATCACAACTACTAGCTCACCACCACCACAACTACTAGCTCACCACCCCACAACTACTAGCTTAACACCATCACAACTACTAGCTCAACACCATCACAACTACTAGCTAACCACCACCACAACTACTAGCTCACCACCACCACCACAACTACTGACTCACCACCACCACAACTACTAGCTCACCACCACCACAACTACTAGCTCACCATCACCACCACAACTACTAGCTCACCACCACCACCACAACTACTAGCTCACCATCACCACCACAACTACTAGCTCACCACCACCACCACAACTACTAGCTCACCATCACCACCACAACTACTAGCTCAACACAACCACATTATTTTCCTATCACCCATTACGAAGGACAGGATGGGAAGGTTTGGGGTCGTATCATCATTCTCAACTGGGTGAGAAAGCCTCGCTTGTCAATACGTGGCGTCCAGAAACCAATCATGATGCTACCATGGGGAGCCGTGGGATGGACCCAGCTGCAGCTCTTGTACCACCATCCTCCACCTCCGCCGGAGGCCGGATCCTGAGCGCAGGAACCAGCTGTAGATCGGGTGACACACATATGGAATAAATGAGTTTTAGTGACATGTTTACACGCACACACACACACATCAGCATCCACGTAATATAAAGGTATACACATGTATACTGGAATACACTAGGTTAGTGCACCTATATATTAATTCCTCTATATGTTTAACATGTCCAGGTATTAAAGTTATCATCTCCGTTGAGCAGTAATTGAAATATTTAGTGATACCATTACATATACTGTAATATACAAATGGTCCCTTTTTAAAAAAGAAAATGTAAACAAACAATTTTCCTTCATTACAAAATAAGAGAAACAAATATGATAACCAATAAACGTAAATATTATATATATATATATATATACACATATAACTCCCGGGTACCTGTTTACTGCTAGGTGAACAGAGGTATTAGGTGATAGGAAACGTGCCCATCCATTTCTGTCCCGCCCGGGATTCGAACCCGGAATTCCCGATTGTGAGTCGCGAACGAACCCAACTCAAGAAATGTAGTAACGCCAAACTTACTCCAAAGGTCATTGTCTCTGTCGTAGGTAGAAAACATCATTCCAGTGAGGTTGAGGTTCCGTACAAGGACGTCTCCAATGGTGCTCGTCGTCTGGTACCCGGCTATCTCCACCTTGTACCTGGTCAATGGTAGGAGATAGTGAGATGAACCAGGTACCACATAGGTACCAGTGCTGGTACCTGGTCCATGGTAGATGATGATGAGATACTACGTACCACAAAAGGTGTGTGCAGTTGTCTCTCAACTAAAGTCGTAGGCAATCATTGTGGTATTATATAGAATAAACGTATGATTTACTATTTTCCAAAAAAAGGAATGAATTTGATCGATAACAATTCCTGGCGCGTGAGACATTTGAACCTCACGCAAAAAAGATATAAAAATACTTCAAGCAGAACATTTAGCAATACAAGCAGGAACACTACAAGCGACACAAGCAGTTGGATTAAAGAAGCATATTCAACAACACACAAAAAGTAAACCACTATAAACAAAAGTCAGCAGCGCAACAAAGAGCATAGTCAGCAGGCTAAGCTGAACAAACAATATCACCACAAGCAACACTGTTTGCAGTAAAATCAATACCAGCACCTGAAGTAGAAGCTGCAACATCCTAGAACAGCATCAGCAGCAAGGGGAAGAACCAGCATTCTTACCAACTGAACCAGCGTCACTCCGACAACTGCATTTAAATCAACAGAAGCCTAGCAACAGTACCAGTGGCGGAGCCAGAAGCAACACTTGCAATATCAATACTATCAGCAGTAACATCAGCAGCACCAACAACAGTAACACTAGAGAGAAGTAGTCAGACTCACGAGGAGCGCTCGTCGTTGACTTTAAACGTGGACCAAACAGCATGGCGAGTGTCCAAATGTTCGTTGGTGGCGGACAGCAGCAGGGTCTGGGGCTCGTACTTGGTCAGCTGGTACAGCCCCTCCAGCCCTGTCACAGATGGTACGTTAGCCCCTCCAGCCCTGTCACAGATGGTACGTTAGCCCTTCCAGCCCTGTCACAGACGGTAATAGCCTCCCCCCGTCCTTGTTCAGAGTGAGTGAGTGAGTGTGCTGGAGACACCAGGGAAGGGGGGGAATAACACCAACCAGTATGTCCCCTTACCCAGCCAATACTCCGTGGAGGCGTCACCGAAGCCATTCTTGTAGTCATCCCAGCGTTTGGTGAAGTTCACTGTAGGTATGGCCCTGATGTCTCTCTGCACGAACGTGGTCCATCCTCCTGAAGAACAACAGAACACATCGAATGTTGAGTACAACATGTCACCGAGCTGCGGAAAAGTGATTGAATTATGCCGTGGATATTTTTTTGAGGTAAAAAATAATAACATAAGTTTGTGGTAAGGTGAGATATTTAATGTCATCCTTAGTGTTTCCCGCGGCGTTAGAGGCAAGACATATCCGGATTTCCTCCAGGTCATTGGGGGCTTCAAATATAAAGGTTATATTGGAAGTAAAGAATCCACATGAAGTGACAGTAGTCAATCCATCTGGTTCGAACATGCATTAGCCAATCACAATGCCTGTTACATGTTTAGGCCGTGCTTGACAAACGCGCCCATTTGACTGAGATAACAGACACGAACTAGAGTTGCTCCACCAGTCGTCCCTACCTGTTGGAGAGATTACTCACCTCCGAGTGTAGTCACGTCCCACCGGTCGTCCCTACCTGTTGGAGAGATTACTCACCTCCGAGCGTAGTCATGTCGCACCAAACCGGGAGTGCCTGTTCGACCCTGTTGAAGAGATCGCAAACTTTTAAAATATGTCAACATTTCAGCAGCTGAAGCAGAGACAGATATTTCATACACACGTTGTTCTGATAATTTCAAAAAGCTACATAAAAGCTCTTCAGATCCAAGCACGTAGCCTTATGGGCGAGACTCAAATTATTGGTAATGTTCTTGCGGGCTATTCATGCCCGTGCCACCTCTTGGGTGGCTTAATCTGTATAAATCAATCTGGTAAAGTTGCCCTTATGTGGCTTGTACAGAGTCACTCATTCCGAGTCTTTCGTGTATGCTACTGTCAAAGGTTTCTTAAATGTCAAGTGTGTTGTTGTATGACCTGATACAGCCTGGGTTGTTGTTGTATGACCTGATACAGCCGGGGGTGTTGTTGTATGACCTGATACAGCCGGGGGTGTTGTTGTATGATCTGACACAGCCTGGGGTGTTGTTGTGTGACCTGACACAGCCTGGGGTGTTGTTGTATGACCTGACACAGCCTGGGGTGTTGTTGTGTGACCTGACACAGCCTTGGGTGTTGTTGTATGACCTGACACAGCCTGGGGTGTTGTTGTATGACCTGACACAGCCTGGGGTGTTGTTGTATGACCTGACACAGCCTGGGGTGTTGTTGTGTGACCTGACACAGCCTGGGGTGTTGTTGTATGACCTGACACAGCCTGGGGTGTTGTTGTATGACCTGATACAGCCTGGGGTGTTGTTGTATGACTGTATGATCTGACACAGCCTGGGGTGTCGTTGTATGACCTGACACAGCCGGGGGTGTTGTTGTATGACCTGACACAGCCGGGGGTGTTGTTGTATGACCTGACACAGCCTGGGGTGTTGTTGTATGACCTGACACAGCCTGGGGTGTTGTTGTATGACCTGACACAGCCTGGGTTGTTGTTGTATGACCTGACACAGCCTGGATTGTTGTTGTATGACCTGACACAGCCTGGGGTGTTGTTGTATGACCTGACATGGTATACAGGTCAACATTACCTCCCTGGTCTGATGTCGTAGACTCCGTCCGTCTTCATCCCCTTACAGTAGAGATCAGCACAGTCACTGGGTGCCGTCATTCTGACAATAAGATATCATTGAAATGTCTGATTGAATTAAACATAGAAAACCATTTTGACACTAGACGTCAGAAACAGAACATTCGCAATTCTAAATTCATCAATTTTCAAAAGAGCATATGTAACCACACACACACACACATCTATCTGGACCTAAAAAAGGCTTTCGACAGAGTTTCACATAAGAAGTTGCTCTGGAAACTGGAAAATATTGGAGGGGTGACAGGTAAGCTTCTAACATGGATGAAAAATTTTCTGACTGATAGAAAAATGAGGGCAGTGATCAGAGGCAATGTATCGGACTGGAGAAATGTCACAAGTGGAGTACCACAGGGTTCAGTTCTTGCACCAGTGATGTTTATTGTATACATAAATGATCTACCAGTTGGTATACAGAATTATACGAACATGTTTGCTGATGATGCTAAGATAATAGGAAAGATAAGAAACTTACATGATTGTCATGCCCTTCAAGATGACCTGGACAAAGTAAGTATATGGAGCACCACTTGGCAAATGGAATTTAATGTTAATAAATGCCATGTTTATTTATTTATTTATATATAAGAAGGTACATTGGGTTAGAGAGAATACATAGCATAGTATTTATAATCTTGTAAAGCCACTAGTACGCGCAGCGTTTCGGGCAGGTCCTTAATCTAACAGATAATTTTAAGTAGGCAAATTCTAGCAGAATTAATAAAATGATAACAGATACATTGTAAGAAAAAAATGAGATGAGAGAGAATAGTAAGTATATTAAAGCACATTGGTATATTAAAGCTCTGGTTGATTACATTGACAACTTGACTGGTAATTTAAACAAGATTAACAGACACCGTACAGCAGATTGATAGCACATATAAGAAGACAGCAACGATCACAATGGTAAAGATGTTCGGATTGGGTACATAATGATAGGGAGATTGGGTACCAATAGATACAGTGCAATTTTAAAGCAACAAGGTAAAAAAACTATGCAGATGAGATTAGGTACTTTTTAGTTTTGTTTTTGAATGACGCAAAAGTTGGACAGCTTTTCAATTCATTAGGGAGTGAGTTCCATAGACTGGGTCCCTTTATTTGCATAGAGTGTTAACACAGATTAAGTTTGACTCTGGGGATATCAAAGAGATATTTATTTCTGGTGTGGTGATAATGGGTCCTATTACATCTGTCCAGGGAGCGTTTCAGAGCAGGATTTACGTTTAAGAACAGGGTTTTGTAAATGTAATTGACACAAGAAAATTTGTGGAGTGAGATTATGTTTAGCATGTTAAGGGAGTTAAACAAGGGGGCTGAGTGTTGTCTGAAAGCAGAATTTGTTATTATTCTGACAGCAGATTTTTGCTGGGTGATGATGGACTTGAGGTGGTTTGCAGTGGTTGAACACCATGCACAGATACCATAATTAAGATAGGAATAGAATGTTATGGAATGTTATGGAATGTGGAATAGGAGAACATAGACCCCACACAACCTATATATTATGTGAGAAATCTTTAAAGAATTCTGATAAAGAAAGAGATCTAGGGGTGGTTCTAGATAGAAAACTATCACCTGAGGACTACATAAAGAATATTGTGCGAGGAGCCTATGTCACGCTTTCTAACTTCAGAATTGCTTTTAAATACATGGATGGCGATATACTAAAGAAATTGTTCACGACTTTTGTTAGGCCAAAGCTAGAATATGCAGCGGTTGTGTGGTGCCCATATCTTAAGAAGCACATCAACAAACTGGAATAGGTGCAAAGACACGCTACTAAGTGGCTCCCAGAACTGAAGGGCAAGAACTACGAGGAGAGGTTAGAGGCATTAAATATGCCAAAACTAGAAGACAGAAGAAAAAGAGGTGATATGATCACTACATACAAAATAGTAATAGGAATTGATAAAATCGATAGGGAAGATTTCCTGAGACCTGGAACTTTAAGAACAAGAGGTCATAGATTTAAACTAGCTAAACACAGATGCCGAAGAAATATAAGAAAATTCACTTTCGCAAACAGAGTGGTAGACGGTTGGAACAAGTTAGGTGAGAAGGTGGTGGAGGCCAAGACCGTCAGTAGTTTCAAAGCGTTATATGACAAAGAGTGCTGGGAAGACGGGACACCACGAGTGTAGCTCTCATCCTGTAACTACACTTAGGTAATTACACACGTGTTTCGCGGCTGAGTAGACAAACTGAAGGAATGTTCCAACAAATGGCTACTGATGTTGAACCCAAGTAAATGTAAAGTAAGGAAACTAGGCGGAGGGAACAGGAGGCCAGACACGGTACCGAATGGGAGACGATGTTTTCCACGAAATAGACTGAGAGAAAGCTCTAGGTGTTGATTTCACATCGAACCTGTCCCATGAGGCCCACATCAAAAGGATATCAACAGCGGCGTATGCGAGGCTGACTATCATCAGAACTGTCTTTAGAAAATTGTGTAAAGAATCATTTAGAACCTTGTACACCACATATGTAAGACCAATCCTTGAGTATGCGACCCCAACATGGATTGCATATCTTGCCAAGATGAAGTTGGAGAAAGTTCAAAAGTATGCCACTAGACTAGTCCCAGAACTAAGAGGTATGAGCTACGAGGAAAGGGTGTGTGAATTGCACCTCACGTCGCTGGTAGACGGGAGGTATGATCACCACATGCAAAATTCTCAGAGGAATTGACAGGGTAGATAAGGACAGATTATTTAGCACGGGAGGTACTTGCATAAGATGGGACACAGGTGGAAGCTGAGTACCAAAATGAGCCACATAAACATTATAAAGAACTTTTTATGCACCAAAATAGTTAACAAATGGAATGCTCTAAGCAGTGATATGGTGGAGGATGACTATATGACAAATTATATACATTTGAAACACAGTTTCAAATGCATATATGATAGTGCTCAGTAGGCTCAGGAATCTGTACATCAGTAGACAGTTGAGAGGCGGGACCAAAGAGCCGAAGCTCAACCCCCGCAAGCATAACTAGGTGAGTACAACTATGTGAGTACACAGGGGTTGGGGGTCGCCAGGGTGACATCCCATTAATATACCCACGATATCGCTATAGCAGGGGAGGATTGACCGGGCGCCAGTCCTTAACTGCAGCCTCTGTTCAGCCAGCAGTGAATGGGGTACCTGGTTGTTAAACGATTTGGAGGGGTCGTATTCCGGGGCAAATTAGGATTAAGGACTTGCCCGAAACGCTACGCGTGCTAGTGGCTTAACAAGAATGTAAACTCTTATAAGTATTAAGAAAATCGTAAGATCCACATGCACTCTCAGTATCTCGCTCCACTCACAGAGACCAGCACAGCTGTTCGTTCCATCCTTTAAACACACCAGTTAGCCGCGAGAACATTTCTATTGCATTTATCCAAAATATTTTCTCGTAGATATACATACTATTGTGATTTCATTGTGCATATTTCTATAAATAAGAATGTGCGTCTGGTTGTTCGAGGTTGGAGGCCAGGAGCTTGAGGGTAACCTTACCCAACTTCGCATCCTGAATCCTTTGGGGTATGTGCCCAATAAGGTCGGTTCGGGGTGTCTATAACTGCTAATATTGTTTAAACCATTTAACTTAGGCTTACCACGACCAGGGTATGTCTATCCCATACCCCTGACTATTCCCTCTGCAAATGTGGGTGAGGCTAGTCCCAGGTGTACGGCCTCCAACTTTGGACAAATAGACAGACATTTTCTTATTATAGATATATAAATATCCAGTTTTTTTTTTTTTTTTTTTTTTTTTTATATCAAGTAGCAGGAAAGCGCTAAGAGGGTGAAGGACAAGAGTGAAACAGTGCGCCTTACCTTTCGCCATATTCAGTTACATTCCTCAAGCAGTTCTCGAGTTGGTTTTCAATCAAGCGAGTCTTTTCTATCATATCATTCTTTTCATCTTCAATATTTCTGATCTTCTGCGTCTGCTTTTCTTTTTCACTCTCTAGCTCAGCGTTTTCTTCTCGCAAAGTCTTGACCTCTTCTTCATTGACGGAGAGTTGGTGTTTGGCGTCTTCCGCTTCCTTCTCCAGGAGAGCGAGCTGCGCGTCGATATCTCCCTTCTCCTTCTCCATGCCTGAGAGTTGGTCCTCAAGTTCTTTTTTCTGCTGCAGCAGGAGCGAAAGTTGGTCTTCAACACCATTCTTTTCGTTCTGAGAAGTCTTGATTAATGTTTCTTTTTCTTCCTGTAAAGCAGTGTTTCCTGTTTGCAAGACCTTGACTTGCTCCTTCACGAGGTTGAGTTGTTCTTCAATAAGTTTCTTCTCCTCTTCAGCTTTTTGTGTTATTCCATTTAGTTCCTCCTGTAACTCAGTGTTTGTTCTTTGCAACTGCATGACCTGTTCTTCCACGAGGGAGAGCTTATATTCGAGAAGCTTTTTCTCTTCTTGACATTTCTTCATTTCTTCTTCTATTTCTGTCTGTAAAGCAGCGTTTTCTGCTTGCAACATTTTGACTTTTTCCTCTAAGAGTAAGAGTTGCTCTTCAACAACACTCTTCTCCTTCTGTAAGCGTAAGAGGTGGTCTTCGACATCCTTCTTTTCCTTCTCCAAGAGTGAGACTTGGTCTTCAAGGTTTTTCTTCTCCACCAATAAGAGAGCGATTTGGTCTTCAAGTTTTTTCTTCTCCTCTTCAGCCTTTCTAATTAATTCCTCCTTTTCTTTCTGCAAAGCATCGTTTGCTGTTTGTAAGGCCCTGATCTCTTCTTCTAGGCGGAAGAGTTGGTCTGCCATCTCTTTCATATTCTTCTTCATGAGTGAGAGTTGATCTTCAAGATCTCTCTTCTCCTTTTCTGAGAGCGCAAGTTTGTCTTCAAGAACTCTCCTTTCCTCTTGAGCCTTCTTAATTATTTCTTCCATTTCTTTCTTTAAACCGTCGTTTTCTGCTTGTAAGACTCTGATCTGTTCTTCCAAGAGGGAAATTTTGTATTCAGCAAGTTTTTCATCCTCGCGAGCCTTTTTTATTATTTCTTCTTTTTCTTTCTGTAGAGCAGCGTTTTCTGTTTGTAAAACCTTGACCTGTTCTCTTAAGAGAAGGAGTTGGTCTTCAAGATCTTTCATTTCCTTCTCCAAGCGTGAGAGTTGTTCTTTAAGATCTGCAGTTTCCGTCTGCAAGATTGAGAGTTGTTCTTTAAGATCTTCATTTTCCTTCTGCAAGAGTGAGAGTTGTTCTTTAAGATCTGCATTTTCCGTCTGCAAGAGTGAGAGTTGTTCTTTAAGATCTTCATTTTCCTTCTGCAAGAGTGGGAGTTGTTCTTTAAGATCAGCATTTTCCGTCTGCAAGATTGAGAGTTGTTCTTTAAGATCTTCATTTTCCTTCTGCAAGAGTGGGAGTTGTTCTTTAAGATCTGCATTTTCCTTTGCCAAGAGTGAAAGTTGTTCTTTAAGATCCGCATTTTCCTTCTGCAAGAGTGAGAGTTGTTCTTTAAGATCTGCATTTTCCGTCTGCAAGAGTGAGAGTTGTTCTTTAAGATCTGCATTTTCCTTTGCCAAGAGTGAAAGTTGTTCTTTAAGATCTGCATTTTCCGTCTGCAAGAGTGAGAGTTGTTCTTTAAGATCTGCATTTTCCGTCTGCAAGAGTGAGAGTTGTTCTTTAAGATCTGCATTTTCCTTTGCCAAGAGTGAAAGTTGTTCTTTAAGATCTGCATTTTCCGTCTGCAAGAGTGAGAGTTGTTCTTTAAGATCTGCATTTTCCGTCTGCAAGAGTGAGAGTTGTTCTTTAAGATCTGCATTTTCCTTCTGCAAGAGTGAGAGTTGTTCTTTAAGATCTGCATTTTCCTTCTGCAAGAGTGAGAGTTGTTCTTTAAGATCTGCATTTTCCTTCTGCAAGAGTGAGAGTTGTTCTTTAAGATCTGCATTTTCCTTCTGCAAGAGTGAGAGTTGTTCTTTAAGATCTGCATTTTCCTTCTGCAAGAGTGAGAGTTGTTCTTTAAGATCTGCATTTTCCTTCTGCAAGAGTGAGAGTTGTTCTTTAAGATCTGCATTTTCCTTCGCCAAGAGTGAGAGTTGTTCTTTAAGATCTGCATTTTCCTTCTGCAAGAGTGAGAGTTGTTCTTTAAGATCTGCATTTTCCTTCTGCAAGAGTGAGAGTTGTTCTTTAAGATCTGCATTTTCCGTCTGCAAGAGTGAGAGTTGTTCTTTAAGATCTGCATTTTCCTTCTGCAAGAGTGAAAGTTGTTCTTTAAGATCTGCATTTTCCGTCTGCAAGAGTGAGAGTTGTTCTTTAAGATCTGCATTTTCCTGCTGCAAGAGTGAAAGTTGTTCTTTAAGATCTGCATTTTCCTTCTCCAAGAGTGAGAGTTGTTCTTTAAGATCTGCATTTTCCTTTTGCAAGAGTGAGAGTTGTTCTTTAAGATCTTCATTTTCCTTTTGCAAGAGTGAGAGTTGTTCTTTAAGATCTTCATTTTCCTTTTGCAAGAGTGAGAGTTGTTCTTTAAGATCTGCATTTTGTTCTTCAAGATCTGCATTTTCCTGCTGCAAGAGTGAGAGTTGTTCTTTAAGATCTCCATTTTCCTTCTGCAAGAGTGAGAGTTGTTCTTTAAGATCTGCATTTTCCTTCTGCAAGAGTGAGAGTTGTTCTTTAAGATCTGCATTTTCCTTCTGCAAGAGTGAGAGTTGTTCTTTAAGATCTGCATTTTCCTTCTGCAAGAGTGAGAGTTGTTCTTTAAGATCTGCATTTTCCTTCTGCAAGAGTGAGAGTTGTTCTTTAAGATCTGCATTTTCCTTCTGCAAGAGTGAGAGTTGTTCTTTAAGATCTGCATTTTGTTCTTTAAGATCTGCATTTTCCTTCTGCAAGAGTGAGAGTTGTTCTTTAAGATCTGCATTTTCCTTCTGCAAGAGTGAGAGTTGTTCTTTAAGATCTGCATTTTCCTTTCTGCAAGAGTGAGAGTTGTTCTTTAAGATCTGCATTTTCCTTCTGCAAGAGTGAGAGTTGTTCTTTAAGATCTGCATTTTCCTTCTGCAAGAGTGAGAGTTGTTCTTTAAGATCTGCATTTTCCATTTTCCTTCTGCAAGAGTGAGAGTTGTTCTTTAAGATCTGCATTTTCCTTCTGCAAGAGTGAGAGTTGTTCTTTAAGATCTGCATTTTCCTTGCAAGAGTGAGAGTTTTAAGATCTGCATTTTCCTTCTGCAAGAGTGAGAGTTGTTCTTTAAGATCTGCATTTTCCTTCTTTTGTTCTTTAAGATCTGCATTTTCCTTCTGCAAGAGTGAGAGTTGTTCTTTAAGATCTGCATTTTCCTTCTGCAAGAGTGAGAGTTGTTCTTTAAGATCTGCATTTTCCTTCTGCAAGAGTGAGAGTTGTTCTTTAAGATCTGCATTTTCCTTCTGCAAGAGTGAGAGTTGTTCTTTAAGATCTGCATTTTCCTTCTGCAAGAGTGAGAGTTGTTCTTTAAGATCTGCATTTTCCTTCTGCAAGAGTGAGAGTTGTTCTTTAAGATCTGCATTTTCCTTCTGCAAGAGTGAGAGTTGTTCTTTAAGATCTGCATTTTCCTTCGCCAAGAGTGAGAGTTGTTCTTTAAGATCTGCATTTTTTTCCTTCTTGCAAGAGTGAGAGTTGTTCTTTAAGATCTGCATTTTCCTTCTGCAAGAGTGAGAGTTGTTCTTTAAGATCTGCATTTTCCTTCTGCAAGAGTGAGAGTTGTTCTTTAAGATCTGCATTTTCCTTCGCCAAGAGTGAGAGTTGTTCTTTAAGATCTGCATTTTCCTTCTGCAAGAGTGAGAGTTGTTCTTTAAGATCTGCATTTTCCTTCTGCAAGAGTGAGAGTTGTTCTTTAAGATCTGCATTTTCCTTCTGCAAGAGTGAGAGTTGTTCTTTAAGATCTGCATTTTCCTTCTGCAAGAGTGAGAGTTGTTCTTTAAGATCTGCATTTTCCTTCTGCAAGAGTGAGAGTTGTTCTTTAAGATCTCATTTTCCTTCCAAGAGTGAGAGTTGTTCTTTAAGATCTGCATTTTGTTCTTTAAGATTTTCCTTCTGCAAGAGTGAGAGTTGTTCTTTAAGATCTGCATTTTCCTTCTGCAAGAGTGAGAGTTGTTCTTTAAGATCTGCATTTTCCTTCTGCAAGAGTGAGAGTTGTTCTTTAAGATCTGCATTTTCCTTCTGCAAGAGTGAGAGTTGTTCTTTAAGATCTGCATTTTCCTTCTGCAAGAGTGAGAGTTGTTCTTTAAGATCTGCATTTTCCTTCTGCAAGAGTGAGAGTTGTTCTTTAAGATCTGCATTTTCCTTCTGCAAGAGTGAGAGTTGTTCTTTAAGATCTGCATTTTCCTTCTGCAAGAGTGAGAGTTGTTCTTTAAGATCTGCATTTTCCTTCTGCAAGAGTGAGAGTTGTTCTTTAAGATCTGCATTTTCCTTCTGCAAGAGTGAGAGTTGTTCTTTAAGATCTGCATTTTCCTTCTGCAAGAGTGAGAGTTGTTCTTTAAGATCTGCATTTTCCTTCTGCAAGAGTGAGAGTTGTTCTTTAAGATCTGCATTTTCCTTCTGCAAGAGTGAGAGTTGTTCTTTAAGATCTGCATTTTCCTTCTGCAAGAGTGAGAGTTGTTCTTTAAGATCTGCATTTTCCTTCTGCAAGAGTGAGAGTTGTTCTTTAAGATCTGCATTTTCCTTCTGCAAGAGTGAGAGTTGTTCTTTAAGATCTGCATTTTCCTTCTGCAAGAGTGAGAGTTGTTCTTTAAGATCTGCATTTTCCTTCTGCAAGAGTGAGAGTTGTTCTTTAAGATCTGCATTTTCCTTCTGCAAGAGTGAGAGTTGTTCTTTAAGATCTGCATTTTCCTTCTGCAAGAGTGAGAGTTGTTCTTTAAGATCTGCATTTTCCTTCTGCAAGAGTGAGAGTTGTTCTTTAAGATCTGCATTTTCCTTCTGCAAGAGTGAGAGTTGTTCTTTAAGATCTGCATTTTCCTTCTGCAAGAGTGAGAGTTGTTCTTTAAGATCTGCATTTTCCTTCGCCAAGAGTGAGAGTTGAGAGTTGTTCTTTAAGATCTGCATTTTCCTTCTGCAAGAGTGAGAGTTGTTCTTTAAGATCTGCATTTTCCTTCTGCAAGAGTGAGAGTTGTTCTTTAAGATCTGCATCTGCATTTTCCTTCTGTAAGAGTTTGTTCTTTAAGATCTGCATTTTCCTTCTGCAAGAGTGAGAGTTGTTCTTTAAGATCTGCATTTTCCTTCTGCAGATCTGATTTTCCTTCTGCAAGAGTGTTGTTCTTTAAGATCTGCATTTTCCTTCTGCAAGAGTGAGAGTTGTTCTTTAAGATCTGCATTTTCCTTCTGCAAGAGTGAGAGTTGTTCTTTAAGATCTGCATTTTCCTTCTGCAAGAGTGAGAGTTGTTCTTTAAGATCTGCATTTTCCTTTTGCAAGAGTGAGAGTTGTTCTTTAAGATCTGCATTTTCCTTCTGCAAGAGTGAGAGTTGTTCTTTAAGATCTGCATTTTCCGTCTGCAAGAGTGAGAGTTGTTCTTTAAGATCTGCATTTTCCTTCTGCAAGAGTGAGAGTTGTTCTTTAAGATCTGCATTTTCCTTCTGCAAGAGTGAGAGTTGTTCTTTAAGATCTGCATTTTCCTTCTGCAAGAGTGAGAGTTGTTCTTTTAGATCTGCATTTTCCTTCTGCAAGAGTGAGAGTTGTTCTTTAAGATCTGCATTTTTGTTCTTTAAGATCTGCAAGAGTGAGAGTTGTTCTTTAAGATCTGCATTTTCCTTCTGCAAGAGTGAGAGTTGTTCTTTAAGATCTGCATTTTCTTTCTGTAAGAGTGAGAGTTGTTCTTTAAGATCTGCATTTTCCTTCTGCAAGAGTGAGAGTTGTTCTTTAAGATCTGCATTTTCCTTCGCCAAGACTGAGAGTTGTTCTTTAAGATCTGTATTTTCTTTCTGCAATAGTGAGAGTTGTTCTTCAAGAGCTTTCTTCTCCTCTTCTGCCTTCTTGATTATTTCTTCCTTTTCTTCCTGTAAAGCAGCGTTTTCTGTTATTAAAACCCTGATTTGTTCTTCCACGTTTGAAAGTTTGTCTTCAAGATCTTTCTTTTCCTTCTCCAAGAGTGAGAGTTGTTCTTTAAGTTCCGTATTTTCCTTCTCCAAGAGTGAGAGTTGTTCTTTAAGATCCGTATTTTCCTTCTCCAAGAGTGAGAGTTGTTCTTTAAGATCTGCATTTTCCTTCTCCAAAAGTGAGAGTTGTTCTTTAAGATCCGTATTTTCCTTCGCCACGATTGAGAGTTGTTCTTTAAGATCTGTATTTTCCTTCTCCAAGAGTGAAAGTTGTTCTTTAAGATCCGCATTTTCCTTCGTCACGATTGAGAGTTGTTCTTTAAGATCCGTATTTTCCTTCTCTATGACTGAGAGTTGTTCTTTAAGATCCGTATTTTCCTTCGCCACGATTGAGAGTTGCTCTTTAAGATCTGCATTTTCCTTCTCCAAGAGTGAGAGTTGTTCTTTAAGATCCGTATTTTCCTTCGCCACGATTGAGAGTTGTTCTTTAAGATCTGTATTTTCCTTCTGCAATAGTGAGAGTTGTTCTTCAAGAGCTTTCTTCTCCTCTTCCGCCTTCTTGATTATTTCTTCCTTTTCTTCCTGTAAAGCAGCGTTTTCTGTTATTAAAACCCTGATTTGTTCTTCGACGTTTGAAAGTTTGTCTTCAAGATCTTTCTTTTCCTTCTCCAAGAGTGAGAGTTGTTCTTTAAGATCCGTGTTTTCCTTCTCCAAGAGTGAGAGTTGTTCTGTAAGATCCGTATTTTCCTTCTCCAAGAGTGAGAGTTGTTCTTTAAGATCTGCATTTTCCTTCTCCATGAGTGAGAGCTGTTCTTCAAGCTCGTTCTTTTCCGTCTCAATGATTGAGAGTTGTTCTTCAAGATCTTTCTTTTCCTTCTCCAAGAGTGAAAGTTGTTCTTCAAGAGCTTTCTTCTCCTCTTCTGCCTTCCTGATTATTTCTTCCTTTTCTTCCTGTAAAGCAGAGTTTTCTGTTATTAAGACCCTGACCTGTTCTTCCAACTTTGAGATATTCTCTTCAAGATCTTTATTTTCCGTCTCCAGAAGTGAGAGTTGTTCTTTAAGATCCGTATTTTCCTTCTCCAAGAGTGAGAGTTGTTCTTTAATATCTACATTTTCCTTCTCCAAGAGTGAAAGTTGTTCTTCAAGAGCTTTCTTCTCCTCCTCGGCCTTCTTAATTATTTCTTCTTTTTCTTTCTGTAAAGCCTCGTTTGCTATTTGCAAGGCCCTCACCTGTTCTTCCACGATGGAGAGTTTATGTTCAAGAAGTCTTTTCTCCTCCTCGACCTTCTTGATTATTTCTTCTTTTTCTTTCTGTAAAGCAGCGTTTTCTGCTTGGCAGACCCTGATCTGTTCTTCTGCAAGGGAGAGTTGTTCTTCAACAATTATTTTTTCCTCTTGAATCTTTTTGATTATGTCCTCTTTTTCTTTCTCTAAACCAGCGTTTTCTGTTTCTAAGTCATTGACGTGTTCTTTTAAGACGGAGAGTTCCTCTATAACATCCATCTTCTCCTTCTCCATGACTGAGAGTTGGTCTTCAACACCTTTCTTGTCCTTCTCAATGACCAAGAGTTGGTCTTCAACAGATTTCTTCTCCTCTTTCAAGACCAAGAGTTGGTCTTCATAACCTTTCTTCTCCTCTTGAGTTTTTCTGTCTATTTCTTCTCTTTCCTTCTGTATAGCAACTTTTTCTGTTTGGAATTCCGTCACCTGTTTTTCGAGAGCTGAAAGTTGGTTCTTAGAAACACCGTTATCTCCCTCCAAGACGGAAAACTGCTCTTCAATAACTGTCTTCTCCTTCTCCAAGACTGAGAATTTCTCTTCCCAATCTTTCTTCTCCCCCTCACATTTCGTGATTATTTCTTCTTTTTCTTTCTGTAAAGCATCGTTTGTTATCTGCAAGTTCCTCACCTCTTCTTCCGCGACGGAAAGTTTGTGTTCAACAAGTTTTTTCTCCTCCTCGGTCTTCTTGATTATTTCTTCTTTTTCCTTCTGTAAAGCAGCGTTTTCTGCTTGGCAGCCCCTGACCTGTTCTTCTGCAAGGGAGAGTTGTTCTTCAATAAGTCTTTTTTCCTCTTGAATTTTCTTGATTATGTCCTCTTTTTCTTTCTCTAAATCAGCGTTTTCTGTTTCTAAGACCTTGACGTGTTCTTTTAAGACGGAGAGTTCGTCTTCAACATCCTTCTTCTCCTTCTCGATGACTGAGAGTTGTTCTTCAAGATCTTTCTTTTCCGTCTCCAGGAGTGAGAGTTGTTCTACAAGATCTTTCTTTTCCGTCTCCATGAGTGAGAGTTGTTCTTCAAGATCTTTCATTTCCGTCACTATGAGTGAGAGCTGTTCTTCAAGAGCTTTCTTCTCCTCTTCTGCCTTCTTGATTATTTCTTCCTTTTCTTGCTGTAAAGCAGAGTTTTCTGTTATTAAGACACTGAGCTGTTCTTCTACGTTTGAGAGTTTATCTTCAAGATCTTTCTTTTCCTTCTCTATGAGTGAGAGTTGTTCTATAAGATCTGTATTTTCCTTCTCGAAGAGTGAGAGTTGTTCTTTAAGATCTGTATTTTCCGTCTCTATGAGTGAGAGTTGTTCTTCAAGAGCTTTCTTCTCCTCTTCTGCCTTCTTGATTATTTCTTCCTTTTCTTCCTGTAAAGCAGAGTTTTCTGTTATTAAGACACTGAGCTGTTCTTCTACGTTTGAGAGTTTATCTTCAAGTTCTTTCTTTTCCTTCGCCACGATTGAGAGTTGTTCTTTAAGATCTGTATTTTCCGTCTCTATGAGTGAGAGTTGTTCTTCAAGAGCTTTCTTCTCCTCTTCTGCCTTTTTGATTATTTCTTCCTTTTCTTCCTGTAAAGCAGCGTTTTCTGTTATTAAAACCCTGATTTGTTCTTCCACGTTTGAAAGTTTGTCTTCAAGATCTTTCTTTTCCTTCTCTATGAGTGAGAGTTGTTCTTTAAGGTCTGTATTTTCCTTCTCCATGATTGAGAGTTGTTCTTTAAGATCTGTATTTTCCTTCTCCAAGAGTGAGAGTTGTTCTTTAAGATCTGTATTTTCCTTCTCCAAGAATGAGAGTGTGTCTTCAAGATCTTTCTTCTCCTCCTGAGCCTTCTTGATAATTTCTTCTTTTTCCGCCTTTAAAGCAGCGTTTTCTGTTTGCAAGTCCGTGACCTGTTTTCCTAAAAGGGATAGTTGCTCTTCAGCTTCTTTCTTCTCCTTCTCCAAGATTGAGAGTTGATCTTGAAGCTCTGTCTTCTCCTTTTCCAAGCGTGAGAGTTCACCTTCAAGATCTTTCTTCTCCTTCTCCAAGAGTGAGAGTTGGTCTTCAACCATTTGCTTCTCTGTCTCTGTCTTTTTGATCGTCTCTTGCAGCTGCTGGTTCTCTTTCTCTAGCTCAGCTATTCTCGTCAACGCCATTGAGATCTGCTCCTTGGCTTGGGCCTCTATAATCTCCAGCTCCTGGATTCTCTCCTTGGCCAACCTCGCATCCTCTTCCATTTGGTCGAGCTTTTCCTTCAATTGGCGAATCTCCTCCATGGCCCGCTTTGCGTCCTCCGCCACTTGACGAATCTCTTCCTTCAGCTTGCGATTCTTCTCGTCTGTTAAGCGAACGTCATTTTTAATCTTCCTGTTATCTTCATTGATCAAGTAGATCTCCTTCTTCAGGCGAGTATTGTCCTCCTTGACCAGCCTCGAGTCCTCCTCAGCTTGACGAACCTCGTCTTTGATCAACCTTGCATCCTCCTCTACTTCACGCATTTCGGAATTTAGTTGGTGAATTTCTTCCTCTGCGAGGCGCAGGTCTTCCTTAGCCTTGCTGTTCTCCTCTTCAGCCAATTGGATATCTATTTTAAGCTGAGCAATTTCCTCCTTTAACTGAATATTGGAAGCTTTACAAGCATTGTTGATACACTCCAGCTGGTCCAGCTTGTACAGAATGTGGCGGGTGATATCGTACCTCTTCTTAACATCTGAAGAGAAATCAAACATTAGGCAATATTTTATGAGTATATCAATTCTATTTGTGTACATAAATCATAACTCTTAATGGATTTTGGCAGCATTCCTAATATTAGTTCTGGTCTTACCGCAAAATTATTAGTCATTCTTTGAGCAATTGGACTTATACGCCGAAACAGTCGAGTTTGGCAATGTTTATAGATTCACGAAGTTAACTATAGGCCCTGAAGGGCACTCCTGTGGGAAAAAGTGTCGGGATTAATATGAGAGGAGAACTACTAGGGACTTGTACCGTACTAAATTAAAAATTACTGTATGCAAAATTAATTCAATTAAAGTCTCTAGCTAAGGTCGTAAATCGTAGCTCCTCTTTTCCTAATGACAGACTGTGAGCTGTAAGGGGCAGGTGGGGTCCCTAAGGATGAATGGAGAAGTTGATTGAAGATCCACAATCCACCTGCAGATAAGTTTCTCACATAAGATTGTATTGTTAATACAAGAATAAGATTTAATAATTCAGTTCTATAACTGAACACTGGTTCTATTTAAATCAGGGTTCTAAACATATACACAGTTCAGTCTAGCACTATAATTATAACAGCCAATATTCTTATACTAATAAACACAACAATTTATATTGTAGAAGTATGATATATATGAATACGCAATCAAATGACCTTAAATGTGGTCTAAGTACTATTAACTAAGTACAAGAGATTATATTCAATATAACCAACCTATATGAAAACTAAGTAAGCTATTGTTAACTTAATTTATATGTTCAATTATATACAGACATATTCAATTTATATGAAGAGATTCAGTTGCTACAATATTAATAACCTTACTGAAATATGAGGCATTGCCTCACCCAGTAACGACAAACAGACTTATGGCTTCGCTTTCGCTTTGATGTCCAAAGAGCTTGGAAAGGATGTGGGAGGAAGAAGGATGGGGTAAAGTTACACAAGCATGCAATTGGCCAATTTAACACACCAAATAACATTCAATATACTTATGACCGAGTGCCGTCTGACAAATGGTCAGACTTTTAACTCTCTTGTAGAGTTCAAGCACTATATTTTATTTCACAGCTTTGCTGTTTAATATCCTGGTAGCGTTGCTAATTGATTATGTCTATAATTGCGTTTTTCCTGCCCGAAACGCTTTGGGTAATAGTGGCTTTAGGCATTGTATGTACTAGCTCCATCTATAAACCGATCAAATTATGTAAAATCTCTTGTATGTACCTTACCTGAATAAACATTTTTTTTTTTTTTGCAGTAGGCTAAAATAGGTAATGGTGGAGGTGGACGCTGCGTCACTTGGTGAGTAAGTTCCACTCTACACTCTTATTTAGATAATGTACTAGGAATTATCCTTGTAGATATTGTCCAGGTACTCCCCCAGTTCTAGACGGTAATCACTGGTGATAAAGCTATGTTATTATGATGTCCTTTACAAAATAAAGTTCCTAAAGGCACCGTCACACGTTTCACTCTGTTAGTAAACAAACATGTTCTGCCCCGGGCGCGCCCCTTGGGTCGCTTCTCTTCCGAATTTGGTTCCACCCACAACCTAGAGAGGGCAGCTTTCAATGAATATTGATTAATTATTTTTACTGTCTAAACATATGATTGAGATACGATGTGATTATAATAAAATTAGATATAGGATTGAAAGATTATAAGTAGTACTTGCTAGTACTATTGATTCTTATTAAGGATTTGATTTAATCCTTTATCGGAAATCGATTGATGTTCCAATAGTTTTTAATTAAGATATTCTTCTCAAAGCTTCTAGATCTTTGAGAAATCATGCGCAAAGTCACGTAGACAACAAAGGGGCCCTATGGTGTACTTGATCATAGTGGCATTGTCATCTAGGATCCAGATGTATAATGAACCTGTAGTGATTCTAAGATGACCTTGACATTGATTTTGATATAATTTAGATTTGATTTAGAAGTAATACATTTCTTAGATAATAATATAGATATAGTGGGTAAAATTTCCCACAACTCCAAACCGTAAGTGTTTCCAGGATTGTAAAGTGTGCTTCAAGCCCTGAAGTGTTCCCAAGACCGTAAAGTGTGCTTCAAGCCCTAAAGTGTTCCCAGGACCGTAAAGTGCACTTCAAGCCCTAAAGTGTTCCCAGGACCGTAAAGTGCACTTCAGGCCCTGAAGTGTTCCCAGGACCGTAAAGTGCACCCCAAGCCCTGAAGCGCGCTCGCCCTGAATTGTTCTCCAGGTCATGAAGTGTAGGACTACAGCCCATTACATTTCTTGTTCCTGAGAATTTGGAAATTGCTAATTTAATATAAGAAACTGATAAAGTCTCAAATAACATTAAAGCCAATTTGCCTTATGGAGTCTCGAAACTCCATCAGTGATTCGCGCCCCTGGGCAGTAAAAATGAGACACTTGACCCGGGGCTACAATTATCTTCACAACAAAGAAGCCTATGTCATTGCATGTATGAAATTTTACATGCCCTTACATGCGTGAAATTACATTTGTTACACGAATGAATGTAATTCATTCAACTACACATGACTTACAACTGGTTACCTTTGAATATATATATTTTTCAAAATTGCTTGACCCCCCTTAGTATTCGAGCCCGCCCCCCTTGCCAGTTCTCATAAACACAGGGTGAAATGCTTGGTAATCCGGCTGCTTCTGCCTCCTGTCCCCACGAGTTTATAAATGAAGAAACTCTATATGACAGAACTGATTACTTTCAAACTTTTCTTGAAGTGTGTTTCTACTGCTCTAATTATACCTCTAAATGCTTCATCAAAGTGATGAACATACAAATAATTGCAAACAAATAATTAAAACGCCTAATCTAACTATACAGATTCTTATAATAAATTTTAATATTGATTTATGTTCGAGAAAAAAAAATTGTCATTAACCATTACACAAAAATTTAGTAATGAGTCTGTGGCTGGCAGCAGAGTGGATGAATATAGCCTGATAATGGGTTTAGCAGATGCCACATCATTTAACATCCATTAGCTGATGTCTGACAAATTATAACACTCAAATTGTTCTGGTAGAGCGCTTCTCTCACTTCCTATATTCAAAATGCACATCTCTACAAATACAGAATGATCCCAGGCAGTCACAAAAACACAAGGCCGTCAGGTTAACAACATATAATTCAAATATTGACATACAAATCAACATATCAGTATTTGACTTATACATGTTCGAAGCTATGACTCAAAATGGGCCTCGTTCTCTTTCAATCTCATATGTAAACATTCAAAATCAGTATAACCAAAACACTCTACCTAACCTTACTTGCCGAGGAAAGAGTCAGCAATAGGCTACACACTTTACCTATTGTTAAGGGTCCCAACTCTGGTACATTTATAGGGACCCAGAGCCTCCTAGAAGAGAATAAAGGGCATTCAAAGAAGACACTGGAGATTGTATATAATAAATATTTTGTTAAAATTGGTATTGAAGGTATTGCTACATTTACCACATATGTTTATATCATGTTAATAATATGTGCATCTATAACGTGTATAATATTGCGTTATATTGCTTTACAAACGATAGTTCAGTTGGGTTTACTCTCGATTCCCCGCGCGGGACAGAAATGGTTGGGCACGTTTCCTTTCACCCAATGCCTCTGTTCACTTTGCAGAAAACAGGTACCCGGGAATTAGGCAATTGTTGTGGGGTTACATCCTGGGGAGGGTCAGTAGTTCCACCTGCTTTGGAGGTGGGGTACCTTGATACCAGCCTAACGTATATAAATACTCAGGCTGCCTGCCCCCCGACAAAACTAATTATTACCTCAATGAATATTACCTTCGCCATATGTTTATTTATGTATTAGCGTTCAAACCAGTTATGTTCCAAGCCGTCGACGCTCAAGCCTATCCACCCGAATAATACGTCACACTTTGACGCCAAAACCCTCAACGGACAAAATATGATGCACTCTAAACCACAGTGGCTCACTGACATTCACGCTCCTGTGCTTGGGGTCGAGCGGTACAAGTTCAAGTTCAAGTATGTTTATTGAGATAAGAAAGAAATACATCTCAAAAGGATAGAGTAGCTTAGGCTATTTCTACCCCCCCCCCCTGGTCGGCCGGTTAAGTTAGGTTTGTTCGGGTGATTTTTAATACATAATTTTCTGCCCGTTGTGGCAGCTGACTAACAGGAAGAGGGGAGGTGGGGGGTTGCACAGGAAGATAGCATACACCGAGAGATGTAACCCATTTCATGGTGCGTATACACTGTGAGTATACTTTAGTCCTGAACAATGTTTATTACAGAATCTCTGTGACAAGGATTGTTTACAATATTCAGGGCCAGCTTGGGTATATGTTGCCTCTGCTGTCAATAGATGGCACTCGGGCTATAGATATGAGCAAATGTATTAGTTTATATTTGCTTCAAATGTATCAAATAATAAAGAACTTATTAACACAAAAATATAAGTTGTCAATTTCTCACACATTTTATAGAAAATTGTTTATTTCTTTCTTTCTGAGTTTTCTAACACTGTTCTTACTGTCTCGACTTGTCGTCTCAAGTAATCATCACTGTCTCGACTTGTCGTCTCAAGTAATCATCACTGTCTCGAGTTGTCGTCTCAAGCAATCATCACTGTCTCGAGTTGTCGTCTCAAGCAATCATCACTGTCTCGACTTGTCGTCTCAAGCAATCATCACTGTCTCGAGTTGTCGTCTCAAGCAATCATCACTGTCTCGACTTGTCGTCTCAAGCAATCATCACTGTCTCGACTTGTCGTCTCAAGTAATCATCACTGTCTCGAGTTGTCGTCTCAGTAACCACTGTCTCTAGTAAATAGTTACCCGGGAGCTAGGCAACTGTTGTGGGGTTGCATCCTGGGAAAGGTCAGTTGTTCCACCTTGGGAGGACCTCCATACAAACCTTAAGTTAACCTTAATTATTATTATTATGTATCTCTACATACCTTGCGTGCGATTATCATCAGCACTCCCGTAAGCGGAGACGATTTCAGTTAGGTTGTTAATCTTCGTCATCAATGTCTTTATATCTGTAATCAATGACCACCATTAAGATCACAGCGTTATAAGTCATGTTGTGATATTTCTGCATCAGCATTTAGCTTGTGTACTAGGCCGGGATTTATTAAACATTTACCTGTACACTTAAGAAACCTGTACATCTTTCCTTGATCATGGTCGCTTTGTCTGTATTTATTAA